GTGACATATTTGAAAAACTATTTTTTTATATTATTCTTAATAATATAGGAATGCATGATATAATATAAAATGTGTGAATAATTAAAAAATTCAAGACAAATCGAATGGGTACTCTGATATCAGTAAGATATCTGCAAATTATTGTTACGTGCTAAGTGTTAACTGTTAAATGCAACAGAAAAATTAATTCCTTGATAATCTTTCATTTGATGTTGCTAAATATTCAAATTGAATTTTTTTTTAAATCTCGCTGTTATCAGATTTGATTTTTCTCGAATTTTGAGCACATTTGGTACCCTAAAATTATTATTATTATTCACACATTTAACCAAGCAACGATAAAAGCGCATGTTTCATTTTACCTAAATATATTTGATTGTAACATGTATATAAAAACTATTATATCCAATCATTTTTTAGTAAAAAAAAGATTTCTTAAAATGGAAGAAGATGTTTTTTCACGCGAATTTTAATATTATATATTGAAAATGATAAGAAGGGTAACAGTCGTTAATCCGCTGCCGAAATCTCTGTTATCGGGAGCAATCAGGAAGATCGGGGATTCGTTCCTTCCTGTAGAGGGGCTTCTGATGTTTAATGAATCACTTAACTATTCGTTGTGGATCGATTTCGCGAGATCCGAAATAGAAGAAATAAGACAAATTGAAGTCGCTTTCCACTTTTAAAATCGTTCTTCTCTCTGTCAGATATTAACTAGCGTGTCACTCGGCTCAGAGGGATTTTGATCTGGTCTAATCGTTGGGCCAGTTATCCTTCATTGAACATGGCGATAACGCGCTTATTTTAAGGAATAAGGAAATTAAAGTTTAGCCTATTTGCAATTGTCCGCGGAACAAGATATATATTTTACTTATGATCGCGAAATTTACATGAAATGTATATTTGAAAAGAAATCGAATATTAAACTCTGCATCCGCGTTTGATTCCTTACGTATATTAAAATTATAATATTGTACAAATTATATGAAATGCGCCTTTAATGTTGCAATATTTTAATTATCGCACAAAATGATAATAATTATATTGCGTGTGCGCACGTTGTATTCCGATTATTATAGAAATTATGTGTATTGTGATTAAATGTTACTATTATTATTAATTTATTTATTTATCATATATATTCGCGAAATTTAAAGCGTGAATTTTTCTCTGATTTAATCGTTGAGTAACAACGAAGGTTTACTTATCTTTTTTGCGTCATCGATTTTCTTTTAGAAAATCTTACAAAATGTATTAAAATTCCGCATTAAAATTACTCTTTCTTAATTGATAGAAACATAATCGATAAATTTATTAATGATTTTTTTAGTCGCGATAGATTATCAGTTACGTTAATCTAAAAATTTCTATCATAATCAATTTTACGTTGTACGTATTGAGAATATTTTCGTATAATATAGTAAAATAATCTATGCATATATATTCTACATAACATTTTTATATCTACATATTTTATATCATTTTTTATATCTACATAAAATTTTTTATGTATTATATATAATGTATATTTTATTGTTATAATTGTGTATTATATACTATATTTCGAAAAATTTTATATATTACCTTATATTATAATTTTATGTATTAACAATAATGTAAAATTTTATATATTAACAATTTTATGTATTATATATATGTATTATGTATTATATATATATAATTTATTATTGTTATTGTTATACATTATATATTTTCAATTCGATTGTATCATTATATATCAAATTAATTTTGTAATTTATATTTTATAACTCTCTATTGTATTTCGAGCTAAAATAAAATATTATATTTTAAGTGATACTTTCATCAAAAAATGGTAATAAAATTATGTGTAAAAGTTATTTATAACACTTACAATAGAGAATAAATCTTGAATAAAAGTCGAAAAATGGAAAATATATCTTACAATATTTTCATTTTTCGAAAAATTGTCTTACTCTCCGAACTTTCCCCCTTTCTCTTTCTTTTCATATACATATATACAATATTATTGTAAGTCCAAGCGTGTATGTTAACATCATTATGCTTTCAACATCATTATCCGTATTATTGAAAATATTTGAATAAATTCGAATACATATTTATTTGTATATTTTATATTATATTTATTTGATGTTGATAGCATCACCAATTTATAAATTGTATTATAATTATAATATATATTTTTATATGACTGTAAGCTATGTAATTATACACTACTATAATATTTTATAAATTTGTTGTATTGTTTTCTATTTGGAAAATTTGAATAACGTACACTATTAAAAAAAAATAAAGTAAAAAAATTTTACCTCCTCGATGGTATCTCCACCTTAACGAAGGCATTTGCCGGGTGAGGAGGTTTGAGTACTTTAATGATCCGGAGAGCTATGCGGTAATTAGGCCGGTATTTATACAATCTGTTTTTATATTTAATCATCTTTAAATATGATCTTAGATCGCATCTTAAGATTCTGTTCGATTTCAATGAAATAATAAACATTTTCTAAATTTTACTTGAAACGATCTTAAATATAAGATTATATAAACACTGGCCTTAATTACTGGTAGGGTCATCCATGCCGGATAGGTCAAAGGGAAAGAGTCAGACTAAGAGAGATACCATAATTATAATTATTATATTAATAATTGTATTATAAAATGTACATTAACATGGAATTTTAAATTATGGAAGTATTTTAATTTCTTGATTAAGATTGATTATTTATTAAATAATTTATCACGGAGCTAATTAATTGAATTTATTCGATTATGTTACCGCGCTTTTCCGAAGTCAAATTCCATAATATTTAGTTTCGCATTTTAAAAGATTGACTTATAGCGAGCTAAATAAACAAATAAATAAATGATGTTGAAAAGAAAAAGAAGACACATAAATAAATAAATAAATAAATAATAGCGTGAAAAGAGACAACATACTAATATTTTTTATAATAAATTATTAATTAAATTATTATTAATTAAATTATTTATATTTTTATTTATATTATTTATATTATCAGAGAGACATATATGTTACTCTCTGAGAACATTCGTGGACATTGGCTTTGTAGTTCATGTTCACGTTTTTAATGTCCACAGAGAGAGTATCGCTTCCAGGGATCACCTAAAAGCAGGGCATGACATCTCTCAGTCTTCTCTCTGGTATTAATAATATTGCTGCAATGTAACAACAATATTAATAATATTGCTGCAATATTGTGGCAATATTAATAATATTGCAGCAATGTAACAACAATATTCCCAGACAGCACAGGACATCCTATGGACATTCATTTTATGTCCATTTTACGTCCGTACGTCCATGGACATGAAATGACTGTTCATCGTACATCCGATTCGGGACATCCGTTAACGACCAATATTTGGACGTCCACAAAATGTCCGATCTTGGACATCAAAGTTTCGCGCGAGCACGCAAGGATGTGTTAGTTCGTTCGTTTACCGCTATGCGACGTGCGATGCGCTATCTTTCTCGTATTTAAGTTTTAGTTATAAGAATTATATAAAGTTTGCAAAGAGTAACAAATAAGATTAAAAATATACTGTTCAATTTAATTTGTGATCTCAATACAAGAGTTTCAGATATTAAATTGATTTTATAAGTCGTACAAGTAAATGTCCGGCAAATAAACGAAAATAATCCGGTACTTATTTAAACTTGCTTGTTGCACTTTACATTTTAAATTACCTATTTAAAATGTAGAGTGCAATAAGCAAGTATAAATATAAATAAAATTTTTACATGAATTTTATGTAAAGTTTTATATGAAATAGATAAATTATACTACCCAGATAGCACATGGAACTCCTATGGACGTCCAATGGACATTCGAGTTTGGACATGTGGACGTCCATAAGATGTCTGAATTAAGTCCGACGGATATCCATTGGACATCCATAAGACGTCGGTTATTCACTACTTCGGATGTCCAAAAAACAATCCAAAAAAGGACTTAAAATGGACATCATTTTCAGTGTCTTACTCTTTCAAATTATTATTGGAATAAATATCAAAAATTCATAAACTCAGAAAAAAATTTATATTTAATTATGTATAATTGTGTAGATATAATTATGTATGGATTTTGACCTAATTTAATCATATATAAAAAATTGTTCTTTATTATACATAAATAAATAGCATTATGTATCCTTCATAACATTTAAAAAGTATAATTTATCTATTTCATATAAAACTTTACATAAAATTCATGTAAAAATTTTATTTATATTTATACTTGCTTATTGCACTCTACATTTTAAATAGGTAATTTAAAATGTAAAGTGCAACAAGCAAGTTTAAATAAGTACCGGATTATTTTCGTTTATTTGCCGGACATTTACTTGTACGACTTATAAAATCAATTTAATATCTGAAACTCTTGTATTGAGATCACAAATTAAATTGAACAGTATATTTTTAATCTTATTTGTTATTCTTTGCAAACTTTATATAATTCTTATAACTAAAACTTAAATACGAGAAAGATAGCGCATCGCACGTCGCATAGCGGTAAACGAACGAACTAACACATCCTTGCGTGCTCGCGCGAAACTTTGATGTCCAAGATCGGACATTTTGTGGACGTCCAAATATTGGCCGTTAACGGATGTCCCGAATCGGATGTACGATGAACAGTCATTTCATGTCCATGGACGTACGGACGTAAAATGGACATAAAATGAATGTCCATAGGATGTCCTGTGCTGTCTGGGTTAGTATTTTATTATATTATTTAATTTTGTTGGGCCAAAGAATTTTTTATGTTTTAAATGTTATGAAGGATACATAATGCTATTTATTTATGTATAATAAAGAACAATTTTTTATATATGATTAAATTAGGTCAAAATCCATACACAATTATATCTACACAATTATACATAATTAAATATAAATTTTTTTCTGAGTTTATGAATTTTTGATATTTATTCCAATAATAATTTGAAAGAGTAAGACACTGAAAATGATGTCCATTTTAAGTCCTTTTTTGGATTGTTTTTTGGACATCCGAAGTAGTGAATAACCGACGTCTTATGGATGTCCAATGGATATCCGTCGGACTTAATTCAGACATCTTATGGACGTCCACATGTCCAAACTCGAATGTCCATTGGACGTCCATAGGAGTTCCATGTGCTATCTGGGTTAATAATATTGCTGCAATATTGTGGCAATATTAATAATATTGCAGCAATGTAACAACAATATTGATAATATTGCTGCAATGTTGCGCGGCAATGTTAATAATATTGCTGCATTGTAACAACAATATTAATAATATTGCCGCAATATAACAACAATATTAATAATATTGCCGCAATGTAACAACAATATTAATAATATTGCCGTAATGTTGCGGCAATATTGCAGCAACATTACAATATTATCGCAATATTGCTGCAATATTCTGTGCTGTATGTATCATAAATCGCACGTCATTCCTTAGTATTGCTACTGGGTGGCACCCGATTGACCACGTCGCCAATTGGCCAATTCAAAATAAGATTCTCTGATTGGTTAATCGTTTCTAGTTATCCTAGGCACAGATCGATATAATTGACTGTGGTCAATCCACAGACATCTATACTATATACTAGACCGCTAACTTGCGTCAAATACATGTCCACGAAATTTATGTACTAAATTCTCACGCATGCGTAACATTGGTGGACAACAGTCACATTTGTGATTGGTTGATGTTATGTAAAATGTATATAAGTACGTAATCTGTATATACATTTACAGTTGAATAAAAATTATCTTTGAATAATATATAATCTTCGTTTTTATTTTTAAAAAATTGTTATAGCCTTTAAAATATATTAAAATATATTTGAAAGATATGTATATAATGAGAATCAAGATTAAATATTATACAACATTTATATATATTTATATTTATATATATATTATATATATATTTATATATATATATATATATATATATATATATTTATATTTATATATATTTATTTATATTTATTTTATAATAAAATGAAAAGTTTAAAATGTGAAAAAATATAATTATATAAAAAGATATAATCATATAAAAATAAAAATACAATTGTTCAGATAAACACTTAAATACATTTAAAATTATTCAACTTACATTAACAACTATACATTATATATACGCAAATATAAAGTAGTAATTTAGTTTTAAAGATTGAGAGAAAATTTAATATCTTTACATATTTTTTAATCTTGTATATGTATTATAAGATTAAAAAGAAATTAAGTTTTCCCCAATTGTCTTTAAAACTAAATTATTTTATATTTGCATATACAATATGTAATTGTCAATATAAGTTGAATAATTTTAAATATTTTAATTTTCATCTTAAAAATTGTATTTTATTGTATTTTTTATTTTTATACAATTATATCTTTTTCTATAATTATATTTTTTCACATTATAAATTTTTAATTTTGTTATAAAATAAATATAAATATATATATATATATATATATATATATTTATGTATGTATATAATGTATATATGTATATGTATTTTATATATATATATATATAAATATATAATGTATATATGTATATATATATGTGTGTGTGTGTGTGTGTGTGTGTGTGTGTATGTGTGTGTGTGTGTGTGTGTGTGTGTGTATGATATATATATATATAATATATATATATATATAATATATATATATATATATATATATATATGTATATATGTATGTATGTATAATGTATATGTATATAATGTAAAACACGTTTGTTCATAAAATTCATTAAATAAATCAAGACATTTTTTAATGAAAGCTAAATATTTATTGATATACGTAAAATATAACAGACTTATTAGCTAACAAAAAATTATATATAGTTTTTACATTACTCTCTATAAAATAATATTTGTTTCGTTAATTGATGTCTTTTTCGTATAGGTTTTAAGATCTCTTGTAAATAAAACTTAGAATAAGAATGGAGTCTAATTTTAATAAATCTAGAACTTATTGCAATAATAAGACTAATTTTATGTGGCACATCCAAAATATCGACATTATCACATTCTAAGTTTGGAAATATAGATGAATCAAGAGCTAAATTATTTTTAACTTTACTTATTACTTTTAAATCTAATTGCTTAACAGATAGTTCTGAGTAACCGTCGGTTACAATATCTAATTGTTTTTCTGTTTCCATACAGATTTTATAGACAGAAATGGATGGCCTAATTAAACCACCATTATTCGAAAAATCTAAAAATTTTGCAAATGTTTCAATATTTGCATAGTTATGTTCATTATCAGGTTTTTTTAAACTAAGTGCACATGTATAACAATTAATATTTAATTTTTTTACTATATATCCGCTTAAATAGTACATTATGTATTCATTTAATTTTTTCATTGATGAATGCGGAGTTAATGAACCACGTATACATTCCTCTTCGCTTTCATAATTATTAATGAAATCATTCAATATGGATTGATTCTTTTTTCTCCAATGAAATTGAAATATGGAATCTGATAAATTCGTATCAAATTTAATACAGTTAGCATTTGTAGAGTGTCTAATATCGTTGCGAAGTAATAATTGTCGCATAGCATTTTTAAATTGAAATGCGTTAGGATTATTATTATGGCCATGGCGACTTCTTATTTTCGAAAATAATAGTTCAAGATGATCCTGTGAAAATTTGTAACTTAATATATATTTATATGATTTAGTTTCTTTAAACAAATCTTCAGCCACGTCCAAAACTGATTTAGTAGCTATGGCGAAACCATAAATAAAAGTTTTTCTCCCACTTTTATATAATGGTTTTCCCTCTTTATTTTTTAACAAGAATAAATATTTTATATATTCTTGAACCATATTTTTCAAGTATGGTAAATCATTTTGAAAAATTGGTTTTTTATATCCTTTTCCAAAAGGATTTCTTGAATTCAAAAAATCAAATAATTTATCGATTGTTCGAATAAATTTTATTGTACTGTCACTATTTCTAAATTGATCAAATTCTTCTTCTTTAAGAAATTGAATTGCATTTGCCACGGACGAACTTAAAGTATGAGCTGCAAATTTAACTTTCATTTTATTTTGTCTCCACTGTACACATTGGCTACTTATTTTGCAAAATTTCAGTAATTACAAAATTTAATTCTCTTTTTTAAACATGCAACTGTAATTTTAAATGCAAAAATAAATGTTTGTGTTTTAGCAATTATTAATTCATGCAGAGATTTACATATATAGATATAAGAATACAAATACAGATATAAGAATGCATTATCAGCACACACACTCATGCTTTCATAAATAATAAAGCAAATGAAAAACTTATTTGCGGAACAACTTTATGAAAAATATATGTCATCTTATTCTTATAAGTTAAACTTCTTAATGAAATTTTATTAAAAAAGATTGTCATGTTAATAAATTAGTAAATATTCTAAGAATTAACATAAAATTACTCATTCATTAATATAGTAAAATATTTTGACTTACTGAAAAATTTGATTAAGTTTAAAATAGGCTGCATTTCGTTATTCAATATTCCACAATTATAGACATAGATAGTATAAAATAAATATTATATATCTATCATTTCAATGCGGAAAATGTATATTTAATGTAAATTATATATTTTGAGTAATGACAGTGAATAGCAAAATGCAGGAAGAATAGAAATACAGAATAAGCAAACCATGCTAACCTACAGTACTCATATGCTTTAGGGGAATGATAATGCAACGTTATGGCAAACCGTTTTACCTCTTCAGAATAGCGTCGGCCTTGACAAGATTTATTCTTATTTCTTTTTTCATTTTGTAATAAAGGAACAAGTAAATCACCAAACTCACTACTCAATTTAGAAGCATCGTTTTCTGCCAAAATATTTTTGTCTTGTAAAGTTTTAAATAATGTTTTTAAATTTTTAATATTTTTCTCTTTACGTTGTATGCTTTTAATTAAAGCTCTATTGTGCTTTTTCTTTGATTCCAAGCTTTGTTTTAATGCAGCTTCTTTATTATTAATAATAATATTAAACGTGCTGGCTTGTTGCTCTAATCGTTCTTCCAGTAATATTTTTAGGTCTATTATTTTCTGTTTCAATATTTTATTCTCTCCAGATAACTTCTCACAATTTAAACCTGTAACATATTAAAGATAATTAAATATTTATAAATTCATATATGTATATACATTAAAACAATTGCTTTTAATTTAAAAGAATGTATACATTTTGATATAGAAGTAACATCATTTTGTTCCTTATCATTTTGGTCAATTTGTTGCTCATCGATGAGCATAACATCATCTTGCTCAACTTGTTGCTCATCAATAAGCATAACATCATTTTGTTCAACTTTGCTTATGTTAGCTTCTTCTTCATCAATGAGCTTATCATTTTGTTCTTCATTAATATGTGTGTGTGAGGGTGTGTCATTTTTATTATCTGTGATAAATACATTTTTTTTAATACTGTTCATTATTTTTTACCTTCACGAAGTAAGGTAAAAAATAATGAGTAAAAAATATTCATACTTAAAATAATGTTACTTACATTTGTTGATTTTATTTCCTTTATCTTGTAGCATTTGGTTTATGTTTTTATGAACATATTGTGTTGGAAATACATCAGGTTTCAGAAACTTTCTATTTACATGTTTTGTATGAGTAAAATAATCATTATTTGTGAAATGTAAACTGCATACTCGTGCATTCGAATTCAAACCATCAATTCCAGTGGCCATAATCCAATATTTAAAACAATTTTCATTTTTAGATGGAAATCTAAAATTATATTATTAGAATATATATCCACTTTTGAGAGTGCATTATAAAAAAGATTATATACAGGGTGACCCATTTTAATTTCCCCAGCCAAATATTTCGGAAAATAAAAAAAAATCAAAAAATGTTTCAGACAAAAGTTGTATGGTTTCTAGGGGGACATAAGATGGTGCCATTGGTTTGACCTTGAAGAGTTATTTGAAGGTCACATGAAGGTCACCTTCAATTTCTTAAATGGAACCTACATTTTCTCCTTACATATTCTTGTAGCTTATCTCGAGAGCTTTCCAAAACACTATAATAAAATATTTTTTTATTGAGTACTTTTCGAGTTATGAGGCTTGAAATCATTTCTTAATTTAACATAAACCGTAATATATCTAGTAAAATATTCATTTTTCGATTATCTTGCTTTAATACTTTTATGTACAAAATAATGAGAGAAATCAATTGGTGTAAAAAAAACACATAGTTGTTTCAAAGAAAAAATATGTAATTGTTAATTGCAAATTACATATTTTTTCTTAAAAATAACTATGTGTTTTCTTTACACCAATTGATTCCTCTCATTATTTTGTACATAAAAGTATTAAAGCAAGATAATCGAAAAATGAATATTTTACTAGATATATTACGGTTTATGTTAAATTAAGAAATGATTTCAAGCCTCATAACTCGAAAAGTACTCAATAAAAAAATATTTTATTATAGTGTTTTGGAAAGCTCTCGAGATAAGCTACAAGAATATGTAAGGAGAAAATGGCACCATCTTATGTCCCCCTAGAAACCATACAACTTTTGTCTGAAACATTTTTTTGATTTTTCATTATTTTCCGAAATATTTGGCTGGGGAAATTAAAATAGGACACCCTGTATAACCAGAAGAATTATACATTTGCATTATTGTAAAGTTTAAACTATAAAACTTTGATTGACTTATATAATAAAACTTCATTAATTATAGATAAATAATTATAATAGATTACATTTACCTATGAAATGTTATCTTGGAATGTTTTTTCCATAGACTTTTACACCCTTTAACGCTACATGCCATAGGCATATTTGTACGAAATATTTAAATCAAGACCAAGAATTATTAAACCAAGAATTATTATTATTATACACCAACAAACGATATCCACAGCTTGTGTCTTGCACTAACAATAAATTGACGCAAAAAGTAAAATGAAAATTTTATATATTTATATCACTCAAACTAGTGACAGATGTCCGCCATTAGTTTTCCACCAACGTTACGCATGCGCGGCCGCCATATTACATGGTTTTCGGGGACACTTTTTATGTACAAAATCAATGGAAGTTAGCGATCTAGTTATAGTATAGATATCTGTGGGTCAATCGCGACGTGTCAAACGGGACGCTCCCATTGCTACTCTTCGCGTTATCAAAATATATACAAACGAGAAATAAAAATTCCTATACTGCTCCCGTACAAATCTAGTGCGTTCGAAAATATGTTTGTAGTGCGTTCGAAAATATGTTTGGTTGGTGTTGGGAAAAAAGATAAAGTTGGCAGTATTGAAAACTCCCAGTGCTGCGTTTCGTTTCTCCCACTGGGATCATTAGGATTGTATTGTACCGTATGTACAATATATAAAAGTGTTGCAATTACATTAATTATTATTATGGAACAATATATTTTACTCGAAAACATCATTTTTGAATCTTCGAGTAGTTCTTCTTCAGATAGTGATGATAATAATGAAGAATTACAAAATATTTTATTCGAAAATAGAGGTAATAACAACAGAGGTGAAAGGAAAATAGTACCAAAAATAACAGATTATTTGGAAAATGTTGTTACCAGATATACAAATATTGAATTTAAATCACATTTTAGGTAAATCATGTCACTTTATTATAATTATAGCATTATTAATATAAAACACATTTTCGTATTAATAATAATATATGTGATGTTATTAAACATGTTATTATAAAATATATTTAACTTATTTACCTCTTTTAATATCTCAAGTAGCAAATTTTTTTAATCTCAGTGATCCCAGTGGGAGAAACGAAACGCAGCACTGGGAGTTTTCAATACTGCCAACTTTATCTTTTTTCCCAACACCAACCAAACATATTTTCGAACGCACTAATGGAATATCGACATAAAACCGAGGGAAATGTCAATTTTTTCTTAATCTTGGAGAGAACGACTCTTGGAGAAAACTCTCTAGAGGGCAGAGAGGGAATCTCATGGTGGCATGGCATGGCACTGGCACGACGCGCTGGAGGCATGGTGGGGTGGAAATCCAAGCCAGTGAAGCATTGAGTGTGTCCTCTCATAACCTCTTCGGGATCAGCGTTTTCGAGCTCTCTGCTTTTCGCGAGACGGCGTATTTCCACGAGAGCGACGACTTTCGCTGGTTCACCTCGGCTCGGCTTCGCCCGAGATTAAAGGATTCAGGAGCGATTTGTTCCAAGCACGAGCGTTTCCCTGTTCGAGAGAATCCCTCATAGAGCTTCGCGGAGCTTGCGGAGGAAGAGGAGCAGGAGACGAAGAAGGGTAATGTTATCAGCAACAGATGCTGTTTGCGCGAAAGCTGCGACATCGCTCCTCGAGTTCATCAGGATTCTCGTCGAGTGGCCTTCACGTGTTTTTTTTTCGCATTGAACTCGTTAGATCCTTGGACGATAGAGTCCTTCGAACGCGTGTAATCTCATCATTAGGCACACGAGAGTTAAAGTCGAAATCGCAAGTTGCTGCAAATGTCGTAACTTTGAAAAATACCTGTTTACATTTGCGGTAAAAACTGTGGAGTAACGCTGATAATTGTACTCGAAAAAAATTCCCCCTCCCGCCATTTAGCGTTAAACAGTGCAGTCTTTGTAATTAAGAATTTTTATCATACATGACTTTAATTTTTTTCTACTTAATTTATCTCAATAGAAAAGATTTTTATGAGATTTTCTAAATTTTTATTTAATTTTTATTTAATTTATGTCAATAGAAAAGATTTTTATGAGATTTTTTAAATTTTTATTTAATTTTTATTTAATTCATTTCTATTTATTTAATTTATGTTAATAGAAAAGATTTTTATGAGCTTTAAAAAACTACTTGTTTACATTTGTAAGGAAAATATTTTTACAAGCTCTCCTGCAAAAGTTTTTTTCTTTTTTGTCTCTCAAAATAAAACGCATAAAATTTCCTCGTTATCGCTTATCAATCGCGAGAGATATTTGCTGGCTCGCAAAAATATTGATTTGTGTAAGGAGTTTAAATTTGTAACGTGTGTACTTATCATTTTTTTGGTGTTATTGACGAATCAGGTAACTCTAGGTAACTGCAAGTCACATCCGTAAAGTGTGGGTCATGCAGACCACTTGCAGAGTAATGTAATGAATAGCTGTGGGAACTCTAATATTAGCACGAGGCTACGTGGTTCCAAGTGTGCCGAGACTCCAGACGAGTCTATAAATCAAATCGGGGAGATTGAGAAGGAAGGCAGTGGCGTGATAAGTGGTTACAGTATAAACGAGCTTAATGTACCACGCAGCACCCTGGTCATTTGCCAACGAAATTCCAACTATTCTTCGGATCACGGCTTCACCAGATTCAAACCAAGGTTTTCCTGTTTTCTTTATTTCGATCAATAGTATGCTATCCAGTGTCTTATCGATTAATGAGATTGTTACAATGTGAAATCTTTGTGTTAGACTCAGCAGTGTTCCAAGAAATGAATTTCGAATGGCGCGCGGCGGCAGCTCTGCAGATCGTGCCAGAGGTGGGACGCGTGGGAGAGCCTTCAAGAAGATCCTCAATGATCGCGAATCAAACTCAGAGTCCAGCTACCACTCTACATCTAGACCCAAGTTTCAAGAATCGTTGAAAAATCATGAGAACGCACAGGGCAAATACTATGACGATAAAAGAATAAATGGTAATTCGTGGGTCTATTTTATTTTAAAATAAAAAATTCTAAATACGGCTAGTACGAGCTATAAATATAGGGATGTTAAAAATAAAACTAAATAGTGTATCTTGATTGATATTTAATGTGGTATGTTTTTTCACGTACTTGTGCTTCTTCAGCCACTATGAAAAAATTCTTCTAGAATCTTACAACAACATTCAAACGATATGCCAACATCTATCTATCAGTATATCATTATTAATTTATTAAAAATTAGTTTATTAATTAATTTATTCAAATAAAATTATTCATTGTCAATCAAAGAATTAGAAAGTTCTCTGATTGTCAACGGTTCAACATGCTGACACATTCAAAGACACTTAATAACTGACCAATTATTTTATTTTATTTTTTTTCGTGTTTTTGTGACACGTGCAAGTTTTATTCTTTCTTTATTCTTTAAATTTTGTCATTTATTCCAGAGGACTCGAGAATTTCCAAACTCTTGCGACGACTGTGTCGCGAAGATGATTACGATCACTTCATGGTGCTCTGCAAGCAAGTACAAGAGGGTATTCTTGCACCTGAAAATCAACGATACATACGACGGAACCTGGAACTTATTTGCGAGAATCTGTTGGATGTTTTGCATTCTGGCCCTGGTCAAGAAGCAAAACAACAGGTTGCCAAGTGCTTGGGTCGCATTGGATATGTGGTAGAACAAGATTTTAAAAGGTACACTGCAATCGCGAGTTGTGTGTGAAAAAAATATTCTTTGTCTTTTCTTACATTTACAATATAACGATGTAAAATTACAAAAATTCTAGGGCCAATAATACGAGCTAATTACCAGAGTTGCCAAAAAACTTGTTTTTTTTTTATTTTAAACAAAAAACATTGTTTTTTTGTTTAGAACAATGTTTTTTGTTTTATTTGTGTTTTTAAGTAAAGTAAAAAAAACATGTTTCAAACAAAAGCATGTTTTAAACAAGCAAAAAACACTTAATAACTTTGATCTGTGTAAATATTTAAATTTTTCGCTAGCCTTAAACTGTATTATTTATATTTTTAATAGTTTAACTGTATTATTTATATTTTTAATATTTTTATAGTTTTCGTTAGCGTTAAACTGTATTATTTATATTTTTAATAGCGTTGCCAAAATTGACAACGCTATTAAAAATATAAATAATAAAATAAAAATGACTAGATGGGTATTATTTCAGCAGAATATTTATTTTTGGATATTAAATGACAATCAATACAATAAAGATTACTTACAAAATATTGACTGACTTTACATTTTACATTTTAACATTTTCAATTAATAATTCAATATAATACTCATAGCAAGTCAGTAGTTCTAAAAAAAAGTTCTAGTTAATAATATTTAATATATAATACTTCGGTTCCTTTCTTATTCTTATTAAGTAACCTCATGCTTAACTCTTAACATAAATTATAAATAAAAGAAAAATAAAAAATCTTAATTCTTTTTTTAAAAGAAGAACTTTTTTTTTAGAACTGCTATGAGTTATGTACTATTAATTTAAAATACTAAAATGTAAAATGTAAAATCAGTCAATATCTTCTAATTTTTATTGCATTGATTGTTAATTAATATCCAAAAATAAATATTCTGCTAAAATAATACTCATCTTATCATTTTTATTTTATTATTTATATTTTTATATCTATATGTTACATAAATATAGATAAAAAACTAAAAACACCAAAAACAAAAACTTTTTTGTAACATACACATTTATTAGGTTTTGTTAGTTTTTGATTTTTTTACAATTTTTTTTTTCAAATAATCATATATTTTGCGATATTTTAAACGGTCCTAAACAGTAGTTTAAAACAATTTAAAACAAAAATGTTTAAAACAGTGTCCACTGTTTTAAACAAGTTTTAATCAAATAGTTTTAAACACATTGTTTAAAACATGCCAATCCTGCTAATTACTAACATCTAAATAAAATAAAAACAAATATTTATAAATTTGTTTAATTAAATAATCACGTTTCGTGATTTTACTTAGTCTTCCTCAGTATAAAGAATAACAAAATCAATATATTAAAATCATCCATATTCATTTGCCAATATTATTCATATGTTGCAGAAAAATAAGTATAAATTTAATCAAAATGTAAAATAAAAAAAATCCATCGTTAGAGCGCTATAAAATAAATAATAAGAAGCCCATAAACACTTATACGGAACAAAATGTTTCAACAGCTAAAAAATGAGTATAAAAATTTATTTTATAGCTCTCTAACGATGGATTTTTCTTATTTTACATTTTGATTAAACTTATACTTATTTTTCTGCGACATACGAATAATATTGGCAAATACGGATGAAAATAATATATTGATTTTGTTATTTTTCATACTGAGGAAGACTAAATAAGGTCGAAACGTTTGTAATTATTAAACAAACTTATAAATATTTGTTTTTATTTTATTTAGACCTTAGTAATTAGCTCGTATTATTGGTCCTAGAATGTTTATTATTGCTTTTTATTATTGCAACACACGAGCAATATTAGTGTTATTATTGTTTAATTTTCGTCTTAAAATTACAAAGCTTGTATATATTATTTCTAGATACATGGACTGGACCTTCAACAAATATTCATTGGAACGTAAAGATGATATAAAATGCTTACTAATAAAATCAATTAGCGAGACACTCAAGATGGATGCTGAGACATCTAAATTGAAAGATTTCTCTGTGGTAAATTTACATAAGGACCAGTGTTTGCTGTAGATAATTTCAAAATTATCTAGATAAAGATAAAGATAAAAATCCGTAAATTTATCTTAGATGAGATAAAGATGATTTTGCTTTTACTTAATCTAGATGAAAGATGAGATAATTATTGCAATAATCTAGATAATTATCTAGATATTTTTGTTTATTTTAGAAGACTATAAATATTTGTAAAAAATGTGACGAAGATTATAAATGGGTTATTAAAATCATAAACACATATTCTTTCTCTTTTTCTAAAGAATATTTAAATAATAGCAAAAAGATATATAAATGATATGATAAATATTTATTTATTAATTTATATTTATAATATATTTATAATATATTAATAATAATAATATAAAAAATATATTTTAGATATTTTAGATAGATTTTTAGAAGCGTGCTTGGAAAACTTTTTTGCATAATGAAAACGACATCTTAGACAATTTTTAGATAAGATAACATATATTTTTCATCTAAGCTAAAGATAAAGATACTTTGTATTTCTTCATCTAGTTAAAGATAAAGATGAGCCATTTCTTTATCTAGATGATTATCTAGATCATTTTATCTAGATACCAGCAAACACTGATAAGGACTAATAAAATAATCAACTTTCTTGACTCTGTTGACATACGATAATTATTAATCGTACTCGTGTTTGTTTCTTAGCCAATGATGTCCCAATTACAATCGATATTGGAAAATGTTGATAGAGCGGATTTACTGGTGGCGACTGTCGATGCTATTTTACTCATCATAGATTCCTATCCAGAGACATTCACCAATCACTTTCGCGATACCGTGGACATACTTGTAGGTTGGCACATTGATTCCACGCAGCAAAAGTCCGTCGTACTTTACGCAAGTCGATGCTTGCAAAAGCTGCGCTCGTTCTGGATATCGGATCTGCAGTTTACATTGACCTTGCTAGGCCAATTCTTGGAAGATATGGAGGGCTACGATGAGGAATTGAGTTCACCTGAGTCTGGTCGTATCTCACCCCACGGTGACGATGGATCTCCGACACCAAGGGAATGTATTCTGAGAATCACGTCCTTAATATCTGTCTTTAACACAGTAACCAAGAGCATGTCCGAGCATTTAAATCCGAATTTTGCGCCCAGCGTACAATGGTCTTTTCTAACGGATTGCTTATCGAAGATGCTAAAGACTGTCGTCAAGGCGATCGAATTGGAAGAAGAGAACGATACCTGGCCCAAAATTGTGTCTAACGATACGGAGAATTTGATGAAATGCCTCAAGAACATCAGCTCGTCCCAGAAACACGTCGAAATGCTCTCGAAGCATTTCGATAAGGACGAGATTACCGAGGAAAATCTCGTCAGGATGATGAAATCGTTGATTATAAATAAGAAGACTGACAAGAAAAATTTCAGGATAATCTCTGAAAAAGGTTCTCTGTCGAAGGAAAAGGGGCAATTGTTGATGAACGTTCTACGATCGGTGGAGCCAAAAGCCAAACAGGCCGATTTATCGGAAGAGAAGGAGGAACTGATCGTCGTCGCAAACGAATGCGCTTTCTTGCTTCTTGGCTATCTTCAAAGTCGCATCGCAAAAAATCACGAGCTCCTCTACAAATTTATCGATCTTCAATTGCAGCGAGTCAATATCTTCTGGGACGACACCATTATCTCGATGCTGACCGTCATATCGAAAGTAATAAAGGAAGTGTCTGCAAATTTGCCGCTGGAGTTGGTGCACACGTTGCTCGGCAAAAATTCGGCATTGCTGAAGCTGAGATTCCGAAATTCTATCCCCATTCAGAACGCGTGTCTGGGCGTGTATCATAGCCTCCTCAGCTTGAAGAATATTCCGTTATTGCAGGAATCTTATCGCTATATCCTAGCAGACTTGGAGATCGCTTATAGGCTCATATTGCCCGATATGGACAGTTTAGTCGTGGACAATCCATTGAACGACTTGGATTACACAAAGAGCGACATTGAGATAGTAATCACGTTTATACTGCTTGCGCTTTCTGACATAGGTGAGCGAATAACATGAACGATATTTAACAACCGTGTCCCAAACCCCTGATATACAACGACTTTTTTTTAGCAAATGCGAGCAATTCGATTATTGGAATGTGGGCTTTAAAGCCCAGCATCCTCGAACTTCTTGCAGTCAAATTAAGACCATATGACACTGCGCTATCTACCATCAGTCCATTCTTGCAATATAGTATTCTGTATTTGCTTTATGCTCATTGCTCTAGGTAAAAGAAAATTTCTTAATCCCTCCCAGTAGAAGAATCTAGACGTCCCGATAGCGTGTAACAATGAATAAGTTTTCAACAATTAACTTATTGCAGATACAATCACTTTGTTCCAAGTTCTAGCTTGATAACCGGCAACACGACTTGTCGGCCGATAGATATGTTCCCCGGAACTTTAGATGTACCAACCACATCGCCTACCAGCGGTCATTTATCTATAATTCTCAATCTGATAGCGAAGACGTACAACAAAAAAACGCCCGTACGAATTTTGCTTCTTTTGTCCAATTGGCTGCAAGAGATTTGCGTACAATCCGAAAAATATATCGGGATCTTGAGCAAAACTCAGGAGTGCCAGAGTATCACCACGAGTTTAATTAATTGCGGAGCTACGACTAATGATGACATTGCGATCGCGGTGTGCAATCTCTTGGAGATTTTGATGACCGCGAAGAAGGTGGAATGGAAGCAGGAGATTTATTCGAGCATCGTAGATTTAGCGACGTTGCATTTAACGTCGTGCGACAAAACGATCCGCGAGAAGTACGGTTCGCTACTAATGTGTATGCCAATCAACATTGTTATACCAAAATTGAATAAGGAGTATTTATTCTCAGACACTAAGGTAAATTCTTCGAGAATTTCTTCGAGAATAAAACAATGTATCGTGGCTGAAAGTGACATCTTTCAACTTTTAATTTTTACATTGAATTTTTATTTCAAACGCAGAAAATACGAGAAATTGAAACATATTCGACGGAATCGCTAATACTTGCTCAAAGATTGCACATGCGAGGTAATAATAACGGGGAGTTATTGGCGCAACATTTCAAAACGTATATGGCGTTTCTGTTGCAAGAGCATTACCTCGACGCGGCTGGTTTGTCAGAAATATTTACTCTCTGCTGGCCATCTATGTAAGTAGAAATTGTTCTTTTAGAAATATACAGAATGTTTCAGACCACCTGTACCACCCGTACATGGAACCCCCTATTTTTCATTACATATTCTTGTAGCTTAGCTCGAGAGCTTTTCAAAACACTATAATAAATTATTTTTCCAAAGTACTTTTCGAGTTATGAGGCTTGAAATAATTTCTTAATTTTACGTAAACTATAAAATATCTTGTAAAATATTCATTTTTCGATTATCTTACCTTAATACTTTTATATACAAAATAATGAGAGGAATCAATTGATGTAAAAAAAAACACATAGTTATTTTTAAGAAAAAATATGTAATTGTTAATTGCAAATTACATATTTTTGCTTCGAAACAATTATGTGTTTTCTTTACACCAATTCATTCCTCTCATTATTTTGTACATAAAAGTATTAAGGTAAGATAATCGAAAAATGAATATTTTACAAGATATTTTATGGTTTATGTAAAATTAAGAAGTGATTTCAAATTTCATAACTCGAAAAGTACTTCAAGGAAAAATAATTTATTATAGTGTTTTGGAAAGCTCTCGAGGTAAGCTACAAGAATATGCAATGAAAAATAGGGGGTTCCATTTTAAAAAATGCACTTCCGATCTGAATCGCCTATTTCCGGCCGGAACCAGAAGTTGAAAATATCACCATTCGATAGAGCGCACTCGATTTATAAAAAAAATGTTTTTATTTTTTTTAAATAACCACTTCTCTAGTTTTTAAATGGGTGGTAAGGGGCTGAAACATCCTGTATAAGCTGTATCATTTTAAGTGCAGCTGAATATCTTTTAAAATAAAAGAGATTGGAAAAAATGTTTCAGACAAAAGATGTTTGACTCGAAGGGGGACATAATATGATGCCATCAGTTGGAACTTGGATAATTGTTTAAAAGTCACATGAAAGTCACCTTTAATTTTTTAAACGAAACTCTCTATTTTTATTACTTATTATGATAGCTTGTCTCGAGAGCTTTCCAAAACACTATAATAAAGTATTTTTTCATTGAGAACTTTTCGAGTTATGAGGCTTGAAATAATTTCTTAATTTCACTTTCAATAAACCATAAAATCTGTAGGAAAGTATTCATTTTTCGATTATCTTATCTTAATACTTTTATGTACAAAATAATGAGAGGAATCAATTGGTCTAAAGAAAAAACATAGTTGTTTTTAAGAAAAAAATATGTAATTTGCAATTAACAATTACATATTTTTTCTTAAAAACAACTGCATGTTTTCTTTACATCAATTGATTTCTCTCATTATTTTGTACATGAAAGTATTAAAGTATGATAATCAAAAAATGAATATTTTACTAGATATTTTATGGTTTATGTAAAATTAAGAAATTATTTCAACCCTTATAACTCGAAAAATACTTCATGGAAAAATACTTTATTGTAGTGTTTTGGAAAGCTCTCGAGATAAGCTATCAGAATAAATAATAAAAATAGAGAGTTCCGTTAAAAAAATTAAAGGTGACCTTCATGTGACTTTCAAACAATTATCCAAGGTCAAACTAATGGCATCATCTTATGTCCCCCTTCGAGTCAAACACCTTTTGTCTGAAACATTTTTTCCAATCTCTTTTATTTTAAGAGATATTCAAATGATACACTCTGTAGAATAGGAAATACAAGATGTGACGTATATTTATACGAAATACTTCCAGATCGGAAAGTGAAACTACGGCGAGGATGTATGACTTGGCGCTGGCAAATTGTTCATTCTTGTTCTTCTGGAGCGGCTTCGAGTCGGCGCAACATTGCGTGCTCAACAAGCTCCGTACATTTCTGGGAAAACCCCAGGAAACTTTTACATCGATCGAGAGTGCTCTGAAAGTTCTGGCTCGCGAGATATCTTACAACACAGACGTGATAGTAAAGAAGGAGAAACAAAGCTTGGATCGCATGTTGCACGAGCATACGCGGGTACGTCTTTTTATAGAGTTCCTGGAACACCTGGAAAGAATGATTCACAACGCGGCAGATGGTTGCGCGATGGCGCTCCTGCCTTTGTCGAAGCCAGTCAGGACCTTTTTCCATACAAATAAATCGACGTGTAAGGAATGGTTGAATCGCATACGACTGGCCTTGTGCGTCGTCTCGTTGCACTCAGGCCTGGCGACGAACGCTCTACGAAACGGTCAGAGGCTGCTGGAAGACTTGAGCAACGCTGATAACACGCAGGGGATAGAGTTTGAGAGAGCAACGTTGTGGACAGCGCAGGCGATGGTCGCGCTGAACGAGGCGGAAGCCTTGCAAGGACTCTACGTGTACACCAAGACAAAGGACAGGCAGTTTCCATGGCTGAAAGCTGCGATGGAAGAGGCCGCCGGACATTACGAGTCGGCAGTGCAGATTTACAAGCAGATAATCGACGAACATATGCATGCTAAAACGGATGATGACGAGAACGGTAGAGCCACGAGGCTCGAGAGTGACAATCAAGTATTGGGATTTTGCATGCAGCGACTTACCAATTGTTACAAAGCGGTCACCGACTGGTCCGGGTTGGTGGATTGGAAATTACAAGAAAATGATATACTAACGCAAGAAAGAAATACCGTTTTGCGAAGACAAATTGCGGAGAATGTCGTGTTGGAGCAGGCAGATTGTTTGAAGAGGTTTGAAGAGGGGGACCTGATCAACGTAGACGAACTGACAAATTGGAATCTGCTGGACGACGAGAAGAAGGGTAGCTGGAGTTGCGCGAAGGCGCTGAGCGAATGTAGCAATAGTCTGGTGAACATTGCTCTGAGGATTCGCGGTAACGAATTTAAGGACTCGTTCGGGAACGTTATCGAGAAATGCGAGAAGGTCGCGGCTAAGACGATGCAAGACAGTTTGCGAAACGTACCATCGGAATACCTAAATGACGCTATATTGCTTCAGTATTCCGCAACGGGACTGAGGAATTTGTTACGTGGTAAAAATGACGAAAACGTCTTCGAACTCTACAAGATCGATAAGATCAATTACATTAACTCCAACATTTTAACGCAAGTCTTATGGTGGTCCAAGTATTTTGATCAACCGACCGACAATAGTTCCACGGAGGTGGATAGTTTACGATTGCACGTCATTCGAACGGCCAGGAAGGAAGGCAATTTTAATTTAGCGAAACGGGAGATGGTCAAGTACTTCAAACTGGAACAAGATTTGATCCAACTGAAAAATTCGACCGCCACCTGCACCTTCGCCGACATCACCAGCAGCATGCTGAACGGGCCCGTTCACGTAAAGTGGACGAAAAATAGCATGCGCGCTTTCAGAGAATTTTCTAAATTGCTGTACGACATGGAGAACATGAACGAGGCGTTGAAAGTATGCTGCGTAACTTCCTTGGGGATTTCGCAGGCGATCGTCAACGGCGAACAGTCCGCCGATTTGCGGGAGATGGGAACCAAGCTCCTGCTCACCCTAAGTAAATGGATACAGCAGGACATGAATGTAAAGGACAATCCTCAGCTGGAAGAATTGCTCAGATTCGAAGCCGTGCACAACGATGGTCTGATGGATAAACTGTTTGGCGACACGATCGATTTGATCCCGACGTCCGACATGATAATCGGCAAGCTGATGCAGCTCGGCGTGAACCAGTGCCCGGATCTGCCGCACGCGTGGTCCAATTTCGCCGCCTGGTGCTACAAGTGGGGTCGAAAGATCGTGGACAACTCCAACTCTGGCCAATTGACGGACACCGATCGGTTCAACATACAATCCCTGCTGCCGATGGATACGACCGAGGCCGACCTCAACACCGTCTTCTGCATACTTAGCCAGAACAAGACTATACCCGAGGATGAGGGCGACATAGACACAAACGACGTGAACACATCCGACATGATAGAGAACCAACTGAGGAACGTCCCGGTTTTGAATCACGCCGGCAACGAACACCTTCTCGGCATGCTGGTCGACATTTGGCGACAGGCGCAGAAGAGGATCTACTCGTATTACGAGCTATCGGCAAATGCGTACTTCAAGTATTTACAGTTGGCTAATAACGAGAGCAACGAGTGCGACACCATCACGGCAACGTTAAGATTATTAAGGCTTGTGGTAAAGCACGCGCTGGAGCTGCAGAACGTGCTCGAGGCTGGCCTCTCGACAACACCGACCGCGCCTTGGAAGGAGATTATACCGCAGTTATTCTCGAGACTCAGCCACCCTGAGGCATACGTGAGGACCCAGGTATCCGAGCTGTTATGTCGCGTGGCGGAGAATTCGCCGCATTTGATTACATTTCCGGCCGTGGTGGGCGCCGTTTCCGGTCTGAAGACCTACGATAAGGTCGTCTACGAGAAGCCGAACGACAACGATAATTCGCAGAACGAATTGGACTTGAATGCCGCTGAGGAGGACGAGGCAGTCGCTTCGTACAGCGACGAGCACGAAGGTTTCATGGATTCCTGTTTCTCCCAATTGGTCGATTGTCTTTCGGGTCGCATCCAGGATTCGATAGTCCAGGTGAAGGTGTTGGTGAAGGAGCTCAGACGAATCACTTTGCTGTGGGACGAATTGTGGCTGGCGACTTTGTGCCAGCATCACACCGAGATTACCAAGCGATTCGAGCAGCTGGAGATTGAGATCCAGCGGGTGCAGAATAACGTCTGGCTTGCGCCCGAAGAGAAGGACAAACTGATCGCGGAGAAGCACAGAATTATTCTAAAGCCAATCACGTTCATCCTGGAAAATCTCCTTTCTATGACATCTGTCCCTGCCGAGACTCCGCATGAGAGAAATTTCCAGGAGAAGTTTGGCGCCTCTATAGAAGAGGTGATAAACCGATTGAACAATCCCAAGAATCCGTCCAAGCCGCAAATGGCTAGTTTGGCCCTCAAGCACTTGGAGACCAAATTGGCGCAACGCGTACACAGACGGGCCGCTTATTCTCTATCCATGACGGATATCAGTCCTATTCTAGCCAATCTGAAGAACACATGCATCGCCATGCCTGGCGTCGCTGCCGCCGACAACAAGATCGTCACAATCATGTCGGTGGACAACAATGTTCAGATTCTCCCGACCAAAACGAAACCGAAGAAGCTGATATTCCACGGTTCCGACGGTCACGTGTACACATATCTGTTTAAGGGATTGGAGGACCTGCACCTGGACGAGAGAATAATGCAGTTTCTAAGCATATGTAATACCATGATGTCGAAGAACAGCGGTACGAAGATGTACAGGGCGCGACATTACTCGGTGATTCCGCTGGGTCCTAGATCAGGTCTCATTCAGTGGGTCGATGGTGTAACGCCACTGTTTATACTGTACAAACGATGGCAACAGCGCGAATGCGCTATGAGCAGCAAGAGCGGTGGCAATTCAACGATTATGCGACCGTCGGAATTGTTTTACAACAAGTTGACGCCGTTACTGAAGGAGTGTGGAATCGGCTTGGAGAATCGCAAGGAGTGGCCCACTCATGTGCTGAAGAAAGTATTAGAGGAGCTAATGAAGGAAACTCCCAAGGACCTACTGGCTAAGTTAGTTGCTTGGAAAAAATGGGCACACTTATAGGGTGTCCCAAACCACCCATACATCCCTTTTAAAATGAAAATAAATGGCTTTAAAAATCGCGAACAATTTTTAAGTAAATCGGGTACGCTCTATCAAATGGTGATTTTTCAACTTTTGATTCCGACCGGAAATACGTCATCCGGATCGGAAGTTGAATTTTTTTAGGAAAACATGGTACTTTTTATTACAGATTCGAATTGTACGCGAAAAAATAAGAAACTTTTGTGTCAAACGTTTTTTCTGAAAGTGCCTCTGTCAATCTTAAAATTGACCTTGATTATTTCGTCACAGTTACTTCCAAGGTCAATTTTAAGATTGACAGAGGCACTTTTGGAAAAAACGTTTGATACAAAAGTTTCTTATTTTTTCACGTACAATTCGAATCTGTAATAAAAAGTATCACGTTCCCTTAAAAAAATTCAACTTCCGATCCGGATGACGTATTTCCGGTCGGAATCAAAAGTTGAAAATATCACCATTTGATAAAGCGTACCTGATTTACTTAAAAATTGTTCGCGATTTTTGATAAAAGTCATTTATTTTCATTTTAAAAGGGGTGTACGAGTGGTCTGGGACACTCTGTATACAGGGAGGTAGAAAAGTCTGGAAACGGTCAAATATCTCGAAAACGAAATGTTTCTGAGAAAAATGTTTCAAATCAAAGTTGTAGGGTTTTAAAAGTTCTATTCAATGATCATATCCATTTGACCTTGAGTTAAGGGATCAAGGCGAGGTCAAGGCCAACATAATTTTTTTAAACGGAAACCGCAATTTTTTATTGCGTATTCTTGTAGCTGACTTCGAGAGCTTTCCAAAACACTATAATTAAGTTAGTTTTCATTAAGTACTTTCCGAGGTATGAGGCTTTTGAAATAATTTCTTAATTTTACATGAACTGTAAAATATCTTGTAAAATATTCATTTTTCGATTATCTTACCTTAATACTTTTATGTACAAAATAATGAGAGGAATCAATCGATGTAAAGAAAACACATAATTGTTTCGGAGAAAAAATATGTAATTTGCAATTAACAATTACATATTTTTTCTTAAAAAGAACTGTGTGTTTTCTTTACACCAATTGATTCCTCTCATTATTTTGTACATAAAAGTATTAAGGTAAGATAATCGAAAAATGAATATTTTACAAGATATTTTATGGTTTATGTAAAATTAAGAAATGATTTCAAGCCTCATAATTCGAAAAGTACTCAATGAAAAAATACTTTATTATAATGTTTTGGAAAGCTGTCGAGATGAGCTACAAGAATATGCAATAAAAAATGGAGGTTTCCGTTTAAAAAAATCATGTTGACCTTGACCTCTCCTTATCCTCTCCACTCAAGGTCAAATGGATATGATCATTGAATAGAACTTTTAAAACCCTACAACTTTGGTTGGAAACATTTTTCTCAGGAACGTTTCGTTTTCGAAATATTTGACCGTTTTCAGACTTCCCTAACACCCTGTATGTATTTGTCGTGATTAAATTGTTGAAAATTTATTTTGTAATGTACGTTTCAGGGAAATCTGGTGCAACAGCATCAATGCCGGTAGCTGGTGGCAAGCCACCAAGAATTATTCTTATTCCGTCGCAGTAATGTCCATTATTGGCTACATCATAGGCTTAGGTGACAGGCACCTGGACAATGTCCTCGTCGACCTCAATACTGGCGAAGTTGTGCACATCGATTACAACGTCTGCTTCGAGAAGGGAAAAACTCTGCGCGTCCCGGAGAAGGTGCCGTTCCGCATGACGCCCAATATCAAAACGGCTTTGGGAGTAACTGGTGTCGAGGTAAGGACAGTAAGACGAGGGAAACAAAAAGAGAAAAAGAGAGGGAAAATAATCTTTACATTATTATTTTACTTTTTAATCCTAAAGAGTCTGACCGACGATGATATTCATCGCGCGATAGCTTGTGATGCTTTTATAATTGTTTCGTTTGTATTTTTGATTTTCCAAAAAAAAGATATTTATATACGGGGTATCTTTAAAATTTGATCCGGCTCCTGGATCTCGGAAACGGCTTTAGAAAAATGTTTCAGACAAAAGTTGTAGGATATTCTAGAGGGATAGATGATGAAAATATGGACTCAACCTTGATCTTTCCAAGGTCAGGTCAATGTGATCGATGTTCTCTTAAATTATACGTTCATCATATTTTCTAGAGCTGAGATCCAAAGGCTGGATCAGATTTTAGAGACACATCCTGTACACAAATATAAAAGTGTGTGAGATAATTTTTATAGAATTTTTTTATTAGAGCTTAAGATATTTCCATCGAATTTTCAACTCTACAGAATTAGATTTACAAAATTGTGTTGTCAACTTTATTCTTCGCTAGATTAGGTCAACAACCGGATGACTATCCATGTAAATTGCCATTTTCTTGTTTACCATTTTCTGCATTCGTCTGCTGATTCTTTATCTCACGTTGTTTCTCCAAATACATTTTGAAGCTCGAGTTTAAATCTTGATTTGGCGACTTGCAGTGCCAAATTTTCTGAAAGGCCTTGCGGAAATTGGTGTTTTTCCATGCATATATGAAGGGATTCATTCCGCTATTGGCAACTGCCAATGCAAATGTAACTTTATAGTAATCCATCGGAAACGTTTCCACGTCACAGGACCGGATACAAAGTACGATGATGTAGGGAAGCCAGCAAATTGAGAAGCAGCCAAGTATCAGCAGCACTACCTACGAAAAAAATTCATATTCAAGTTTTACTTTCAATTCCCACTTCAAAATGATACATCATACCTGCACGCTTTTGCGATCAATTTTCTCAGCAATGTTGGAAATACTACCGCAATTCATTCGGCGTGCATGCCCGGACGCCTCTTTCCAAATCTTCCAATATAACAGAAACATTGCTACCCAGCTGAGAAAAAAGGACGGCAGCAGGATAAACAATATGTAGTTTCTGCAAAAAAGAAACATAATTTATTTAATTTAATTTGCAATCGAAGAGAGAAAAAAGAAAACAGAAAAACGTTGATGATATTAAACCAATCGATGGTGAAAGATAATTTACGACGATTGCGAGCCCTAGAGATGTGACACAATTATATTTTTAGCCCACACACCACATGTTCCAAGCTATTCTGGAATATCGAAACTTATCATCCATATCGGGCGATTAGCGAGAAATGATGAATCATTGGCAATCGGTACCTCGGCAATATCTCTTCCATTTCGCACGTTATTAAGGTGTCGAAGCAATTCCAATATGTCGGTATGGACGACACGCTCATGGTGCATGTCCAGCCGATGGCTATGATAATCAGCACGCGTTTCCTCGTCACGTACGCGTTGTAACCCAACGGGTGCACGATGGCGATGTAACGGTCTATGGCGATCGCTATGATATTACATACGCTTCCGCCACAGGCCAAGCCGATGATGACGAAGCGCGAGATGCACACCGCCTTGTTGTAGTTCAACGAGTTATCCACGTAAAACGCCAGGTGATACAGCAACGATGCACCCACCAGGAGATCCGACACCGCTAGGTTGAGTATGAAGTAATTGGAAACGACGCTCCGAAGCTTGCGGGCCCACGCGATTGCCAGTATCGTGAGAACATTCCCCGAAACGATCACGATAAATAGGAAGCTATCTACGAAGATCCAAATGGATCTAGCGTCAATTTCTGGCAAGGGGGTTGCTAGAGAAGAACTCGAGATGCTTACGGTCGCGTCAGTAAAGGTGCTCTCTTCTAAATACATAGTTCTGAAAAAATAAGCTGGTGTCTTTAAAGATATACAGAGTGGTCCACTTAAATATGTCACGTGTTTTTGATGATAAAAAAAGTGTCTTAGGAAAAAGTTGCATCGTTTGAAGCCCATACAGCACAGAACCTTGCAGCAATATTACAGCAACATTGTAATATTGCTGGGGCATTGCAATATTACAATATTGCTGCAGTGTTCTGTGCTGTATGGGAAGGGCAATTATCATGACAGAATTTTTTTTTCCTCACAATCATTTTTTCTTTAGAGATTTGGAGGTCGACCTAGTTTTTTAGTGGAATCACCCTAATTTTTTTTATATAAATTGATTCTTTTCCTTGAAAGAAAAATTTTTTCTTTCATTATATTTATCTCTTGAATATTTTTTCTTAGGCATTTTTTTCCTATCATCAGAGTAAGTGAGATATTTAATAAGATGCTTGCTTTAAATAAAATACTCTGTATATGACTTTAAGATTCTATATTTTTTTTCACAAGCTTACAGAGAAGTTTTTGAGATTCAAGATTTAATTATCACCTCTGATTCTAATTTTCTGTATTTGAATTTATAGATTTATTAAATTTTTTGCAGCAATATTACATGTTGCTGCAATATTGCTGCAATGTTCTGTGCTATACGGGAAGGGCAATTATCGTGATAGAATTTTTTTTCACAAGCTTACAGAGAAGTTTTTGAGATTCAAGATTTAACTATCATCTCTGATTCTAATTTTCTATATTTGAATTTATAGATTTATTAAATTTTTTGCAGCAATATTACAATGTTGCTGCAATATTGCTGCAATGTTCTGTGCTATATGGGAAGGGCAATTATCATGATACAATTTTTTTTTCCTCAAAATCATTTTTTCTTTAGAGATTTGGAGATCGACCTAGTTTTTTAGTGGAATCACCCTAATTTTTTTTTATATAAATTGATTCCTTTTTCCTTGAAAGAAAAATTTTTTCTTTCATTATATTTACCTCTTGAACATTTTTTCTTAGGCATTTTTTTCCTATCATCAGAGCAAGTGAGATATTTAATGAGATCCTCGCTTTAAATAAAACACTCTGTATATGACTTTAAGATTCTATATTTTCTTTGACAAGCTTACAGAGAAGTTTTTGAGATTCAAGATTTAACTATTACCTCTGATTATAATTTTCTATATTTGAATTTATAGAATTTATATATTTTTTAATTTTTTTTTCTATAAGAGATGTATCAATATTACATTTTAAAAAGTAAAACATAGTTAAAGTTACCTTATCTTTTTTGCCGTAAAAATGTTGCGCAGATAGATAAATTTAGAGAAATCAGATTAAATATGTATTCATGTCTTAATCTCGCTTGCCTTAGGAAGATGTGGTCTCAGTTATACAAAAAACTGTTGCGTGAAATCGTGAATACAATTTTTACTCTAAAAGCATGTAAAATGATCAGTCGGGCCTGGTCTATTCAAAGTCAACGTGGGATCTCTTACCTTGGCCATTTACCTTCCACAAACACGAAGAGAAACAGGCTTTCGATGATACTCTACAAAACGTCAAAGTACACATTGGATCACGCATCACGATTACGTAAATCTACGAAACGTTCAGATGAATTTTCCCTTATTAGAGAAAGAAAAATTACGATGAGAAGTGACTCACCTCGCCTTTGTTTCGTCACTTTTGGAAGAAACGGGAGTTTCCCCTTGAGGAGGCGCGAATTTTTTATTTTCATCAGAACGTTTGTAATAAGTTTTAACGAGAGAATGTGAATCAATACGAAGCAATCTGCGACCGATAGGACACTGCTTTGTTCGTTCAAGTGTGACTTCACTTATCTGCTCATCCGTGTGGTTTCCCTGACAAAGAACTGTCCCAACTATCAGCTGCTATCAGTGGTCGGTTCGAGAGAAAAGTCGATGGGAAACGAATCAATGCAAAATTACGATGCGATCGATGCTTATTATATTCCCATCCCTGTAACGAATGTATAATGGTACATAATGATAGAAATTGCTATTTATGTGTCTAGGGTATATTTAGGTTTGCCTGCGAGCATACCTTGAGAGTGATGCGTAGAGGCCGCGAGACGCTCCTGACCTTGCTGGAGGCCTTCGTCTACGATCCTCTGGTGGATTGGCGAGCTGGCGCGGATACAAGTATAGCGAGCTACGGTGCCTGCCAGGCCAGGGCGAGGTGCACCGGTGTCGGGAGGAAACAATTGGAACAGGAACTCACGCGCGCGATGTTCGCCGTGAGAACGACGGAGATGCGTGTCGAATGGCTGGCCAATCGGTGAGCGACAAGTTTCACTCAAAAATGTCCCATTCCCATTTTTTTGGTTTCAAATTTAAAGGTGAAGCTAGAGAGTTCTGCTACTTGAACTACAAAATTTCCTGTTTGTTTAGATACCTTCTTATTTCATAGGAAGAATGTTGTAAGAAGTTCTCGTAAAGAAGCTTTGTATTCTTAGCAATTTATTTCTTACTAGTTAATTATACAGGGTGGGCCATTTTATTTCGTCAAATCACTCAAATATCTCCAAACTTGTAAGTTTTAGAAGAAAACTTTTTAGAAGAAAGTTGTTTGGTTCTGAGGGAGACAGAAGATAGAAATATTAGTCAGACCTGGAGTGGCCTTGTTAAGGTCATATCAAGGTCACATTGAATTTTTTAAATTGAAACCCCTATATTTCATTGCATATTCTTGTAGCTTATCTCGAGAGCTTTCCAAAACACTATAATAAATTATTTTTCCATAGAGTACTTTTCGAGTTATGAGGATTAAAATCATTTCTTAATTTTACATAAACCATAAAATATCTTTTAAAATATTCATTTTTCGATTATCTTACCTTCATACTTTTATGTGCAAAATAATGAGAGGAATCAATTGGTATAAAGAAAACACATAATTGTTTCGAAGAAAAAATATGTAATTTGCAATTAACAATTACATATTTTTTCTTAAAAACAACTATGTGTTTTTTTACACCAATTGATTCCTCTCATTATTTTGTATATAAAAGTATTAAGGTAAGATAATCAAAAAATGAATATTTTACTAGATATTTTATGGTTTGTGTAAAATTAAGAAATGATTTCAAGCCTCATGACTCGAAAAGTACTCAACGAAAAAATACTTTATTATAGTGTTTTGAAAAGCTCTTGAGATAAGCTACAAGAATGTGCAATAAAAAATAGGGGTTTCAGGGGTTTTAAAAAATTCAATGTGACCTTGATATGATCCTAACAACGCCACCCAAGATCTAACTAATATTCCTATCTTCCTCCTCAGAACCAAACAACTTTCTTTTAAAAAGTTTTCTTCTAAAACTTACAGGTTTGGAGATATTTGAGTGGATGGATTAAAATGGCTCACCCTGTATATTAGAAATAATTTATTTATATATATAACTGTTAATTTATTTATAACTAATTATTTATAACTTATAACTATTATTATTATTTGATGGTAAAATGTTATAGGGATGAATTGGCCAAGATCTTACCACTGCTCTGTCATCACTTGAATTGTTGGATCGAGACGACCGAAGCGTTACGTCAGTGTCAGGATTTACTGCAAGATCGACATCAGCAACTCGCGTTGGTGAAGGAGGCGCAGGCGATGGGTCGGACTCATGCATTATATTCAGTCGTTAATCGATACAATTCGTTTAAACGAGCACGGGACGCTCACGAAAAAGCAAAAGCTGGCTTAAAAGATAAGATAGAGGAATGTGAGAAGCAGATTAACATGCATAATGTGAGTCTTAAGCGATTAGCCGAATGTTTCAAGTTGAAAGGTTTCTTCAATATTTGCTTATTTATTTATTTATTTAGATCGCGTTGGCTGCGGTACGAGGATCCCAATTGGGACAGTGGCTGGCCGAATTGGGGAACTCGACGAATCAAGAGGATCACGTGGTGTTTGATCTTGTGAAGGAGTTTTTACAAAACGCCGGACAGAGTCAAATGATATTACAATGCGAACAGTCAGAGAACGAATTGACGCAACTGGCTACCCAGCAATCCATTCTCATCCGCACTTGTTTGGACCTCTTGAGCCAGTATTCCGCTATCTGCAGCCTGTATCCTCTCAGCACTCTATCGCAGCATCGTACCGTGCTCTATCACACATGGGCCAACAAACTATTGACATCAGGCACCGTCGAGGCGTGCCACGAAGTCATGACGCAGTTTGAGGGGAACCTAAATCCGATCAACCCAAACAATCCGCAGGTCCAGCAGATAATAACCTTCTCGTATCAAATGCAAGCGATTCTGAACGATTCGAACGAGAGGCTCAAGAAAGCTTATGAAAGAATAGTGTCCGAGGGCTTGCCGGAAGCTGGCAACAGAATTGAGAAGGCATATGTCGAGTCGAAGACGCAGATCGTGGGATTTCTGCGACGAGAGAAAGGTGCGGAAAGGGCGCTCGAGTGCGTCAATATTACCGCGCTGTGTGCCCTGAATAAGCGATACCTGATGATGGAGAATGCTGCCAAATGCGCCGCAGATTGCCTGGTGGATCTCACGTCTCGTGAAGGGGACTGGTTTCTAGACGAGATGCGTCTAATGTCGTCCCTGATCGCCGAGCTGATCACGCTAATACCGGAGAATCATAAGACGAACAACGATCCCAAGATCTCGCTGATCCTCAAATGCTTGAAGAGCGCCGATTGCATTTATAAGGGTTTGCAAGAACTTAATTACAATTTCCAGACCATTATATTGCCGGAAGCGATGAAGACTATCATCACGGAGGAGCCAAGCGTTATGCGAATGATGGGCGAGCTCAGCGAGATCATAATAATGACCGGGATACCTCTCGGTGACATTTTGGCGCAGCTCGAAATGCATCTTCGATTCACCGTGATGGAGATGGAGAGTCCACACGCAATGATACAGGGTATAGTGGCTAATATGAGATTGCGATTCGAGGCGTTATTGTCGCGACCGGCGGAGGTTCAGGACTTGAATCAGGAGGAAACTTTGACCCCGGGTCAAATGCTGTTAATGGGCTTCAACGGCCTGTTCGAGAAACTGCAGATGGAAGGTAATGCCTTGGTGGCCACTTTGAGCTCGCTAGACATTCCGGTAAATTGGAAGAAGATCGATCAGATACGCGAGGCTAAAGAGATGTCGGCGCCCATCTTCAACAAGGCAGCCAGACAAGTTCTAGAGGATATATTCCTGATTAAGAGATTACACACGATACAGGAATTCTTCATGATGTGCAGAGATATTGCTACCGCGTTCAAGGGCGGATTAGCGAATGTATACGATGACGAACGACTCAACAAACCTGTCCGAGTGTTTACGGCTGATTACGTTTCGAGGCAATTGCTCGGGGTTACGTCGCAAACATTGGCAATCGCCTTGTGTTTCCTGTTGCAACGCATGGGTCTGAACGTAACCACCGAGATCGAACAAAGAGATATCGGAGCAGAAAGCAAGGTCTCGCTGGAGGAGTTATGCCGAAAGATGGTGGATCTGTGCTTGAAGAAGGGATTGTTCTCGGGCTCGACTTTAGCGCAAGCGGGCGCGTTAAGTAGCACGCTGGAAAGCGCCTGGCGACGGAAACAAGGCGCCAGACTAGCTCAACAAAGTGTCGAAGTGGCTAGAGCCAGTTTGCAGAGACTACAACTTCAGCTAATGGCCCATCATTGGTTACACGAAGATATCATGATGCTGAGATCCAACATAAATCCAATGAATCCTCTAAGTGTGTGGCATACATTTTACGTTTTTTTCTTTTCATCTTTTTACATTTTTAATAAATTAAAATTTTTATGAAATATACCGGGTGTTCAAAATAAAGCGTTACAACTTATATCTCGGAAACAAGGCGTTTCAGAGAAAAATGTTTCAAACAAAAGTTGTATGGCTTCAAAGGGGACATAAGATGGTATAATTGGTTTGATCTAGGATAATCATTTGAAGGTTACGTGAAGTAACCGTCAATTTCTTAAATGGAACTCTATTTTTTATTGCATATTCTTATAGCTTATCTCAAGAGCTTTCCAAAACACTATAATAAAGTATTTCTTCATTGAGTACTTTTCGAGTTATGAGGCTTGAAATAATTTCTTAATTTTACATAAACCGTAAAATATCTAGTGAAATATTCATTTTTCGATTATCTTACTTTAATATTTTTATGTACAAAATAATAAAAGGAATCAATTGGTGTAAAAAAGACACATAATTGTTTTGAAGAAAAAATATGTAAATTTGCAATTAACAATTACATATTTTTACTTCGAAACAACTATGTGTTTTCTTTACACCAATTGATTCCTCTCATTATTTTGTACATAAAAGTATTAAGGTAAGATAATCGAAAAATGAATATTTTACAAGATGTTTTACGGTTTATGTAAAATCAAGAAATGATTTCAAGCCTTATAACTCAAAAAATAATTGAAGCAAAAATCCCCCTTGAAGCCATACAACTTTTGTTTGAAACATTTTTGTCTACAATCAAAATTAAAAAAGGGAGTGATCGATTAAGATGGGACATCCTGTATATTAATGCTATATATTATATATAATGTAATAAAATTCGAAATTTAATCCTTTCAGATCGGTCCACCTTCATGTTGGAGCTGCGAAAAACCGCGGCGGCGCTATCGAATTTGCAGTCGCGAGTATGCGAGGCTCGCGAGCAACAACAGAACCTCGTCTCGAGCGCCGTACAACGTCTCAAGTGGGCCGCGGGTGCCAATCCGGCTCTAGGCGAGGTCATGTCCGCGTTTGACAACGCGGTGCTATCATCATGCGAGAAATTAACCAGGCAACACAATCTAGCAGCCATGGTAGTCAACACGTGCAATTCTATATTACACTACGAGGCTCTGAGGACCAGAACTTCGGAGAGCGTGACGCACGATGCCAACTTGGTCAAGCTAATCAAACACTGGGAGGAGAGCTGCGTGCTGACAGTCAACTTGAACATTACCGTTACTATGACAGAGGAAAGCCTCGTGCAGTTATTGCAGCTGGAGAACAGCGTGGATACCGCGTGGCTGAAGCAAGCCGAGAAGATCGTGTCCGAGGCGATAGTTGACACCCAGAAGAAACTGCAAGAGAAACAGGAGGCTCTTTTTGCCGCCGAGGATTATTTGAGAGAGCGAATCAAAAATCTACAGAATGTGCTCGCCGAACATCATCGTCTTATGTCAGACGTTAGAGTACTGTTAAAAACGATGGTGAAACAGGAGAACATCGACGGCCTGCAGGACTTTTTATCCGCCTACCGTTCCTTCACGGAAAGCGTATCAACGATCGTCAAGGAATTGGAGTCCAATAATTTCGATTCGGTTCGCGGCGTGGCGATCAAGAACGAGTTGGAGACGATGGCAATTAAAGCACCCAGTTTGTACAATCAACTGTTGGAGTTTGCGAGCGAGCGCAAGCTGGAAGCTCCGACGAAGGGCGCAGAAAAGCCGGAGAGTCTGAGGAAGAAGGGTAGCAGACTGGTACGACAGGAGAGCGTCTGCCTGAGTCCCAGGAAAGGAACACTATTAGCCAGAGACCCGACTACAGGCAAAGGTACCAAGTAGTTTCTAATCAATTGTAGGGATTTTCATCGTTCAATCTTGCTCTCCAAACTGATTGCTGGTACCAAGTAGTTTCTAATCAATTGTATGGATTTTCATCGTTTAATCTTGCTCTCCAAACTGACCATTGTTATCTTCTTTCAGCTGTACAAGAGCGGAACGCTTACGCGTTGAGCGTGTGGCGTCGAGTGCGCATGAAGCTGGAGGGACGCGATCCTCAACCAACGCGCAAGTACACCACGGCCGAGCAGGTGGAATACGTGATACGCGAAGCGCTGAGCAACGATAACCTCGCCTTGCTGTACGAGGGCTGGACACCGTGGGTCTGAACGAATAGCGGTTGGCGCTCGCGCGTCCCGATGGCTCGACATTCGTCTTACACGACGGTACTCAAGCTCGTACCGTCGCATCTATGTCATCCTACATTGCCGTAGGAGGCAAACCACTCCGCTCGAAACCAGATATGGCGGAGTGTCATCCGGGGAAACAAGCCAATCAAGAAACAAGTCGGTTTTTCAGGATCAACCTCTCCGGCGCGACAACTGAAAACCCACTGTGCTGATTGCTGATTCTGTAATTGTCCCAAAAACCAAGGCTGCCGCGATCTATTAGTTACTTGTGAATCTCTAACGGGTGTCTCCTCTTTCTTTATGTCTTTATTTTTCTTTTTCTTCTTTTTTTTTTGTTTCGTCTTGCGAGGGAAGAAGGCGAATATTCTTTTGGGAGCCACGAGTTTTTGGGGGGAGCATAGAATCAGTCATGTCCTTACGCTAACGGTGTAGTCGCGAGAAGTTCGGCTGACGATATATTGACGGGAAAGTCCGATGATAATGATGAAAGTCTCGATCGTAGCGACGATCCCAATTGCAATGTAATTTGCACAACACGTCGTAGATAGTGTCAGGGATTAGAAGGCCTGGCATTCTTCAATCGAGGCATTTGAATCGATTTTTCGTACCGATGTTTTCATTTTTAGATGAATGTACACGAACATGTATAACACACAGACGTGAATTTGATGATTAATTCGACGAGGGGTCCGAGATCATGTAAACGCAACATTATTTTCCAATGGGATGAAACAGGATGAGAGACGAAATTTTCAAAATATATCTGCGACTCGATAGAAAAATAGTCTATTATTATTATCATTAAGTTATCGTATGTAACTGAATACGTTGAAATCGGCGCATATGTATATAAAACAACACACGTACCCGGATACATACAATGCTCACATGTTACAGGCATTATACATCTTTACAAACATACAGATACACATATATATATATATATGTATATAGGGTGGCCCCGAACGTTTCAGCCAGACTTTGAGATTTTATAGGAAATTTAATTCTGAACAAAAAATTTCCTATAAACATGGGTCGAAAAATGCTTCCCTAAGAAGTTATCGCTCAAAAATCTCTGATGGAGGAAGAGCAAAAAGTAAAAAGAAAATGAAATAAAAAGAAAATTAAACTAAATAAATTTCTTGAAAAACGTCTTTATTCATTTTCTACTATTACTAAAATATTAGTTTAAAAAAAATTATTTTATTTTCATAAAAGAAAAAGATTTTTATTTTTTATTTTTATCGTTTTTTTTTTTTCAAGAAATTTATTTAGTTTCATTTTCTTTTCACCTTTTACTCTTCCTGCATCAGAGATTTTTGAGCGATAACTTCTTAAGGAAGCATTTTTCGATCCATGTTTATAGGAAATTTTTTGTTCAGAATTAAATTTCCTAAGAACTCAAAGTTTGGCTGGAACGTTCGGGGCCACCCTGTATATACGCGCGGCCAAGTATTTGAAAAATTTAATGATCTCGCGGCGCAATCGAAATTTATCGTCTATCATGATGGAACGCAATCATTTCTGCGGGCAATGCCCACGTTGTTTTGCAAGGTTTATCAAGTCGACTCGGTTTGTGAGTTTTATGATGTTAGTATCGGACGATCCGGGCAAAAGAAAAATTTCATTAGCTTCGTAGCCAACATTATGACACATGATAGTGTCCTCGCTACTCTCTGGCGTTGCACATTTCGCCGAGTAATGTTTTAACTGCTTAAATAACGCTGTCGAAAATAAAGATTTTCACATATACATTGCAAAAGTAAACACTCTCTCAAATGTTTGTTGCGAATTTCACAAAATTATATCGTATGATTTTGTTTTTCTGTTTTTCATAACTCAGCGATTAATGTGTATAAGATGTTTTAAGAAGAATCTATTATACAGATGTGTTTCGCAAGATAAAATATAGAGAAAGTCTATGAATCTATAAGTCCAGCGAAATTGATCTGATTAGGCTCTAATTTTATAAGAAACAATTTTATTATTTTACTAGACATTATTTTTACTCTAGAACAAAATTAAATAATTTGTTCTGTAAAATAATGTTCTAAAAATAATTTAAAATTATCTTATTATTTTTAATTAAATATTTAATATTATTTTAATATTATTTAATATTATTTTTAATATTAATAATTAATTAAAATAATTAAATAACGTTTAATCAAAATAAACTTTAAACTATTTTAAAAAAGGAGAATAATTGAGAATATTATTGGGTCTTATAGATTTCTATAAAAGTCTCTGTGAATCTCATATATAAACTTTGTTTCTTTTATTTTATGAAACACATCTACTCAATGCACGATAGATTTTTCTTAAAATATTCTATACAAACGACACAGAAAATCACGTACAAAAATAAAATTGGCCAACGCAACATTTTATAAAAACATGACAAAACTTCAACTAGCGCAGCTCTAAGAGATTTTCAAACTTTCTTTCTCTAATCTGTAACTTTTCGACGAACTTTACACAATGAACGGCTACGAAGTTTAGCGTGGACGAATTTTACTTGTGTAAAAATTCGAAGAAAAGGGAAAATTGATTATTTATTATGTGATAACAAAGAATACGAAACCTTTACTATATTACTTGATGCAATGCTGGAACTAATAAGAGAAACACTATCGAAACAGATGTGAGTACTTTTTATTAATTTACCTCTTTTTTTTATCTCAAGTGTTTCTTTAGTTTTCCTAATGAAAGGCATTCACCGAATAATTTTCTAGATGAAAAATTTTTATTAAAGAAGATTAATAGAGATACAAAATAACATGGTAAAATATATGCCTCCGCATTATTTGACGTATTTCTGCAAATATTAAAATATATATTTTCAAATATTAATATCTATTACCCATATTATATTTTCATTTTTTCAAGCCAATCGTCAAAAGTTCTGCTTTTATGCTAGCCATATGTCAGAAGTACAATCTCCACCAGGGTATCTGCGCAAAAATTGGCAACACGATATAAAATTGTAGTAAAATAATCTTTAAAGTGAAAACGAATCAAAGAGAAATTTAATTTGCGAAATTAAGTATCCTTATTAAAATTGAAAAAAATAAAATCTAGATAAGAAAATGAGAAACTTGAAATATTATGAGTTTGTTACAAGTTGATTTCATTGATTTATTTTATTTTTTACAGATTTGAAACAGAAGAACAAAAATAAAAGTCCTCTTTTACTGACGCAATAAACATTAAAATATGAAATTAACAAATTAGTTTCAATAACAATACGAGTTAAGCGTTGATGTTATGACACATTTATTTATTTATGATACAATAAAAGGCATGAAACAAATAAAAATAAAAAGAAGGAATAGCGAACGTTTGAACCCTATTTTTGGGTCATCTTCAGCGCAAATATGATGGTGTGGTAAAAATATAACAAAGGTGTTACATATATGAATCGATGAGACAGGATATGTAACGATTCAGATATGTAACACCTTTGTTATATTTTTACCACATCACATTTGTGCTGAAGATGACCCAAAAATAAGGTCAAAACGTTCGTTATTCCTTCTTTTTATTTTTATTTTTATTTGTTTCATGCCTTTTATTGTATAATAAATAAATAAATGTGTCATAACATCGACGCTCGACTCGTGTTGCTATTGAAACTAATTTGTTAATTTTATATTTCGAGTTTTATATCTTTATTATTTATATATAATTTTATATATAATTTTATATATAAATTTTATATATAATCAAAATATGAAATATCTTTTACCTCATCTCGTGCGCCAGCAGAATATCGTTTTTATCGGCGCCAAAATCAATGAGGAATTGAGAATCGAGCTTCATACCACCCTTCTCGACATCGACATCAAGCTTCACCATCGTCGATCCATATCTAAAAATGAGCGGAATATTATTACATCGTACGAGAAGATTATATGAAAATTTTATGCCACGGAAAGAGAAGAGAGAAATAACGTAGAAGAAGGAAAAAACATTGGAAAAGTACTTACTTGAAGTGGTCGGGATAAAACTGCTTGTCCCATAGTTTAAAGATCGACGTGGTCACGTACAAACGACGTCCATCCAAGCTTAGCTGCAACATTTGTGGCGCACCATACAATCTTCGTCCCTTTACGTAGACCGGATCAGGCTGACTATTCATCTCTTCGTCTTCAATCACACGTACTTGCGAATCGTTTAGAATCGATCCACCCAAGAAGATCTGACCAGTCAATTTCGGATTTTTCGTGTCCGAGATGTCGTATTGCCTGACATCACCGTGCAACCAGTTGGACAGATACAAATACTTGTCATCGAGACTCAGTAGGATGTCGGTGATCATACCTGAAGGGCAAAGAAAGGCTCTTCATCAACGTGGACAGAAAGGCATAGATGAAGAGTGTTGTTACTGAACCCATACGGCACAGAAATATTGCAGCAACATTGCAGAAATATTTCTTTGCAAGGTTGCAATGTAATTGCAATGTGATTGTTTTTATTAGATGTTTCTTAAATATTTATCTCAATAATATTACATACAATTATTTTACATACATTCGACACCAGAATATTTTAACACGTTCAATAAATGAATTATTTCCTATTTACCCATTCAATTAAGAAAAATCTGTTTAATATTCTGAAACCCAATGAAGGATCCAGATTATTAAACAAATTATTTGTTTAATAATCTAGATCGCTCATTAGGATTCAGAATATTAAGTAAATCAAGTCAGTTTATCGCCAGAAATTAAACTGACACAAGACAAGAAATATAATTACTACATTTATCCTTCATAGACCCTATATCCATCTTAGATGAATTCGAATACGAGTTAGTTAAATTGGGTGTCACCGCGTAGCGACAAGTAAAGAAACACATGTTATACATTTTCGCTATGTTAAAACGTTGCTGCAACATTGCCAAAGTAATATTACAAAATAATGTCTCTGCATTATTGCTGCAACATTACACTGCAGTGAGCAATATTGTAACATTGCAGCAACGTTGCAGCAAGCTTCTGTGCTGTATGGGAAGTTTTCTGTCTGATACGTTCTACACTCTTGTTTAAAAAAAAAAATAATTCTCGTAATACCTGGCATCAGAGGCAAGATCCATCCTTCGACTTTCTTCGGCAACACTTGGATCACCTTCTCGGTCTTCCACGAGTTGTTCTCTGCCTTATAAAATCGGTAAACATTCGATGATACCGCACAACCCACGAATCCTTCGGCTGCCAAAGGATCATGAAGAAATCTAATCTCGAGAGGCGCGATTCCATCTTCTCCCAGATTGATGGTCTGCTTCAACTTTCGCTCGTTCCATGAGTAAATGTTCAAGCTTCTTCCATAGATCTCTGTAGATCAACAAGCGGTATTTCGATAAATTGATTCTTCCAGTAAACAATCTCGTCATAAAATTACGTGCGAATGAAAACTTACTGGGATCAGAAGCATTGTCCGGAAAATATCCCTTTTTAAAAAATTTAGGTGCACCCCATTCGGAGGCGATGAGCGTGTCGTGATAGGGTTGATACCAAAAATCATACCCAAAGTTCGCTTTATCCTGGCCTCTCGTCCACGTGTCTTTCGTTTCCAAAGTCTCCGCGTCGATGCAGAAGAATTCGCCTAATCCGTCACCGTCAAGGTTCCCCATGGTGGAGATCACTATCTCGCCAGTTGGCAAACAATGCGAGGTATGCGGCGTGGATATTCCATACTTGTGCATCTCCTCCGGTTCCAGAATCTTATTTACAAAAATAGTATTAGCGAGATAGAGATGCATCAACTTTGATATCGTTATGATATCAAATCTTCATGTCACATGCCCAGCAAACACCAAGTAACAATTATACAGGGTATCCCAAACTACTCATCCCTTTTAAAATGAAAACAAATGGCTTTTATCAAAAATCGCGAACAATTTGTAAATAAATCGGGTACGCTCTATCAAATGATATATTTTCAACCTTTGATTCCGACCGGAAATACGCCATCCGGATCGGAAGTTGAATTTTTTTAGGAGAACATGGTATTTTTTATTACAGATTCGAATTGTACATGAAAAAATAAGAAATGTTTATCAAATGTTTTTTTTTAAAGTGCCTCTATCAATCTTAAAATTAACCTTGAAAGTAACTGTGATGAAATAATCAAGGTCAATTCTGGGATACCCTGTATAACTGTTAGTTATAATTTTTTCTACTCAACAATATAACTTACATGTTATATAACTGTTATGTGTTAAATAACAATTATATTGTTGAGTGGGAAATTATAACTAACAATCATATGACTGTTACTTGGTGTTTGCTGGGATTGCGACGCATCTTATACAGCACAGTACATTGCAGCAATATTGCAACAACATTCTAATATTGCTGCGACATTGCAGCAATATTGTAATATTGCAATATTGCTGCAATGTTCTATGCTGTATGGGATATTATATCTACGTGATTTCTGGATGAGTTTTTCTGCGACACTCTGTATATTCGTACGGTACCTTTTTAATCTTGGGCGTTTTTTCGTCGCTTGTATCAATAAAATAGACCCGGTCTGACATGAGACAGGGTAACACCAGGGTATCGCGTTTTCGTGACGAGTCATGACAGCTGCTGCAGATATTCCAGCCAGAGTGATGTAGTTCGTCGCCAACCGCCAACATCCTCAGTTTGTGTATTATCTGGCGAAAAAAATCCTCTCGAATTTATCCATACTGCACAGAACATTGCAGCAACATTGTAATATTGCTGCAATGTTACAACAATGTTGCAGCAACATTGTAATATTGCTGAAATGTTACAACAATATTGCAGCAACATTGTAATATTGCTTTACAACAATATTGCAGCAACATTGTAATATTGCCGTAATATTTCTGCAATGTTACAACAATATTCTGTGCTGTATGAGTATTTTCTTCTAGTTTCAACCTTTATGTTTTTCAAATATTTTTACCTGACAGTACGTGGGACTATCAGGATCCACGTCAACCGTGCAAAGAACATCGGCCTTTTCAGGATCGGTGTGAATTCCAACCACATACAAGAGTTTTTCACGGGGACCCTCGAGCATTGCTGCTTTCGGGCTGCTGTAACCCGGTCCGCAAGAGTGGCAACTTGCTAAAGTCATGATAACGGTTCCAATTAATAATCGAACGGCGATCGTTACAAACGTAGAACATGATCCAGTGTTAATTCGATTGTTTTGAGGTATAAAACGCTGGATTATGTTTTATATTTATCCCAACAATCGTGACAAAATCGTGTACCAATTAATGTATAATTCTTACGAGATCATTTTTACCTTTCTCTCCTGTCATTCTGTTCAGACGTAACGATCAACTGAGGAGAACTGTACGTAACTGCGTAATCCATCATACAGCTCGAAAGAGAGAGGGAAAGCGCGTTGTTTGCACTATGCGTTATATAACTATAACGACTGTTAGCGTTTCGACTGATAAAAGAGATACAAGAGCACGAATTCGCCTCATCGATTGATAAAGCCAGTGATTGCTGGAGGTCATCGTGTTAAATTCGACCCATAATAATATATCGGAAGAAATAACAAAAGGAAAAATAAAACTTTATAACATATATTATCGAAAGAAAAGATATTAAAAATAGGCATCAATTATGAGGCAATTAGGAGAAATATTTTAACAACAGGTTTTTCTTGATTTTTCTACAAGAAATTTTCAATTATTATCATGTATCTTTAGAAAAAAATTTTTTTTTTAATTGACCTTGAAAAAAAATCTTAGGAATTTTAGGAAAATTTAGGAATTTTTTATAATTTTAATTTGTGAAAAATTCTAAAAAATATATATCAGATTTATTCAGGTTTTTTAAATATTATAAGTAATTTTTTTCCAAAGCTGATGATCCAGATGATGAAGAAATCTCTAACTCGAGTATATAATTTTCGGCTTTGGTTTCTCAATCGACCACGTACAATTACGCTCCAAATTACGTTGATTGAAATACATAAATTACAAAAAGTTAATCCAGGCGATTCAAAAAAATTTCAAGTCTTGATTTAATTCTATGAATTATAAAGAGTTAATTCTCTCTCGGATAAATATAGAAGGATCGAAAACAATTTTCACTCGCTTCGTAATCTTAATAAATTGATGATCCACAAAGTGCAACGATTGCAAGGTAAATATGAAGAAAAAACACAAAGTACACACAAACGGTTTATTTTCGTATCTTTTTCCAAAGTGAGTTATAAAAATAATTATGCATAAGATTTCCCTCCGCAAGAGGGAAAATCGCACACTTCTTTGATGTGCACACATCAAGTAAAAATATGTTGTCCGAAATGACACGTATGATTCACGAGCGCGCGCTCTCGACACGTCACATTCGACATGTTGTCTGTTTGATAACGCGCAAACTTAAATATATTTATTATTGTGCATCGATTTTTTAAGAGCGTCCCGATAAATACAGATAAATCCCAGATCTAGGAAAAATATTTTGATAACAATTTTTTCTCAAAAATGATTTTTCAAATATATTTATTATTGTGCATCGATTTTTTAAGAGCGTCCCGATAAATACAGATAAGTCCCAGATCTAGGAAAAATATTTTGATAACAATTTTTTCTCAAAAATGATTTTTCAATATTATCGAGTGTCTTTCAAGAATTTTTTTTAAATTGACTCTAATAAAAAAAATTTATAATTTCTTAAAAAAAAATTTAATTTTTATAATTTAAATTTATGAAAAATTTTTTCAAAAATATATCAGATTTATTCAGATTTTTTCAACATTATTTTAAAAATCATAGAAATCATTAAAATATCTCAAAATATTTAACACATACACATTTATATATATAAGCAATTCTACAAAATTTATATTATATTATTATTATTTGTAAAAAATATGAAATATCTTTATTCTTCTTTTAAAGATTTTTGAAAAGTGTGTCCCAATTCATACAAAAAAAAATCTCAAATTTTCTGAACAAATTTTAGAATTTTTATAGAAAATCTGAAAATTTTTATAAGAAATTCTGTGAATAATTTTCACTAGAGGAATAAGAAACCGTGACGAAATTTCCTGCAAATTAGGAAACACTCTGTATATTTGAGCAAACTAGGGCGAATATTTAACATGTATATATTGTATAATTAATTTAATGCTAATTATTTTTGTGAGAATATGCTAATTATAACATCCTGCAACGAAAATTTATACGGAACATGTAGGAATATTCGTGTACACTTGATTCAAATCAAACTCGATCGAAATTCTACATTCGGTGATCCCGTGGACAATTCTCGTCTTTCTATAGGTGTGCATTTATAATAACAATATTTATATAATTATTATTTACGTGACAGATATGATAAAACTATTCGATCGCCTTTTGATACCCCGCATCTCAAGCGACAATTATTCTTTGTGATCGCGAAATTGCGTTAATTGGCCCCCACCTTGAACATCTAGTTTTCCACACAACGTGTAATCGACTTATCGACGTATCTTCTAATTTCAGAAAATAGACGGAATCCACTATCTCCTAGAATATCTGTGCATTCTCGTAGCGGAAATACGATTCGTTTACAAACAGCTGATTGTCTTATCAAGTACAGAATTCATTTGTCATCTCTAGATCCATATCAGATCGATGCAAGAAGGAGAGAGAATTAATTCATCAGTTAAATCAGTGATAAATTGATAGCCGAATGAGATTGTAATTAATGTAAATTTTTACAAAAGTGGAAAAATGAGCGCGCATGAATTAAAAAATCAATTACCCAGCAAACACAGAATATTACAGCAATATTGCCGCAATATTACAACATTGCAGCAACGTTGCTGCAATATTACAACATTGCAGCAACGTTGCTGCAATATTACAACATTGTAACAACGTTACTGCAATATTACAACATTGCAGCAATGTTGCTGCAATATTCTGTGTTTGCTGGGTAAATTCAGTGCGATTTAATTTCTGGTGTGCGCATCGATCTAATATGCCTTTACGTCCCATAAGAATCTTTCGAACCGGTTATAGACGATTGGACGACGCGACGTACTTTGGTCGTCTTCTCCTCGCCGGACATCCGCCTGTGTCTTTGTTTCTCGCCGAGCAACGCGCACACCAGGAGGTTCTCACGATGAAGAACGATCAGGTGCCGCAAGCGATTTCGTGCGGTTCCCGTCTGGGAGACGATGTCGTTGAGACCGCCGTCGAGTCGATCCAGGCTACCGCTGATGTTGGCGATCATATCGAGGAGCAAGCTGTCCCGCTTCCGCGCCTCCAGCGTAAGCTTCCTGCTGAGTAGGAAAACCGTCAGGCCGATGACGATCAGCAGCGTCAGTCCCAGCAGGTTCCTCTGCATCGACGGCAATGTCATTTCCAGGGGACACGCAGATACGCCTCTCGCACTCTCATCGTATCGACCTGGGGCGGACAGTCCTCCTGCTCTTCTCCGCCATTCAAATTGCTCGCGACGTTAATCGAAATTCGATCAACAACGGCCGATAGAAATAATAACCAGCCGGAGAAAATACTGTGACGTGCGTTTCTCCTCAGCATCGGCCGAGCCAGAAGTTAGGATCTCTCTTTTTCTGCATCCGTCTCTCTCTCCTGAGGCTCTCGATTTCTGTTCTTTTTCCGGCACGGACGCCTACGTTTTTTATCTATTATTAAAGACGGGGCGCGGCTGTATTTCGACATGCCACCCGTTCCGTCGCAGCTCGCCAACCGATTAAATAACAACCGAGGAGCAGGCAACTTCTCTCAGGATCCTTCCTCCTCTGGGCTAAATCGACGAGATCGCACTCCATCGATTTTTCGCAAACGATTATCCATGATGTACCACGTCGAACCTTCAGGTACTCTGGCGAAATTGTCTAAGGCGTTCGGTGCAGTTGTATCTTCACAGGGAAAAGATTGGGACTTTGTGGATCCACTGCTCTCTCTTCCAGATCGCTTTGAAGATGATCGACTTTTCCTGAATCGCTAGATTAGTTTCTGACATATTCTAATTAGCATATATAAAGACCGAGTATAGATCTAAGAACATTTCACTCTCTCGTTCCGAGTCATTGGTCTTTATGTACGCGATCAAAGTTTTAGGTTCCACCCTCAGTTTGGCACGTAGCGAAACCTTCGATACGTCGATCGCGTGCTGACGCTCTCGGCGGCTGACGATCCATCACTCGCAGGTGTCACATGTCATCGAAATGTCATCCGCTCGTAAAAATACCGCGATCGAAGAACCGCCGCGAGGACGCCATCGCTTCTCGTACTTGTTGAACGTTGTTGCCGCGAGATCGGACTGAGGAAACCTGCCACTCGCGAGGACACGTGTAGGCGCGGTCGTTTCATCCCCGAGAGCCTGCGGTTGTCCCCGAGCAACCCCGATGAGCATCTTCAGGGACGTAACTTTCCGTCTGATGTCCACGGGGTCAGGACTTCAATCGCTGGCCCGCATCAGATACGTCAATGAATGTCTCGATATATCGATGTGTATTGATCCCTTTTATCTTTCTTGACACTCAATTATATTTATCTTTCTCCGATATCTTTTAGATCCTTTGCTCGGATTGTCGAGCAATATCAAAAAATCTAGTACAAAATTAGCAACGAACAGACATATTTTACCCAACGTCAAGTCAGGATGATGATGATTCTTGCCGGAGGAACTCTTCTCATGACACTCGATCCTGCTTGTCTGATCGGAGGAATCAGAGAAGACACTTTCGCGAGCGATGCTTTGCAACAGACGATGGGAACGGTACTGAGAGATCGAAAACAACTGCGATCCGACATGTATGTACCAAAAATAGTTGGCGCATGCGTCTATTAATCAATAAGGACACCCCTTCACCGGCTGTCAGATGACTCGGAAACGTTGTCGGTGACTCGAGCTATTTCAAGAGACTATCGTGCAGTCCTCGACGATATCAATTAGATTTGATTTTCCCCAACTTGTCACCGACTATAGCGATCGCGAACGCGATCACTTAGTTTTTTCCGATGCAACAAACGGTGGCACGTCTCTCAATGAGACCTCTGCGTATTTTCGTGGAGGGAGAAATCTGCAAAAAAAATGTCAATCGTGATGTCGAGCCCAGAAATACTTTATACGCCCCTAATGATTATCGTTATCTCAAGTATATATGATTTATGGATTTTTCCCGCATCTTTGACAATGAAATGACGACGAGCAACACTTGATGGTCGCTTGTATGTTTCAGTCATCTCTAAGATATTTCTTTATCAATGAAATTTTAAAGCGGTTTATAGAAAATTACTAAGAAAAATCGTTTGATTGTATCAACAAGACGTATATGATTGAAGGCATTTTGGTTAAATCAAACAAGAATTTCTAGTTATCATGATAAGACTCGATTTTTTACAACTAGAATGTTTAATAGATTTTACTATAAGGTAACTATAATTTTACTATAAGATTTTACTATATTTTAATAGATTTTACTATTTTACTATATTTGATTAGTATTTTCTAGTTGGATCTATAAAATTTCTTGTTACATTAATTTCTTTGCTTGCCACTAGGCAGCGAGCCATTCTTAACTTAAATCATATTCAATATTTGCCATGAAATGTATATAAAGAACTAGTATTAATATTAAATCCAAAGTATATATTTTTTTTCTCTTACGAGCAGTAGTGCCAGAAAGAGGACGCTAGCTCTCTGATTGTGTGTGTTTGACCTGCATCCTCTTCATGCATCACTGTTTATTAGTTTAATTTCTAACAAACTAAATTTAAAATAATTTATTCAATAATCTGGATTGAATTTATCCAATAATCTTGTTGAAATTCAAAATATTAAACAGACTTTTGAGATTAGATGGAAAAAATTTTAGACGACTTGATGCCGGTGAGTTTAGTATTATTAACCAGAAAATTTGGTAAATTTAACAGGAAGAAATTAATCAGATTCTTCTGATAATTCCTACAAGAATTCTGGTTCGTTCATTTTCCAACAGACATACTGGTTGAATCTACCAGAATTCTAATTAATGCAATTAGGTTTTTTTCTCAGTGCGCGAATTAAAAATTCAGAATTGATAAATTCAAATTTTTTAAATTTAAATTTGTTAGAAAAATAATTTATCACGATACGGAAAAAAATTTTGTGAGAGGCTAGCATTTAGAAATTAAAAAATAATCGCAAAATTTATATCCTCAAAGTATTTTCATTGATAAATTTAAAAGACTTTATATTTTAAAATTAAGTATATTATTACACATACTATTAAGAATTCCATAAATTAAATTGAATAAATTTTAAAATATTAAAGCATGTGATAAATATCATTAAACTAATCATATATTAATTAATCATATATTAATTATTATCCAGAAAATTTGGTAAATTTAAGGAAGAAATTAATCAGATTTATCTGGTAATTCCTACAAGAATTTTAGTTCGTCCATTTTCCAACAGACATACTGAATCTACTAGAATTCTAATTAATGCAACCAGTTTTTTTTCTCAGTGTAGACATATATTACTTAGAAAAAAAGCGCCAATATAATACATATAAATGTTGAATAATAAAATAAATTCTCTCATTAATGAATCTGAATAGACTTGACGTTTGTGAAATTTATCTTTATAATACTTTCTAAAATATAGAAAGTTTTATCTTTAGTAGTAACTAAACTTGATGGAACAGGTGAAAATAAGAGAGAGAGAGAAAGAAGTAGAAAACCTACAAAAATTACATAAAATAAAAATAAAAATAATTACATAATATAAAATAAAAATAATTAATAAATCTTGAAACTTTTTACCTCTTCATGATCGGCGTAATATGATCAGGATCCACGCTCTCTAGATCCACGCCGAATATGTAGCTCCCAATAATTCCGGCGATAACGACAATCGTCGATCCTATCAAGGTATAATGCATAAAAGATATTTGAAACAGCGCCATTGGTTCTTCAGCAGCTTCTATCCAAACAGGTGTGGGTGTCGCGGTCGTAAGAGTCTCATTCAAAGGATATGGACAACCGTCTATCGACGTGGGCAGCGAATCAAACTTCATCTTGCCGTGCATGGTATACCAATGAGCACCTCCCACTAACCAAAACATGCTAATTAAACCGACACCACTACCGAATAGCACGCCTTTCGTGTTTGCCCAAGGTACCAACATTCCTAGTACGAAGAGACCCAGTAAAGGTCCATCAGTCACGCCACGCATACTCAAAGCTAGCTGAAAGACCGGGCCCAATCTCTCGACCAAGAATACCAGGCCAACCGAAATTGCGCCAGTTATCAAAACGATGGCCTGAAAAATCAATTAAACAATTATTGAAGTTTAAATTATCGAAAGAACGTAAGATGCATTGCTTACCTTCATAATATTAGCAGCCGTAGCTTCCTTCCTAGATCTCTCCGGAACCCACGGACTTATAAAATCTTCATAAATGGTACCGGAGACGGTGTTCAAACCGGCGCTCATAGTTGCAAGCGCAGCGCTGACCAGACCAGCTAGAAATAATCCTGGAAGTCCTGGTAAGTGTCCAGCGACGTCCATAACGTAATACGGTAAAGTTTGATCAGTGCGGCTTATTGCCTGTAAAGAAAATTAAAGTTTTTCAGTTACCTTCTTTTCTCTTTAAACATTAGAATAAATTTAAGATTATTATTAAGAATATTATTTTGTACCTTGGTCAGAAAAGGATCGCAGTCGTGATATTTGGCAAACATAATTAATCCAGTGAACACGCTAATCAGTTTGACTATGATCATTCCTATGGCAGTAATCACGATGCCACTATGCAATAAAGCAAGAAACATACGATTAATATCATTATTCCTGAATTTTCATGGCATCTTGCTGTTTAGATCCTATAATTTGCAACGAGATAGCAGAATATGGTAGATATGAAGTCAATTGATGGAGTTTTAGCGCAAGTTATAGGTCGCTTATAGTGAAGAGCTTACTGTTTGGCGTCGATTTCTCTGGGCACAGATAGAAACCGTTGCACCGCACCTGGATGAATAGCGAGATGCCCGAGCCACGTTGCTGTCATACCCACAGTCGTGCCCCAGAAAGTGTTCCTCGATAATAGGCTGGGATCCATACTATGATAAAAATGTCCATCATATAATATACAATAAAATGAAAGAGACAATTTATATTTGTGCTCTTTTGCTCTCTTACTTGAAGAAAATAAGACGACCGCCTTCGCCGGAAATTCTCCACACTTCTTCAATGCTACCGACAGACAGTACTCCCAGCACGAGAATCGTCACAAGACCTCCGACAGTCACGGAAAACTGTATAGTGTCCGTCCATACTACTGCTTTCAAACCACCCTGTACATAATAGCAAGAAGAATTGCATATTTAAGATAATTCCCATACGGCACAGAAATATTGCAGAAATATTTCTTTGCAAGATTACAACATTGCAGAAAGGTTGCAAAATGTTGCTGCAACGTTGCTGCAATATTGCAGCAACGGTAAAATGTCCGCTTGTAGAAATATTGCAATGCAATATTGCAGCAATGTTACGGTGCAATGTATTTGTAATATTAAAACGCGTTTTGCTACAAATGCAAACACCATTTTAAATTTAATAAATAAACTTTGAAAATATAAAAAAATGTTTAAGAAAGATAGGAAAGAATGCCTTTAAAAAAACATCTATTAGTATTTTTATTAGATGTTTCTTAAATATTTATCTCAATAATATTACATACAATTATTTTACATACATTCGACACCAGAATATTTTAACACGTGCAATAAATAAATTATTTCCTATTTACCCATTCAATTAAGAAAAATCTGTTTAATATTCTGAAACCCAATGAAAGATCCAGATTATTAAACAAATTATTTGTTTAATAATCTAGCTCCCTCATTAGGATTCAGAATATTAAGTAAATCAAGTCAGTTTATCGCCAGAAATTAAACTGACACAAGACAAGAAATATAATTACTACATTAATCCTTTATAGATCTTATATCCATCTTAGATGAATTCGAATACGAGTTAGTTAAATTGGGTGTCACCGCGTAGCGGCAAGAAACACATGTTATACATTTTCGCTATGTTAAAACGTTGCTGCAATATTGCCAAAGTAATATTACAAAATAATGTCTCTGCATTATTGCTGCAACATTACACTGTGCACACACGCAGTGAGCAATATTGTAACATTGCAGCAACGTTGCAGCAAGCTTCTGTACTGTCTAAAATTCTTTGCAAAGTTCTTCACATTTTTATTCCACTTTCAAACTTGATGTTCTTGTATTTCCTATATTATGTGAATACTAAACTTGTTTCTACTTACAATGCTGGTATAAATGATGCACACGATGCAAACTACCGGCGTTATCATGTGAACGCTGAGTTTCGTGACTTGTGCGAAGGCGATGGCGGGTACGTAGATGACAATGGGCAAGTACATGAAGAGTGAAATAGTGAACAGCACCGAAGAGAGGATTCTGACCGGCCTGGCAAACCTAACTTCGAGGTACTCGAAGGTACTGGTTAACTGCAGTTTGAAAAACACTGGCAGGAAAATGTACGAAGTGATCACGGCAGTGAGAGTTGCCGTGATTATACATGCGGCGTACTGAGTCCCATGATGAAAGACTTCCGCAGGTATGCCCAGCAAGGTAATTCCGGAAATGTGGCTAAACAGTTACGTCCAAGTGTGATCAAGTATGTACAAAAAAGTAGAAGAGAAAAATTAAAGAATTTTTTTAATCATTATTTCTCATACAATCGAAGAATCACTTACCTAGCGATGATGCTCATCGCGACAGGGAAGAATCCCATGCGTTTACCGCCCAGAAGATATTCCGTCGTGCTATCTTGCTTGCTGAAGAAGCCAAAATAGACGCCAATGAGGATGCTGACGAGCAGCAATAGATTGAAGAATACATAATCGAACCATCCAAACACAAAATGATTCAAGTTCTCTGTTTGATTAAACTGGACACCAGGGGTCGTGAAAGGATTCTCCATAGTTCTTCAAATGAATCTTTCTTTATGAAAATTGAAGATGAAGAGTGCGATCCGCGATACATATGATGTTTGAAGCTCTCCTCATCTGTTATGCCTGTTATATCTGACTGTTTAATATCTGCTGTAGGAGTCTGGTGTAAGAATTGAGGAATAGGACGCAATCTAAGGTTGCTGACTTGCAATACGATGACATAGTATAATCCTATCATGAGAGAATAATTTACAATAGATCTGATAATGTATGTGGAATCTGATGACAGGAAGCGATATCTTGATGGTGAATAAGAAAAATGTCAAGGAAATGTGATGAGAGTTGTATTCAGAGATAACGCCACACTGAGAAAAAAATCTGGTTACATTAATTAGAATTCTGGTAGATTCAACTAGTATGTCTGTTGGAAAATGAACGAACCAGAATTCTTGTAGGAATTACCAGATGAATCTGATTAATCTCTTCCTGTTAAATTTACTAAATTTTCTAGTTAATAATTAATATATGATTAATTAATATATGATTAGTTTAATGATATTTACCACACGCTTTAATATTTTAAAATTTATTGAATTTAATTTATAGGAATTCTTAATAGAATGTGTAATAATATACTTAATTTTAAAATATAAAGTATTTTAAATTTATTAATGAAAATACTTTGAGGATATAAATTTTGCGATTATTTTTTAATCTCTAAATGCTAGTCTCTTACAAATTTTTTTTTCATATCGTGATAAATTATTTTTCTAACAAATTTAAATTAAAAAATTTGAATTTATCAATTCTGAATTTTTAATTCGCGCACTGAGAAAAAATCTGGTGTTGCATTAATTAGAATTCTGGTAGATTTAACCAGTATGTTTGTTGGAAAATGGACGAACCAGAATTCTTGTAAGAATTACCAAATAAATCCGATTAATTTCTTCCTGTTAAATTTACCAAATTTTCTGGTTAATAATTAATATATGATTAATTAATATATGATTAGTTTAATAATATTTATCACACGCTTTAATACTTTAAAATTTATTGAATTTAATTTATAGGAATTCTTAATAGTATATGTAATAATATACTTAATTTTAATAGTATATGTAATAATATACTTAATTTTAAAATATAAAGTATTTTAAATTTATCAATGAAAATACTTTGAGGATATAAATTTTGCGATTATTTTTTAATCTCTAAATGCTAGTCTCTTACAAAATTTTTTTTCATATCGTGATAAATTATTTTTCTAACAAATTTAAATTTAAAAAATTTGAATTTATCAATTCTGAATTTTTAATTCGCGCACTGAGAAAAAAATCTGGTTGCATTAATAAGAATTCTGGTAGATTCAACCAGTATGTTTGTTGGAAAATGGACGAATTAGAATTTTTGTAGGAATTACCAGATGAATCTGATTAATTTCATCCTGTTAAATTTACCAAATTTTCTGGTTAATAATACTAAACTTGCCAGCATCAAATCGTTTAAAATTTTTTCTATCTAATCTCAAAAGTCTGTTTAATATTTTGAATTTCAACAAGTTCATTGATTAAATTCAATCCAGATTATTGAATAAATTATTTTAAATTCCGTTTGTTAGAAATTAAACTGATAAACAGTGATGCAAGAAGAGGATGCAGCTCAAACACACACAATCAAAGAGCTAGCGTCCTCTTTCTGACACTACTGCTCGTAAGAAAAAAAATATAATTTGAATTTAATGTTAATACTAGTTCTTTATATACATTTTATGGCAAATATTGAATACGAGTTAAGTTAAGAGTGGCTCGCCGTCTAGCAGCAAGCAAAGAAATTAATGAAACAAGAAATTTTATAGATTCAACCAGAAAATACTAACCAAATCCTTAAAATAATCTATTAAACGTTCTAGTTATACAAAATTGAGTCTTATCGTGATAACTAGAAATTCTTGTTTGATTTAACCAAAATGTCTTCAATCATATACGTCTTCTTGGTACAATCAAATTTTTCTCGGTGCAAGGTTACACTAAACAAAATTGAAAGAATGGAATCGATATGAAGGATCGAGATACTACTCGCGAAAAACAGTTAAATATGAACTTAATATAGACGTTAATAAAACCTTCATTTGAATTTAATTTAATTTAAATTAATACTGATTGTGTGTTAATTAAAATCTTATTTGTTCCAAATATATTGTTCCAAATCATATTAAAAATTCAGGTTGGTTAGATGCTTATTAAATATTAATATGATCCATATATATTCTGGACAAGTTAAATCTAATAGCAAGAACGTATTCAAATTTAATTTCGATGCATATTAAAAACATATTTAAATTTAATTACTTTTAAATTTGATATTTGGTTTTTATTTGAGTTTAATTTAATTTATATAAATAAGCAATATGAACCATATTTAAATCATATTTAACTGTTTCTCGCGGGCAGTGATTTTAATCACGAATTATTATACGACTTGTCGAATAAATTTAATCAATTTTATTAAATTACAGTTCTAATCACACGCAGATATGTACATCAATTGTAATAACAACAAGATAAGTATAATTTTAAACTTACGATATACGATTGATCGTTTGCCTTCATCAAATATAATATTTGGCTACGCTTCTTCATATCTCAATCTATTCATATTTTCATACAAAATATATCGCACCGAAACTATTAAATATCGCAAGTATTAAATATCGATTTTAACGCCGCGATTCTTCGATTCTCTATTTACATATTTACAAATTTACGATCTTATGGAATCTTCCAAGAGCAAAGAGAGATTTGGAATGTTTAAACGCCGTTCATACTTAATCAAACGCTGCTCTCGCAACCATGCGCTTGAACTTAAAAGTTCCTCCGGTGAAGATAACGGCAGAATACACATAGATGTCATCGTACAAGGTAATATATACACAGCAAAATCTGCGACAAGAGGAACCAGGTGGAGATTCGGCTGGTTGATGCCGAAGAAAATAAACCGATGTACAAGATTCTTTGAAGATACGTTCGCAGAGAAGAGTTGTAGGGTGAAAGCTGCGAGCATCGTCGTAGAGGTGCACTCCACGTATTGTCATCTCGCGAGCCCAACAGCAAAATATACTGGCCGTACCAGTTGACGCCCAATTTGACTCGTAACTCCAAGATCGGGGACGTTTCGATGGTGCGAGGACCGCAATTTTTTGAGGTAGTCAGCGGCGAATCAAACCGATCCTTATCACAACGAGAGGATATCGTGGGGTGTCTAGGGATCAGGACGTTCTTGACGACATGCAGATCGAGCTCCGTGGTACCGATGAGAACCTTCGAGGGGGGGAAAGGCCTTTCGGTGGTGCTCTCGTATGTCTGATGACCTCGCATCATCGCCGCAAATCTCGATTGAATTATAGAGGACGGCGCGTACAAGAACTGATGAACGCTATCGCTCATTGCTCTCTTCCGTCTTTGCGCTCTTTTATCTTTAGATTGTTTCTCATCTGTCGACGGTCCATTCTTATTATATAAGCTATTTTGATAAAGCTTCGCGTTAGGGATGGTCCTAGTGTCGGTGAGACTTCTTTTAAAAACGAATTTTTCAGTGGTATTAAGAAAGTAATCAGGAAAAATGTCTCGATCGAGTTCTTCATCTTGCCTTTCAGCCCGCAGAACGTAACTTCCTAACTTGAGTACTCCATACAAAAATTCCAAGCAATTTGGGTCGTTGTAATAGTTCCATAGACCGACCCACAGTTCATCCCCGGAGTATATCTGGAATTTCCGCGTGGACCAGATGCCGCCCGCAGAGCTCTCGCATCTTTCGCTGTGCCAGATACCTCCGATCATTGCAGGTAGAGGCGCGGTTTGATGAAGAAGAGGCGGACTTGACTCGGTACTATGAAAAACGCTGCTACATATAGGACAATTCGTGGTCTGCAATATTAATAATATATTCATGATTTTGAGTAATATTAATAATACCCTTGAGGCCTTATATCATGTAAAATTAAATGCATGAAGAATATAATATGTACACTGAGAAAAAAATCTGGTTGCATTAATTAGAATTCTGGTAGATTCAACCAGTATGTTTGTTAAAAAATGGACGAACCAGAATTCTTGTAGGAATTACCAGATGAATCTGATTAATTTCTTCCTGTTAAATTTACCAAATTTTCTGGTTAATAATTAATATATGATTAATTAATATATGATTAGTTTAATAATATTTATCACACACTTTAATACTTTAAAATTTATTGAATTTAATTTATAGGAATTCTTAATAGTATATGTAATAATATACTTAATTTTAAAATATAAAGTATTTTAAATTTATCAATGAAAATACTTTGAGGATATAAATTTTGCGATTATTTTTTAATCTCTAAATGCTAGTCTCTTACAAAATTCTTTTTCATATCGTCATAAATTATTTTTCTAACAAATTTAAATTAAAAAAATTTGAATTTATCAATTCTAAATTTTTAATTTGCGCACTGAGAAAAAAATCTGGTTGCATTAATTAAAATTCTGGTAGATTCAACCAGTATGTTTGTTGGAAAATGGACGAACCAGAATTCTTGTAGGATTTACCAGATGAATCTGATTAATTTCTTTCTGTTAAATTTACCAAATTTCTGGCTAATAATACTAAACTCGCCAGCATCAAGTCGTCTAAAATTTTTTCCATCTAATCTCAAAAGTCTGTTTAATATTTTGAATTTCAACAAGATTATTGGATAAATTCAATCCGTATTATTGAATAAATTATTTTAAATTCAGTTTGTTAGAAATTAAACTGATAAACAATGATGCAAGAAGAGGATGCAGCTCAAATACACACAATCAGAGAGCTAGCGTCCTCTTTCTGGCACTACTGCTCGTAAGAGAAAAAAAATATACTTTGGATTTAATGTTAATACTAGTTCTTTGTATACATTTTATGGCAAATATTGAATACGATTTAAGTTAAGAGTGGCTCGCTGCCTAGCGGCAAGCAAAGAAATTAATGTAACAAGAAATTTTATAGATCCAACCAGAAAATACTAACCAAATCCTTATATTAAAATCTATTAAATCTTCTAGTTATAAAAAATCGAGTCTTATCATGACAACTAGAAATTCTTGTTTGATTGAAAACAAATTGAAAAAAATCAAAATGCCTTCAATCATATACGTCTTGTTGGTACAATGAAACGATTTTTCTCAGTGTAACAATTATATAACAATTATGTAACAAATATGAAACAAATATGTAACAAATATATAACAATTATGCGATACATATCGATACATATCTGTCAGAGAATTTTTAATTTTCTTATTACTAATTGTTTTTTTCTACAAGAATTTTTTATTTAAAATAAATAAATTGTCTATAGACAAACTCAAAAAAATTTAAACAAACGTACTGAATCTTGGCGATACAATGCAGTGGATTGCAATGATGTTGGTTTGTAATTCCGTCGAGAATGCGCATTGGAAGCAGAATTCGCCAATAAAAGTTCAAAGTTTGGATCATAGGACTGAGTGCCGTTAAATGTATCATGTCCTAATAAGACTTTGTTGTGCACTCTTAACAGTTTCAATTCGGTGAATTCGATCCTGAAGGGCTCCAAACAATTGATACCGAGCTGCTTGTTTGTAGCTTGCAAAGAATTGTATTTGGGACTTTGCCACAGCGATCTCACCGAATGTTGTCGCGGCTGCTCGTAAATCAGAGCCGAGGTGTAGAGTCGCCATTTTGGCTGGGGACCGCAAGTCAGATTGAGTTTTTGTCCAAACTTTTGAGTGATCTGCAAAATAAATTTTCAAACGCTGATTTTATTTTTCGCTTCTTAAAGATGTTTTGTACCTATTTTCAAAATATTGAAAATTTAATGAAAATTGTACAGAATGTCCTTACATATGTTTAGAATCTTCAGTACAATTTTTAAATCGATTCACTGAAGCGTTCACAAGTTATAAGGATTTTAATTTTCACCGAATTAACACGTGTTTTTATGGAAAACGTATAACCACGTCGATTTAAATGATAAAAACACATGGAAATAATATTCAGAATTTGTTTAAAATTTGCAAAAGTTTAGATACAGAGGAAATATTTGATCAAATAATATTGTACAAGTACTAACTGGTTAAAAAGATATTAAATATAATTCAATGAAATTAACCATGTATCTGTCACAAGACGAAATTCTCTGGCAAAAGTTAATCATTTCGATTAACAAAATTCGGAATATTTCAGTAAAAACGCAATAAATATTAAAAAATACATCTCTGTACTGTAGCCAAGATCAAATTGTAATATTCTACATAATTTCTTATTCAAAATACCCAAAAGTGGATTTATTCGTTAATGTTGATTTTCAACTACTTTTTGCTGGGATTGTACATACAAAACATCTTTAATATTCTTGAACATTTCATGTATTTATACAGAGTGTCCCAAAAGTCCCGGACCGGTCGAATATTTCATTAACTGCACTTTAGAAAGAAATGTTTCAAACAATCTCGAGAGCTTTCCAAAACACTATAATAAAGTATTTCTTCATTCAGTACTTTTCGAGTTATGAGGCTTGAAATCATTTCTTAATTTTGCATAAACCATAAAATATCTAGTAAAATATTCATTTTTCGATTATCTTACCTTAATACTTTTATGTACAAAATAATGAGAGGAATCAATTGGTCTAAAGAAAAAACATAGTTGTTTTTAAGAAAAAAATATGTAATTTGCAATTAACAATTACATATTTTTTCTTAAAAACAACTGCATGTTTTCTTTACACCAATTGATTCCTCTCCTTATTTTATACATAAAAGTATTAAGGTAAGATAATCGAAAAATGAATATTTTACTAGATATTTTATGGTTTATGCAAAATTAAGAAATGATTTCAAGCCTCATAACTCGAAAAGTACTCAATGAAGAAATACTTTATTATAGTGTTTTGGAAAGCTCTCGAGATAAGCTACACGAATATGTAATAAAAAATAGGAGGTTCCATTTAAGAAATTGCCAGTGATCTTCACGACTTTCAAATGACTCTCCCATGTCAAATCATTGCACTATCTAATGGCTCCTTTCAAGCCATATAACTTTTTTGAACATTTCTTTCTAAAGTGCATAGTTTATGAAATATTCGACCAGTCCGGGACTTTTGAGACACTCTGTATATATTAGACTTATAAAGGAAAGATGTAAAAGCGTCCTTTTCCGATTTTTATGAGTTTTGGATAATGTCATATTCTTTATGGAAAATGTCATAATTTTCGAAAAATTTAATTGCACTATTATAAAGTACGTTAAAAACTATAAAATTTATTTAGAATTTTTTTTTAAATACGAAATTAACTCAAAAATATGCGCAGAAAAATAGAACATTCTTGTTTTGAAAATATCTTTAGTTTCAATCGATTTTTTTTAATGGGATATTTCATCTTCCTAATATTCATATAAACACGAAAAAAATACGTGTCCTATTTTGACTTAGACGACAAGATATTTCTTGTTAAAATCTGTTAAATTCGATTTTATGGCAATTGACTTTTATTCGATATTTTTACTTTAAAATTTATTAATTATCTTTTCTCCTTCATTTATAGATACCTCTGGAGTTAAAGGTAGAATATTAACGGCGTCCACATGAAATCTCGTCTCGGTAGCGCCCGAAACGACGCTGGAAGGTTTCAATAACTTGATGGAACCTCGAATTATGACAGTATGTGTCGCTATGCTGCACGATTCATCGGCGTAATGATAACGCAGTAGGAGGAACGTGTTGTTTTTGAAAAAAGTATATTTCCTAAGTATGTACTGTGGGCCAGCTCGCGTTTCGCATCTATAAAAAGAAAAAGAAAATTAAATTGTAATTTTGTCAAAATTTTGTCAAGTCATTTCTAATGTAATTTATGAGAGAAAGAGACAGTTACTGTTGAGACAGCCACGTGTACTGCAATCTGGAAGGACTATCGTCCACGATCGTCGCATGGTTTTCCTTCTCTATCTCTTTAATGGCCTCTTCGCATTGTTTATACGGATTTATGTCTGAGTCTTCACTCATAACTAGGCTGGTCCTTGCTGCAAGACAAACGGCGCAATTCAACAATGCAATCAATGCAGAAGGTCGACAACAAATATTTTCCTCTGACGCGAGGTGAATGATTCTAGCTTAGAAAAATACACAGAGATACATTTTCGATCTTTATAAATGACGAGTGTCAGATAAAAAGGGAACCACCCGCCGCGAGTTTGCCCAAGATTTAGGAGTCAAACGGCTGAAAGCGAAAGACGAATGTGCTCGCCTATATTAAATTATGCTCGGGTCGGTAATGCCTGCCCATCGATAAATGTTGACCTTTCAAGCCTGCTACCTGGACCGAACGAGCTTTCCCATGTGACAAACCAATCTTTGTTCCGTGATCTTTCGTCTCCGCGGGACCCTTCCGAATTTGACAATTCAAGGTTCCTGCTGCGAAAGATACGATGTCGCACGCGACAAAGATTGATTGGTGGGAATTCCATAAAAAAAAATAAATACAAACGTGTCCGTAATTGACTATTAATAAATATATATCTAAGAGCAAATTTTATTACGTATTGCAAAATTACGTATAATGTAACGTCATTATTACACTTATTCAGCGATAAGCGGTATCATTTTATCTTGGCATGTGTTTTATTTATGGCGACAACGTTGTCAATCTCGTAGCGTAACATTGTCAAACAAAAGGTTGTCGGAAATCTCTCGGTCTTGATGAATCAAAATCTGTTTGACATATCGCGAAACAATATCTCGTGCCAAGAGAGAAGAAAAGAGAATAGACAAACGCACGACAGTGAGTTTGCGCAGGTTACGTAATTTATTGAGCAAGGCAAGAGAAAGCCAGTTCACATCTTTATGCGGAGAAAATTTTTTCAAAACTTTAACAACCTTATATAATTAGCAAATAGCTTTTAAAGCTTCACATTATTCGCTTCACATTACTCACTTCGAATCTCTCTTTATACAATTTTGATAAAATCCAAGTACGAAGAGAAAATACATTCTTTTTTTACGATATTAATACATATAAATTAATCCTTTCAATCATATATTTTTCTTTGCATTCAAAATTTTTGTAAATTCTGGGATTTTTTGGTGAATTCAAATCTAATGTTAAAATTTTCGATTTCAAAAAATTCAAATTTATTGGATGATAAATCCAATATAACAGAAATTATAAATTTTTAAAATTATAAATTTTTCCTTTAGATTCTGTGATCCTAAAAAGAAACCCCTCAAAGAAACAATTTTAAGAAAATATAATTGTATTATATAATTTAATTATATTTTATTATATAATTATTATATAATTTAATTATATTTTATTATATAATTTAATTTAGATTTAATAGAGAAAATATTTTTGTATAGAATTAATAGAAAGTATTTTTTGTCTAGAATTAATAAAAAACAATATGGTGGAAAATTCTGGAAAATATTTTAGAATGTTTAAGTTTATAAAAAATTGCCCTTTTGATTTTCTTAATAAATTAATAAAATTTTCTTAATAAATTAATAAATTTCTCATTGAAAAAGTATCAATTATTTTAACTATTTGTTTTTATATATTTTATTTTTGCAATTAACAATTAAAATCATTATATTTTTTTACTTGTTGATGTTCCAAGGACCTTATAGAAACAAAAAACCCGGCATTCGTTGTTAAAAAACTATTTAAAAAATGAAAAAGTGCAAAGAAAAAAGTGAATCGTTGATCAATCACGACTCAAAGGATTAATCGAAAAATTCTTTCGTTCGACGTGTATAGCTTCTAAACAGAAAAACCATTTAAAAATTATTTAAAAACTATTTACAAATAAAAAATGATTTAATTAAGGATGTTTTGTATGTTTTGTATCCCAGCAAAAAGTAGCTGAAAATCAATATTGACGAATATCCACTTTTAGTGTATTTTGAGTATGAGAAATTGTGTGGAATATTACAATTTGATCTTGACTACAGTGCAGAGATGTATTTTTTAATATTTATTGCGTTTTTACTGAAATATTCCGAATTTTGTTAATCGAAATGATCAACTTTTGGCAGAGAATTTCGCTTTGTAACAGATACATGGCTAACTTCATTGAATTATATTTAATGTCTTTTTAACCAGTTAGTACTTGTATAATATTATTTGACCAAATATTTCCTCTGTATCTAAACTTTTATAAATTCTAAACAAATTCTGAATATTATTTCCATATGTTTTTGTCATTTAAATCGACGTGGTTATACGTTTCCCATAAGAACACATGTTAAATCGGTGCAAATTAAAATTCTTATAACTTGTGAATGCTTTAGTGAATCGATTTAAAAATTGTACTGAAGATTCTAAACATATGTAAGGACATTCTGTACAATTTTCATTAAATTCTCAATATTTTGAAAATAAGTACAAAACATCCTTTAAAAAAATATATGAATTTTATTCAAATTTTTTAATATTATTTTAAAAAATTATAAAATAAAAAATCTCAGAATATTTAACGTTTATATACATAAGAAATTCTAACAAACTTCATTTACGAAAATAAAAATATGAAATATGGGAAGTGTCTCTTTTTTAAATCAAAATAATCTTGAAGAAAATTATTTGTAGAATTTCTCGTAAAAGTTTTCATGTTTTCTATAAATAATTCTAAAACTTGAATCGATTTAAAAATTCTACTGAAGATTCTAAACATATGTAAGGACATTCTGTACAATTTTCATTAAATTCTCAATATTCTGAAAATAGATAGAAAACATCCTTAATTAATTATTTGACACATTGATAAAATTCAAAATTCAAGTTTCTTCGCGCAGGAGGAGGTCGAGGATTCAACCGGCGCATAATAACAATACGAAATGCCATCGCGTGCCGGTTGACGAGATGCAGCTTGCAATAGCAAATTGTTAATTGTAAGAAGAAATCAAAAGCGAGGGGAAATGGCTCTGTAGGATGCTCTCGCACGACTGTTTAATATTCAATCGGCGCGCGATGTCTCGCCGCGTTTGCCGCTCCTCTCTCATCGTGGTGTTATTGCTGCCATTGATATTCCAGCTGTGTGCTGTTGGAACTTTGACAGCGAATTGGTAATGCTACGATCGACGCGCCGGTGACAACTACCGCGATGCGTAACGACTTTTACGTGGACGTTTAACATTCTAAAATTTCCAGAAATTAAATTACTAAACCAGCTCGGTGAAAAGATTCATGTCTCTCTATTAAATTTTATTTTAGAACGAAAAAGATTACATTGAAGTATGTCGATTATCCTTGTTTAAGGAAAATTGCATGAGAATTATCTGCTGTATTTCATTTTCGATTTTATTTAACAGACAAATCAGTATTGATGTTTGATATTGATATTTACATTAATTATTTTAGATTCACATTATTATTATTATCCCAGCAAACACCAAATAACAGTTGTATAACTATTAGTTATTAACTTCCTACTCAACAATATAACTGTTATATGTTATATAACAATTGCATGTTATGTAACTGTTACATAACATGTAACAGTTATATAGATGAGTGGGAATTTATAACTAATAATTATATAAACACTAAGTAACATTTATATAATTATTAGTTATAATTTCCTTCTCAACAATATAACTGTTACATGTTATGTAACTGTTACATAACATGTAACAGTTATATTATTGAATGGGAAATCACTACTAATAATTATAAATACCAAGTAACATTTATATATAATTATTAGTTATAATTTCTCTCTCAATAATATAACTGTTACATGTTATATAACTGTTACATGTTATGTAACTGTTATATAACATGAGAGGAAAATTACATTTAATAATTATATAAACACCAAGTAACATTTATATAATTATTAGTTATAATTTCCCTCTCAACAATATAACTGTTACATGTTATATAACAGTTACATAACATGTAACAGTTATATTGTTGAAAGGGAAATTATAACTAATAATTACATAAATGTTACTTAGTGTTTGCTGGAATAGTTTTCCAATGCAAAGAAAATCTCTCACTATGAACGCAAAGCTACCTTTGTCGACCGACAAGGATTTAAGGGATTAGGATTTAAGGGACAATTTCAGAAACCTTCTTTTTCTGAAACGATTTTTGGAATTTGCTTCACGTTACATTTGTCACGATGTTACGTCGTTAATGGTGTCTCATCAACGGCGCACACGTGTGCCTCCTATCTTGTGCACATGTGCAACTTCCTCTTCTCCAAATACTTCAATGTGTCGCGGTCCCTTTCGTCCTAATACTTTTTATGTAAAAAAAAGACTACTGCGAGACACTAGAAATTCCTTACAACATCATATTTCAAGCGCTAATGTATACTATTCATACAGTTTAGTATTTTTTCTCGAGCACTGCGAAATTTCTAACAATAAATTTGAGCAGAATAATTTCATCCTTTTTCCCTTTTTTATAAACAATGCATCTCGCAGATACTTACTCATCAATAGAACAGCAACGACGACGGTAAATGTCTTCGAGGCACTCATTTCACACATTGCTTGTCCTACAATATCATTTAATAACTAAACACTTTCACGCACGCGTGTTTTGATACTCGTACTTTAAACTTCGCTTTCAGGTGTTTCAGATATTTCGACGACGACAGCGTTCTCGTCCTCGCGTTACAACCGACACTCTGTTTCCTCCGAGGCACTCGATTTCCTCGACGACCTACCCCAAAGCTATATAGCCTCATCCCCACTCTTCAGCGACCCGGTCCACAACCACTGGTATCCTCTCGATCTTCTCGCATCCAGGGACTCGAGCGAGGGGGAAAGATGTAGCAAAACACATTCCCGTCTCTCCCCCTACACTTTAAGAATCGGACCGAACCCCGCTGCGAGGGTTCAAGCGCTCTGCAGAGATTTATACAGCGCCCCAACTTGGTGGCATAGTGCCCCACTGAGTCCCCTGCTCGAGAAGCGGAGATATTCCTCTCGCTCAGGATAGGAAATTGAGTTCCTCCTCTTCCCCGGAGATAAACATCCGTATCAACCTGTACATGCGCCAGGAAACCTCGACGGTAGATTGTCTCGGCTTGAGAAAAATGTAGGCGATGAGAAAGAGATATTATTCTCGCGTGCGGCGATACAATCACATATGTCTTCGAAATAGGGAAAGAGAGACTCGTAGGCGGAGATTAATCCTTGCGCGATGGAAAGTTATATACAATATATTAGCCCAGAAAATATCAAGTAACATTTATATGATTGTTAGTTGTAATTTCCCACTCAACAGAATACAGGGTGGCCCCGAACGTTCCAGCCAGACTTTGAGATTTTATAGGAAATTTAATTCTGAACAAAAAGTTTCCTATAAACATGGGTCGAAAAATGCCTCCTTAAGAAGTTATCGCTGCAAAACCTCTGATGAAGGAAGAGCAAAAGGTAAAAAGAAAATGAAATAAAAGAAAATGAAACTAAATAAATTTCTTGAAAAAAACGATAAAAATAAAGAATAAAAATCTTTTTCTATTATAAAAATAAAATAAAAGTTAGTTAAAAAAAAATTTATTTTATTTTCATAAAGAAAAAGATTTTTATTTTTTATTTTTATCGTTTTTCTCAAGAAATTTATTTCATTTCATTTTCTTTTTATTTCATTTTCTTTTCATCTTTTGCTCTTCCTTTATTAGAGTTGTTTGAGCGATAACTTCTTAAGGAAGCATTTTTCGACATGTTTATAGGAAACTTTTTGTTCAGAATTAAATTTCCCATAAGATCTCAAAGTCTGGCTGGAACATTCGGGGCCATCCTGTATATGTTACATGTTATGTAACTGTTACATAACATGTTGAGTGGGAAATTATAACTAACAGTTATATAACTGTTAGTTTAATATATTAGTCCAGCAAATACCAAGTAACATTTATATAATTAGTTATAATTTCCCACTCAACAGTATAATTGTTACATGTTATTTAACTGTTATATAACATGTAACAGTTATATCATTGAGTGGAAAATTATAATTAACAGTTATACAGGGTGTCACTTAATTGGCGCCCACTATTTATATAGCGCTATTCCTCGTGGAAAACTGAGTCGAAAAGTCCTGAACCATTTTTTTTTATAATGAAAAAAATTTGAAATCATTTTTTCGAAACCATTTTTTTTTTTTAAACCATTTTTTTCTTTTATAATGTGAAAAACTTTATTTTGCATTAAAAATTACATTTCTTCCGTTAAAAGCATTTCCTTAAAGAAAATTTTGTCAAGGAGGCTGAAGGTCGGTGCTTATTGGCGTATCTTTACTCAATAATTATCGCTTTATTAAGCATTATAGAAAAAAATGGTTCAGGACTTTTCGACTCAGTTTTTCACGAGGAATATCGCTATATAAATAGTGGGCGCCTATTAAGTGATACCCTGTATAACTGTTATAATTTTCCACTCAACACAATATAACTGTTATAATTTGGTTGGCTGAACCGATGATATAATTATTGATATAAATATTGATATAAATATTGATATAAATATGATATAAATATATTATACAATAATTTATTATTTTATAAACTTATTATATAATTATTATATAATTATTATAATATGTTTATAAAATAATAAATTATTATATAATATATTTGTATCATATTTATATCAATATTTATATCAATATCTATATCAATATTTATATCATTTATTTATAGAATAAAAAATATGAAAAAAGAGATAGCATGTTTATAACTCTGTCTGCCAATATCGGTGAGGAAAATGGAGAAAAATTCCGCAAATATTCTCTCGTTCTCTTGTTTAATATGTGAAATATCATCGGAAAAAACATTTAATGCACACGTGCCGGTGCGTCCGAAAATTTTTGATGAAAAAAAACACATATAAAAATTTCTCTTGTCCATTTGACCGCGTTATTACGTCCTTCCCGCTGAAATCGGTTGAAAGGGAAGTGAATTGAGGAGGGCAGAACGCATCTTTATATGTATCCTCACGCTTGAAAGAGACGTTACACGTTTTAAGAGCGATCCGGCTGCAATACGATGAGGGGAAGAGAAAAAGAGAGATAAAAAAGTGTCTTACTCTCTCTTTTTCTCTCTCCCTCTCTCTCTCTCTCTTTCATATTTGTCCGATGACATTTCCGATTTCGATTTCTTTTGCGGCCATGCATCAGGGATCGTCGACACAATTGAGACATTTTGCGTGAACGGGGCGGGAAACCGATGGTGGGTGGTCGGAACATCTGCAAGAACTCGCATCTGCCTCCTAAAACGAATTGTTGACATCTAAAATTGTTCGATAAAATATCTCTTTTAGCGTTTCGAATAGAATGGTGTCGTAGATTTCAAAATTATGTCTACATGAGTTGTTTACACATAGTCTACATGATGTTTACGTGAGCTTTTTTCGAACAAACAATGCAAAGTATATAAGCTTTGTAAATTAGATGTTAAAATGCAAAAAAGAATGATATATTATAAAATATATTATAAAATATATTATAAAATTAAGTTTGTTATCTGTATATGTGATTTTAGTATCAATTAAGAAAATATTTATAATATATGTTAAACATTGAGAAGTTAAGTATATAAAGTATCTAGTTCATTAAATTCTTTGATTTTCGTGACATTTTTCATAGTAACATAAAATTATGCAGTTATGTTTAAAGCGTGAAATATAAAGAATAAAATGTAAAGAAAATTTTCGGCAAACCATTTTATACATTACTCATTGTTGACATGTTTCACATTGTACATTGTTTACGCGTAAGTGTAGACTATTATAATTTACAGGTAAATCTCTTACTCTCTATTTCTTGTCTAACTATATTTTCTCTCTCTTTCTTCTTTTTTTTCTCTACATACAAAGATCCAATTACACGCTTATATACTTGATTTTAAAGGCAGAACATGTAATGCGTTACAATTCTGCGATAAAAGAAAATAAAATGTTTAATCTCCCATTTTTAGCAAAATCGAAATACACATTTTATATAAAAAAGAATTGTAGCGTCCCTCTTTTCTTTAAGGAAATATTCTCATGTAAAAATTCGAAAAAATCGGTTTTTTTGCATTTTCTTTGAAAATATGTCCACGAAAACATTTCCTTGAATTCTTAAAATTAACGAAACGCTAAAAGAGATATTTTATCGAACAATTTGAATTTAAGAATGTTTTGTACCTATTTTCAAAAGATTGAGAATTTAATGAAAATTGTACAGAATGTCCTTACATATGTTTAGAATCTTCAGTACAATTTTTAAATCGATTCACTAAAGCGTTCACAAGTTATAAGGATTTTAATTTGCACCGAATTAACATGTTCTTATAGGAAACGTATAACCACGTCGATTCAAATGACAAAAACATATGGAAATAATATTCAAAATTTGTTTAGATACAGAGGAAATATTTGATCAAATAATATTATACAAGTATTAACTGGTTAAAAAGACATTAAATATAATTCAATGAAGTTAGCCATGTATCTGTTACAAGAAATTCTCTGCCAAAAATTAATCATTTCGATTAACAAAATTCGGAATATTTCAGTAAAAACGCAATAAATATTAAAAAATACATCTCTGCACTGTAGCCAAGATCAAATTTATTTAATATTCTACACTGTAGCCAAGATCAAATTTATTTAATATTCTACACAATTTCTCCTATTCAAAATACACCAAAGGGGATATTCGTCAATATTGATTTTCAGCTACTTTTTGCTGGGAAAACATACAAAACATCCTTAATTAAATCATTTTTTATTTATAGATAATTTTTAAATAATTTTTAAGTGATTTTTTCTGTTTAGAAGCTATACACGTCGAACGAAAGAATTTTTCGATTAATCCTTTGAGTCATGATACATCAACGATTCACTTTTTTCTTCGCACTTTTTCATTTTTTAAATAGTTTTTTAACAACGAATGCCGGGTTTTTTGTTTCTATAAAGTCCTTGGAACATCAACAAGTAAAAAAATATAATGATTAATTGTTAATTGCAAAAATAAAATATATAAAAACAAATAGTTAAAATAATTGATACTTTTTCAATGAGAAATTTATTAATTTATTAAGAAAATTTTATTAATTTATTAAGAAAATCAAAAGGGCAATTTTTTATAAACTTAGTACATTCTAAAATATTTTCCAGAATTTTCCGTCATATTGTTTTTTATTAATTCTATACAAAAAATACTTTCTATTAATTCTATACAAAAAATATTTTCTCTATTAAATCTAAATTAACAATTATATTTTCTTAAAATTGTTTCTTTGAGGGTTTTTAGGTTAACAGAATCTAAAAGAAAAATTTATAATTTTTAAAATTTATAATTTCTGTTATATTGGATCCATCATCTAATAAATTTCAATTTTTTGAAATCGAAAATTTTGACATCAGATTTGAATTCACCAAAAAATCCCAGAATTTACAAAAATTTTGAGTGTAACGAAAAATATATGATTGAAAGGATTAATTTATATGTATTAATATCGTAAAAAAAGAATATATTTTCTCTTCGTACTTGGATTTTATCAAACTTGTAAAAAGAGAGATACAGATAAAATCAAATTGTACAGAAGATCAAATTGTTTCCATATTCCACACAATTTCTCATACTCAAAATACAAAAATGGATATATTCATCTATATTGATTTTCAGCTACTTTTTGCTGGGATACAAAACATACAAAACATCCTTAATATGAAATAAAATATTTTGCGCTTTTTTAGAGCCTTTATACAAATAAACATTTGCTCTGTTCACATAATTTTGAGTGTATAGTGAAGTTAGTATTGCTTTAATTGAGTAAAACACATGCAGATATTTAGTTTGAAAATTGTATTTTGAAAATTGTATTTTAAAAATTATACCTATAAGAGTGACTTAATTGGAATTTAAACTGAGATATATATAATTATATGAGTCGAAAATCAAATATTTAATTTCGTTCAAAACATAGATCTATATAGAATTTGAGAAAAAAACAGAATTGATCAAAAACAAGAAAAATCAGTTTAATTCGAATTGTTTGAACAAGAAGAAGGGATTTTGTATGGTTCTGAGCAAACAAATTAGTTGTAAGTATAATTATATTCATTTAAATGGTATAGAAAACTTTAAACGCGTTTTTCTCAAAACCAAGTTTTTTTAAATGGTGACCATGATATTTTAAGATTTTATTGATCTAGAGCTAGTTCAACAATTATGCATACATGTATCTTCAACACATGTTGCTATCACCAAAGTTAAATTGAAATTTATTTATTTTCTTATTTTTCTGCTGCAAAAGGAAAAAAAACAAAAAATCGATAATTAATTTTTCCAAAAAAAATATATATATACAGGGTCCCAGACTTAACGAATCAGCCGTTAATAGCTGATTTCTGAGATCATTTGGAGACGAAAATTCTAATACCAAAATGTTGAGGAAGACTTCATAAAAATGTTCCATCTACTGACTACTGTCGCATCGAAGACACAATGGGCTCACTACAGAATCCTATTTTTTATTTTATATTGATCCCTCTATTGATATTGATATTATGCACTATATTTCTGAGCACAGAAGAACGTAACGCGCCGATTGGTAATCTTTAATCTTTTGTAGCGCCGAAACTACATCTTCCTCAACATTTTGGTATTAAGATTTTCGTTTCCAAATGATTTCAGGAATCTATCATTAATCGCTGATTCATTAAGTCTAAGACACCTTGTATATATGGAGGGAGGTAGAGAGGGAGAGAGGGAGAGAAAGAGAGAGAGAGACCACAAAACTTATTTATATTAAAGATATGTATTTAACACAACTTGTTGCATTCATATTTTAGTATTCATATTACCGCCACCTGGGCTGCGTTCAGAAATATCACCCGAGTGTACCTGGGTATCATTTTATCCTTGTTTAACATTCGGTGAACAACAAAGATAAAATGATATCCAGGAGCACTCGGCTGATGTTTCTGAACACAGCCCTAGCATGGAACAGAACCACAAATCGTGGACATAGCAAGTTACCCTTTGAGAAGTTCCGTGGAATGGCTGTGTAGTTCAGTATCTATGTTTTGTGGACAAAGAGGCGCTTTAGATATTTCCACGTGCTTTGTCCTCTTTCTATTTATTCCTACCCGGTTCATTTTTATATATCAGCGGGTGCGTGTTTTTATCAACGGGTTAATTTAAATCAGCATCAACTGGCAAAAATCCTTTCAGGAGTCTAATCAGCGAAGAAGAGGGCGGCGCATCAGGACGATATGTCCGTTAAAGCGATATGGCCGCTTTCAGGTTTCTCTGTGGACCAGCAAAATTTACTGGGAGTCGAGAGGGACAAGGAACCGGGATGTGCGATAGTGACTCTTGGCAGGAACATAGTGATACGATATAAAGTTAGATATTAGCCATTTAAGACATTTAAGATTCATTCAAGATTCATTTCATTATATTTTAAATCTGAGAACTAGTTTAGCTGATTCGTACATGTTTGCAGCTGCAGGACCTAAAACAGATCAGCAGCTGGTCGAGCAAGGAAAGATTAACGACACAAGTCATCTACGATAGATCCAAGCAGCGTTATGTTGCTGCCTTCAATGAAAAAAAGGTACGGGTCTGGTCCTCGGAAGAGGAAACAGACTTGAACAACGTGAAAGGATACAAGTTTCAGTCACCGGTTTACGCTATTTTACAATACGACGACCTGCCAGCTATTCTGGTCCAGCGGAATGGAGCTACCGCTTCCTTAGAATGGGCGATTGCGAACAGGAAGACATGGACAAGCAAGGGTATAACTAAAGCTAAGGAAAGGATATTAGATTGTCGATTGATACATGTAAACGGGAAGACGAGTTTGTTCTGTTTAACAAAGATAGAAGAGGTCTACAATTACGTGGTAGTTAAATTGGAAGATGACACTTGTCTGGAAAGAGCAGACACCATCAGGAGGATAGAATTAAAACGAAAATCGGAGGACCTCATGGGACACGTAGTGATACATCACAAGAACAATGCGTATCTACTAACTTTATGTATGTGTGATCAATCGTTGGAAGCAAAATTTAACTATTCTTTTTCTTTATATTTAGTATATTAAATAAAGTATATTTAATATATTAAGTATATTTTATATTTAGTATATTTAATATATTATTTATTTGATATACAGGGTGTTTCAGACCACCCGTACCCACCTATTTAAAAACTAGAGAAGTGGTTATTTCAAAAAAAGTAAAAACATTTTCTTTATAATTTATCGGGTGCGCTCTATCGAATGGTGATATTTTCAACTTCAGTTGTTTTTAAAAAAAAATATGGAAATTACATATTTTTTTCTTAAAGACAACTATGTTTTCTTTACACCAATTGATTCCTCTCATTATTTTGTACATAAAAGTATTAAGGTAAGATAATCGAAAAATGAATATTTTACAAGATATTTTATGATTTATGTAAAATTAAGAAATAATTTCAAGCCTCATAACTCGGAAAGTACTTCATGGAAAAATAATTTATTATAGTATTTTGGAAATCCCTTGAGATGAGCTACAAGAATATGCAATGAAAAATAGGGGGTTCCATTTAAAAAAATGCACTTCCGGTTTGAATCGGCCATTTCCGGTCGGAAGCAGAAGTTGAAAATATCATTCAATAGAGCACACCCGATTTATAAAGAAAATGTTTTTACTTTCTTGAAATAACCACTTCTCTAGTTTTTAAATGGGTGATACGTGTGGTCTGAAACACCCTGTATATTTAATATATTTATAAATTAAGTATATTCAATATATATCGATATCATTGTGAAATTATTTCAGGGTCACATGGTAGATTGTACAGTCACTTCTTGGCAGGGACGTCCTCTGATCGAGAAGCTAGCAAACTCATCAGCGTAATTAGCAATATCAACACAAATTATCCCGTGGTCATGACGCACTTGAACGAAACAACTATAGCGGTTTACGGTGCCGATGTTACGGACGAGGGCGCCATACTGATGATTTACAATATACAGTTCAAGCTGGTGCAAGCGGCGCAAAAGCTGAAGCTGTACACCAATGACGCCAAGCTCTGGAAGGTGGAGGACAAGTTGTTGCTCGCGGCAAACAGACACCTGGCCGTTGCGCCTTATCATCTTGCGCCGCAAAGAATAGCCGCTATGCTGGGCTCGTCCTTGCGTTTCAAGAACGATGAAAACGACGCGGACGACATCGTTGTGATACAGGAAGCAACGATGGCTCAGTGGGACAAGAGCCAAAAGCGAGTGAAGCACTCGTTAGGCCGGGTACCTTCAAGTATCTCTAAGCAGATTCACACTTATTTAAACGAGGGATGGAGCGATGCAGTAATACAGGAGACGTTGATTCCATCCCTGATGGAATCTGGCGATGTCGTGTCGATTCGCTGGTGTCTCGACACCTTTAAAGATTTGCCGGAGAAGTTACTGGTGCAGCTTTTGGCATTTGCCTTGAATCGTCCTGATAAGGCATTCGTTCCTGTGCAAAACGGTACTGCTGATAGTAAATCGAAGGCTAATAATCCCTATTCGAGAAACAGTTTTCTAGATAAAATATTCAGTATCAGTTATTCTAGCGCTTCTCTATTACCTCACTTGAAAACTGGTTTAACGTTTGACGAAGTGCTTAAATTATTGGAATATTTAATGTATAAATTGAACGAGGAAATGGATTCGCTTGACGGTAACTTGCAGCCAAGTGATCAGCAATTATACGAGTGGTCCTGTATGCTTCTCGATTCTCATTATCAACATTACTTGTTGTCACAGGATACGCATGTTTTAGAGCTGTTCAATAGACTAAATTCCATCTTGGAAGAACATGTAAGTGTGCGAAAAAATTATTTTTTTCATATATACAATATTCTATTGCCTCCTCTATATTTAATAGATTATTTTCATTATCAGTTTCAGTTTCTGCAAGATCTCGAGAACTTGAGGCCAATGATAGACAGGACCAATAATGGAAAATCACTACGATCTTCTTCAAGAAAATACAATAAATTCTATTCTATAGAAGAAATAAAACTTTATTAAATTATAAATTAAATGTGAGACACACTTTACCCACATCTCTCATCTGATATAGATAAAGTGCAGGAAGATGTACCTTCTTTTTTATACATACTTTTTCATTAATTTAATACTATACCAATAAGTCATATAAACACTATTCAAAAATAATTAACGAGACAAAATTTCAATACTCCACTTTTTATAGCATCTTATTTTATCTGTCATATCAAAGGCAGATATCAAATTATGCAAATTACAGCGACATTATATTTTTATTAATATCGCAAGTGGATTCTACATTCTCTAAAACTGAACAGAAGATTTAGAAATCGGGAATTTACAGGTGCTGTCCAGATTTTCAACATTATATCTACTTTAATTCATCGAGGTAAGGAACGGTAGATAGATCTCCGATCGCGGCCAGCGACAACTTTCCGCTACCAAATTTTCCGGCAACCTGAAAGGGATAAAATAAATCGATCAAATGAACAAGCGATATCGTGAAAAATGAAACTTCAAACGTACCGATTTGACCTCGGATGCAGTCACTTTGTCTACTTCCGCAACGAGAGTAGACGGTTTGTACACGCGTCCTTTGAGAATCGCTTGTTGCCCCAGGTTCTCCAGGAGCGCAGGCTCATTATCCGCAGCGTACAGTATCTCCGCTTTCAACGTGGCCTTGCCACGAGCGACATCAGCATCGGAAATCTTCGGTGATCTCAGATATGCGGCAGCAGCTTTAGTTATCTACAATCAATATTTTTTTTCACGTATGTGCGCTAAATAAAAAATTATTCAAGAGATTCATCATCTTTACGAGCGATAAAAACGTACAGAACCGGCGACACTGGGTACAGAGGACAAGACGACCCCGAATAATCCAGAATCGCTGTAAGAGGCATTGAATGCCAAGGCGGCAAAGTCATCAGCCTTCACCGCGCTGGATAACTCCCTTTGCAACGGAGACACGGTTGAGCCCCACTTTACACGTGGACCAGAACCGACCGCTCTCTGCAGGACTGCGTAGGTAATAGCATCCTTCTCCTTGTTCAAACCCGCAGCTTCAACAGCTATAGCCACAGTGGACAGATCGGAGGATCGTTCCTTGCGAAGTTCCCCTCCGTGATACTTGGAGGCTTCCGCGGCTTTATCACCCGAACCCACGTTCAGATTCGAAGCAAACTGAGACACATCAGATAACGACACGCCTGTCGCAACGACCGCGCAATTGGAGCCGGTGAACCAGGTGTTAACGAAATGTTGTAGCTGTAAAGAAGAAGAAACAAACTTATTTCTACAACATATATTAATGTGCGACCAGTGTTTGCTGGTATCTAGATAAAATTATCTAGATAAAGAAATGAATCATCTTTATCTTTAACTAGATGAAGAAATACAAAGTATCTTTATCTTTATCTTAGATGAAAAATATATGTCATCTTATCTAAAAATTGTCTAAGATGACATTTTCATTATGCAAAACAGTTTTCCAGGCATGCTTCTAAAAATCTATCTAAAATATTTAAAATATATTTTTTATATTATTATTATTAATATATTATAAACATATTATATTATTAATATATTATAAATATATTATAAATATAAATTAATAAATAAATATTTATCATATCATTTATATACCTTTTTGCTATTATTTAAATATTCTTTAGGAAAAGAGAAAGAATATGTGTTTATGATTTTAATATCCTATTTATAATCTGCATCACATTTTTTACAAATATTTATAGTCTTATAAAATAAATAAAAATATCTAGATAATTATCTAGATTATTGCAATAATCATCTCATCTTTCATCTAGATTAAGTAAAATCAAAATCATCTTTATCTCATCTAAGATAAATTTACGGATTTTTATCTTTATCTAGATAATTTTGAAATTATCTACAGTAAACACTGTGTGCGACATTACGTTTACGTACAGTTTCTGTACTGATTTTTCCAAGTTGCCTCTTTGGCGAGTACAGAGAGTAGCCCAGTCCAGTGCGATAGGCTGCTTTGTGTAACAATTCCATCACGCGAGTTGTTTGAGGTACCATAGATAGTTCGTAGCGCAGCCTGGGCAGCTGGTCGGGTATTTCCCATGGTTTGAACACTTGCTGTGTGGCAACATCCTCCAGGAAATTCAAAGTTTTGTCTCTTGCATCATATAATAAGAATAATATAATACATGCCATAAATGCTATAAATAATACGAATACTTGGAATTATTTGAGGCAAATTTTTTAATGAAAAATCAAAAAGAAAATAGCATAAGAGCCAAATAGTGACGCGTTACATTAAATGAATTTATTTTGTAATATATATTGTTAACATCGCACTGAAGAAGGATCAAAAGATGATCCGAAACATTCGCTCTTTGTTATTATGTTAATATTGAAAAAAGAAAGAAGGGTCTTCTCTGCCATTTTTCTTTTTGATTTTTTGATTATTTGAGCCAAGTCTCTAATTATTAAATTCTTCAATAAAGTACTACCTACAATTTATCTCTTGTAATTTGTAGTGTGTAAGCAACATGTTCACGATCGGTAGTGGCAAATAAGTTCCCACCGAGTTGTTGGATATTCTTGATTATCCCAAAAGTGGTCGATCTACAAGTACTTAGACCAGCAGCGATACGAAGATGATGAGTTAAACCTTGTGTGCTATAAGTTTCATTGCGCGAGCCAGTTCTAGGGGTAAAAATAATTGTAAGAAAAGAATCCTTTCACCCAAGACAACTGTTCATTCTAATTATCTAATTAATAATTTATTTGTTTTTTATACAATAAATAACAGTGGAACAATATCGACACTAGACTCATATTGCCACTTGTATCACTTTATACAGGGTGGCCTCGAATGTTCCAGCCAAACTTTGAGATCTTATAGGAAATTTAATTCTGAACAAAAAATTTCGTAACATGGGTCGAAAAATGCTTCCTTAAGAAGTTATCGCTCAAAAACTTCTGATGCAAGAAGAGCAAAAGATGAAAAGAAAATGAAATAAAAAGAAAATGAAACTAAATAAATTTCTTGGAAAAAACGATAAAGATAAAAAATAAAAATCTTTTTCTTTTATGAAAATAAAATAAAAGTTAGTTAAAAAAAAATTTCTTTTATTTTCATAAAAGAAAAAGATTTTTATTCTTTATTTTTATCGTTTTTTTTCAAGAAATTTATTTAGTTTCATTTTCTTTTTATTTTATTTTCCTTTCACCTTTTGCTCCTCCTTCATCAGAGGTTTTTGAGCGATAACTTCTTAAGGAAGCATTTTTCGAGCCATGTTTATAGGAAATTTTTTCAGAATTAAATTTCCTATAAGATCTCAAAGTCTGGCTGGAACGTTCGGGGCCACCCTGTATATTTAATTTTATATTCATGAGTCTGACATTTTTAATAATTTTAATAATTTATTATTTCCATACCTGAAGATAATGGATACTTGAGCGATGGGACTATTATTATCGATTGCAGCAACAGTGACCTTGTTATTTGACAGCACCTGGAGCTCAGGGACTGCTGCGCTAGAGCTGCACTGAGCTGCTGCGGCAGCTGCGTAATGCCTTACCTAGGATAAGAAGAGATAAAAAAAGAATTCTTAGAGATTCTTAGAGATTAAAATGCAATGGAATATTTGGGGAATGCAATCATCTAGTGATCTCTTTCTTTCATTTATACAGTTGCGGAGCAACTGGTTAAGGCAGGTTTGAGTTTTAAGAGGTAAATTCGATTTCGACGAGGATGATACTTGTCTGGAATTGTTTCTCGATGAGAAATTTTACTTGGACAATTTAAAGTTGTCACGTAAACTTAACAACACGTACGTATCGCTTTTACATAACATTTAAATCACAGGCAAAGTAAACTGGGATTGCAATATCTTTATATTTTAAGCATATTTTAGGCACAATAGTCGAGATATGCATTCGTGAAGCTTTGCCATACCGTGGAATTGCGAAGGACGGGCGATCTTACGGCGGAGCAAGCCATTTTTCGTGCCTTCCGTAATAACAGAATAGCAGACCAGACGGACGTAGACGGCCGACAGGGCGCCATTAACCGAGAAAACGTCGATAAATCAGAGCCCGTCCGATTCGACAGTCGGATACAGGAACTGTGAGCCCTGGTGAAAATTATTTACAGAATTTCTCAGAATACGTAAAAGAATTGAGAATAAGAATATTGAGTTTTATTAAATGAAATAAAAATATATTTTATAAAATATATATTTAAAAAAATATTTAAAAAATATATTTAAAAAATTGAATAAAAATTGAATTTCTCAAAAAAAAATTTTCAGATTTTATATAAAATTTCTAAAACTTCCTCAGAAAATTTTAAAATGTTCTGTACGAATTGGCGCACTTTTCAAAAATCTTGGGAAAAGGAATGAAGATATTTCATATTTTTACCGTAAATGAATTTTGCTAGAATTTCTTGTATACTGGGTGTTAAAAAAAGTCTGGACACGGTCGAATATCTCGATAAAGAAGAGTTTTACGAGAAAGTGTTTCAGATAAAAGTTGTGTGGCTTGAAGGGGGCCATAAGATGGTGTCATTGATTTGATCTTGAAAAGTTGTTTGAAGGTCACGTGAAGATCACCTTCAATTTTTTAAACGGAATTCTCTATTTTTATTACTTCTTCTGATAGCTCATCTCGAAAGCTTTCCAAAACACTATAATAAAGTATTTTTTCATTGAGTACTTTTCGAGGCTTAAAATAATTCCTTAATTTTACATAAACTATAAAATATCGAGTAAAATATTCATTTTTTGAATACTTTACTTTAATACTTTTATATACAAAATAATAAGAGGAATCAAAGAATGTAAAAAAAAAACATAGTTGTTTTTAAGAAAAAAATATATAATTTGCAATTAACAATTATATATTTTTGTCCAGACTTTTTTAATACCTAGTAGATAAATAATAAATATTCTGAGATTTTTATCTTATAATTTTCTAAGATAATATTAAAAAATCTAAATAAATTCGATCCCAGCAAACACCAAGTATATAATTGTTAGTTGTAATTTCTCACTCAACAATACCATGTTATGTACCTGTTATATAACATGTAACAGTATATATTGTTGAGTGGGAAATTATAACAGTTATATAACTGTTATTTGGTGTTTACTGGGATATATTTAGAATTCTTTCCATAAAAGCCTGAATAAATTTGATATATTTAGAATTTTTTCATAATTTAAATTTATGAAGAATTCTTCATTAAAAAATATTCATTTTTTTAATGTTTTATTTTAAAAAATTATAGAAAAAAAATCTCAGAATATTCAATATTTATATATATTACAGTATAAGAAATTCTGACCAAATTCACTTATGATAAAAATATGAAATATATATATATCTTATTAAAAATCAATAAGCAATAAGCAATAAAACAATAAGCAATAAAATAAAGCAATAAGCAATAAGGCCGGGTCTACAATAAATAATTTAAGCCTTAAACCTTAAGAGATTGACCAATCACAGTCAAGGATGAAGATAATACTCGGCTGTGATTGGTCAAAAATAATAATAATAATTAATGATAATAATTATAATAATTGACATTATTACACCACTCAAAGAAATAGAATGGAAATTGCCGCGATTGTCAAATAATTAATTTATGTAGAGGAGTTTTTATGTAGAGGAGGGAGGCAGGGTTCGAGTCTCCGCTAATAGGGTTTGAATCTCGGTTGAGCAAGTTCGATGATGGCAGATGGGTTAAGAATACTTAAGAATCGCTGGCTAGAGCCTGGCAAGTGCGATTAATAAAAAGAAAAAAAAAGAACGACACGAATATGAATATAATTATCAATAATTATACTCGAACAGTCGCAAGTCTTTTTAGAGATGCTGGTAATTTTTCGAGAAGATACGCTGTTTCTATAGCCGACTATAAGATCAACTGGACGCGACCTGAACAACCCTCAGAGTTGTCGCCTGAGAGATCTGGCGACCTGGGATTAGACGTCGGCGTCAAGCCAACGGATTTTGCCAAGTATTACTCTGAGTCAGGTGAATTGAAAGAGTAAGTAATAATAATATTATTAAATTATTTAAAAAAATTTTTAAATTAAAAAGATTAAAAAAAATATTTTAATCTGACACGTTGTCTGCGTTCCATGTGCTATTTATATCTAATGTTTTTATGTCAGTGCCAGCGACATTGTTAAAAAAATGTTCACCTTACAATTTCAACCCTTCAAAAGTACAAAATACTTGAGAAAGGTCAAAACTGTGGACTTCGTAAGGAGGAATGAATTGGACAGATCATCACCGGAGGCTCAAAGTAATGTGCGATTTTAATAAATAATAAATTAAAGAATTAGGCTCTTTATGTATTTAACAACACGATAAGAAACGAGCAAATAAGAGCCAATAAATTATAAAGATATTTAATAAATAATATCTGTTAAGGCTCGTTTACAATATAATCTTTGTATCTTGTTTCTTTTTGCCTGTTGCCTTCTTGTCTCTTTCTGTACCTGTTTTATGTTTCTTTGTTTTCTGTAGCTCTAGATAAAAGTTGACAGACTCCAGATGAGACAGAAAACACATAACAAAAAGTGAAGAGAAAAGCAATAGGCACGAAGCAAAAAATAGAAAGAGCATAGAGCATATTGTAGATCGACCTCTACTATGGAATAAAAAATAATATCTACTATTATCTTATGATTTTCAGTCGCTTTTTACACTAGCAAAATACTTAGATTGCAAGAACATGTGAAAAAACATCCTCACCATTCGACTGCGAGAGTAGATTTGAAAGAAGCGATTGACAAGCGAAGGAAACAGTTGAAACATTTACGAACCTGGGATTACAAGCGCTTTGAATGGGTTTTAGAGAAACTCAATCTTATTTATAAACCACTACCCGAGTAAGACAAAGATTATTAAATAATAATACTTTTCCATTTTGAGAAATTTTATATTAAATAAATATATTAAATAATTATATATAAATTTATAAATATATAAATATATAAATTTATTTAATATATATTTATATTGAATAAATATATTAAATAATTTATATTAAATATATTATACAAGTAATTTTATAAATAAATAATATTAATAATACTTTTCCATTTTGAGAAATTTTATATTAAATAAATATATATTATATTAAATAATTATATATAAATTTATTTAATATATATTTATATTAAATAAATATATTATACAAATAATTTTATAAATAAATAATATTAATAATTAATTGAATAAATAATTGTTTATATATATATAATACTTTTTATAGGCCACCAAAGCAGATTGCTAGAAAAGAATCTATAAGACGATTGACAGAAAAGCATTGTGATAGACTCGTGCAGGATAAATTAAATAATTACAAAGGAGAATTGAAAATGTTACAAAAGCAATTTTATGTAGAGAAGGCAGAGAAGCTCGCGTTTATTAGGGAGGAAGAATTAGCTTGTGGATTAGAGCCAACAGTGAGTGAAAAGGACATTGAAGAAGCTAAGAAAAAAGCAAAGGAATGTCAAACAAAAGAAATGTAAAAAAATAATAAATATATATTTTTATTATAACTTAGAAATTTACAAGATTAAACGATAATTTATAGTCAGTTTGTATATTTTTAAACTATTTTACACTAATCCATCTAATGATTACACCTTTGTTAGTATGATTTGAGATTTATGTAATCAATTTATTATAATTTATCATATTAAATCTGTGAACGCGAAATCTTCCCTTTGCTTATTTAAAGTAATTCTCAATTAATACAAATTTAATAAACTTGTTAAAGTTTATTTAATTTAATAAAATTTAAAATTTAATAAACTTGTTAAAGTTTATTATAAAGTTTTCTCTTTGTCTCAGATATTTAATCTTTTGTTAATCTTAATTGCTATATTTTCACATTTATGATAGTGTTTTCTTATTTTTATATCACTTTGTAAATCGTACTATTTTCTATTACTCTTTCTTAAGAATTATATAACTAGAATATATAATATAAAAATAGTATTTTGCAATATATAATATAGAAAAATGTTTTCTATAATAATTTTATAATAAAAAATATGCTAAGAAACATTGGATGTATATGTATATAGATATGTTCTATTTTTATATTATAAATCTTTTTATTATTAGCTTCAAGTACTTTTACTTATTTATATTTCATGATGAAATTTCTATATTTCTCGAATAAAAAACTAAACCCAAAAAAAATTCAAAAATCAAATTTCATTAATCCAAAATCAAATGTATAAAATTGTTTGATGAAGTATTTAAAGTTGAACTAAATATAAAAATAAACTATATAATAAATCAATATTACACATTATTGTGCAATTATCGATATTTAAAAAGCAACATAATTTGATTATTAAATTATAAATTTTAATTACATTTTATAATTAAATCACATATTTTATAATTTTATAATTAAATCGCTAATAAATCGCTTATAAAATTTCTCGTCTGTTTATATTAATGTATTTTTATTTATATATTTTCAAAATAATAACTTATTTAACAAAAATTCAAAAATAAATTATTATTCAAAAATAAATTATTATTTTGAAAATATATTTTTTTTGAAGAGTAGAAAAATATAGTTCTTTCAAATGAGTACTTTTTAAAGAGCGTCACAAGCATTCTGAGAAAACATTTTATTGTAAATGCTCCCAAATGTTGGATTAACCAATCAAAACAGAGAAATTCTTGTTCTTCCTGTTCTGATTAGCCAATCAAACGATTCGAAGCATAGGAAAGTACTCATCTGAAGGAACTAAATATTATATTTTTTTATATTATATTTTTCTACGCTTAAAAAGAATGTATTTTCAAAATAATAATTTATTTTTGAATTTTTGTTAAATAAGTTATTATTTTGAAAATATATAAATAAAAATACATTAATATAAACAGACGAGAAATTTTATAAGCGATTTATTAGCGATTATAAAATTACAAAATATGTAATTTAATTATAAAATTTAATTAAATTTAAAATTTTTATATAATATATAAATTAAATTTTTATATAAATTTTAAATAATTAAATCACATATTAATATAACATAATCGCTTATAAAATTTCTCGTCTCTGTTTATATTAATGTATTTTTATTTATATATTTTCAAAATAATAACTTATTTAACAAAAATTCAAAAATAAATTATTTTGAAAATATATTTTTTTTTAAGAATAGAAAAATATAATATTTAGTTCTTTCAGATGAGTAAACTTTTTAGGGAACGCCACAAGCATTCTGAGAAAACTAAGGCACTAAATATATGAGTATTCTATACTCCGCCATTTTTAATCCATCTTCCCACCCCATATAATCTCACTAACCTATCTACTATGGGTGCTTTCCATTTAGCAACACAAGTCGACACAAGTGTCATTCTATCTTTGTTTATTGTTATTCATTGAAAAAAGATAGAATGACGCTTGTGTCGACTTATGTCGCTAAATGGAAAGCACCATATAATCTCAGCTTAGCGACGAGGCGAGTGACACGAGAAACAAGGAGGGGGAATGGATTAAAAATGGCGGAGTATAGAATACCTGTATATTTAGTGCTCTAAGAAAACATTCTATTGTAAATGCTCCCAAATGTTGGATTAACCAATCAAAACAGAGAGATTCTTGTTCTTCCTGTTCTGATTAGCCAATCAAACGATTCGAAGCATTTGTAATTTCAAGAGCACACATATGGCACACGCCATCCTAAAATACAGAGTACACAGAATTTGGATCAAGGATTTTTATTAAAAGAAAAAAACAATAATAATAATAATTAACGAAGACAAAACATGCCGAAAGTACGACGAAGCAAAAAACCGCCTCCTGATGGCTGGGAGCTGATCGAACCAACTCTGGAAGAGTTGGAGCAAAAGATGCGCGAGGGTAAGTTTACTTCGTAAGGTTAATTATTTCAAAGTTTCAAGAGAAAAATGCTTTTCTTATTTTATCTTATTTAAGTTTCAAGAGAAAAATGCTTTTCTTATTTTCTTACTAAAAAGACATTCTTTAAAAATTTAATTTTCTCTTATTGCGTCAAAGATGGCCAAAAAAAAGGCACATTTATTATATTTAAAACAATAAATTCAATATGTAATATTAACGACACACCTTATTAATTTATTTATAAAATTAATAAACAAAAATTCTGGCTAGTTTCGATTACATTATTTCCAATGATCCTTTGATTAATTGACTAGTAATATTAAGATAATTTATTAATCTTAATTTATTTATTATATAAAACTGTTGATTAATTATGTTGGCTCTTATCGCCTATATTTATATGATTTGTCTTATAATCTTATTTTATTTCGTTGGCAGCCGAAACGGAGCCTCACGAAGGTAAAAGAAAGCAAGAATCTTTATGGCCAATATTTAAAATCCATCATCAGAAGTCTCGTTACATATACGATTTATTTTACAGGAGGAAAGCGATAAGTCGCGGTGAGTTGCATATATAGCATAATTTTGCCACTTGATTAATTAAAATATTCTCTCTGATTCTCCTGTTTCAATTTCAGAATTGTACGATTACTGCTTGAGTGAAAATATTGCGGACAGGAACCTAATCGCCAAGTGGAAGAAGGTCGGCTACGAAAACTTATGCTGCTTGCGATGCATTCAGACGAGAGACACTAATTTCGGTACAAACTGCATCTGCAGAGTGCCAAAGGGCAAACTGGAGGAGGGCCGAATAGTAGAATGCATACACTGCGGTTGCAGAGGATGTTCGGGTTGAATGTTTCCCTGTGCGTAAGGCACTTTCCCCTTTATTGTTACGTTACATTGCGTCTTGCGTAATAAAAATAATTCTTGTGTGTTTCACTTGAGCGTCAGACTCCATTTTTTGTACTCGGTAAATCGGGCGGCAAAGTATAGCGGCGTTTGCACGCGCCAATCATACGTCACGCATTTATTTTCAGATTCGATATTCACTCGCAATACGTGAGCGTCTTTGCGGAAGGCTGAGATCGTAATATTTGCACCGAAACGCATTTTTGGCAGGCGCATCAATTTCTCGTCGCCATCCATGAAGATCTTTCCACGAGATGTGATCATCAACGTTGCTGTTCTCTTTAAAGTGTCGTGACTGTCTCGTGGATTGTAAACTAACGCGATACCTTCGTCGTCATCTCCTTCTGGCGCAGCCTCTAAGAACTGTATTATAAGTATTGTAGGTAAATTACACATGAAAAAGCTGACAAACGTAAATAATAAAATTCTCTTGCATGTAATCACCTTGAATTCAATTATGTGATTCGCATCAAACTGGGGACCATGTGAAAACAATGTGCTTATAATATCTGTGAGTTTTACAGCTGTTTTACCATTATTAGTAATCATGTAATGCTTATTATCGAGTTCCCAGCCTGCAATTGTAAATGATTTTTTTATATTATTACATTAATGGTACATATTTCATATTAAACGCAAAACAATTTCCAAGATTATTATCATCTGTTAGTCCAAATTATATCAAAAAGTTTACACGATATCAAATTTATTATTTCTATACATCAGAGAAAAATTAAATGCCTTCTGTTTTATCGATAAAATGTCATATTTTATTTTTGTCCGAAATCTTTTTATCAGTTGCACAAAATAATAAATGCTCCTCCATTAAAGTATATACAGAAACAAAGTAGGAACCTCCTAATTTTATGTTAAAAATTTTTAAAAATTGAAAAATCGTAAAAAGACCATAACAATATTTGCTTAATATAAAAGTTTTGCAATATGTATAAAATAAGATAGATTCCCGCTAGAAATTGTATGAAGGAATACAGGATGTTTCAGACAAAAACATTTTCTTTATAAATTGGATGCGCTCTATCGAATGGTGATATTTTCAACTTCTGGCTCCGGCCGGAAATAGGCGATTCAGACCGGAAATGCATTTTTTTAAATGGAACCCCCTATTTTTCATTGCATATTCTTGTAGCTTACCTCGAGAGCTTTCCAAAACACTATAATAAATTATTTTTCCATGAAGTACTTTTCGAGTTATGAGGCTTGAAATCATTTCTTAATTTTACATAAACCATAAAATATCTTGTAAAATATTCATTTTTCGATTATCTTATCTTAATACTTTTATATACAAAATAATGAGAGGAATCAATTGGTGTAAAGAAAACACATACTTGTCTCTAAGAAAAAATATGTAATCAACAATTAACAATTCCATATTTAAAAAAAAAAACAACTGTATATTTTCTTTACACCAATTAATTTCTCTCATTATTTTGTATATAAAAGTATTAAGAAAAGATAATCGAAAAATGAATATTTTACAAGATATTTTATGGTTTATGTAAAATTAAGAAATGATTTCAAGTCTCATAACTCGAAAAGTACTCAATGAAAAAATACTTTATTATAGTGGTTTGAAAAGCTCTCGAGGTAAGCTACAGGAATATGCAATGAAAAATAGGGGGTTCCATTAAAAAAAAATGCATTTCCGGTCTGAATCGCCTATTTTCGGCCGGAACCAGAAGTTGAAAATATCACCATTCGATAGAGATATTCGCACCCGATTTATAAAGAAAATGTTTTTACTTTTTTTAAATAACCACTTCTCTAATTTTTAAATTGGTGGTACGGATGGTTTGAAACACCCTATATAAGTGATCTTTTAGAAATGAGTTTAAAAGCCTAATAAAAAAGATTTCGATTTATTTACCTCATATTAAACTCATTTCTACAAGTTCACTTATATTCCTTCATACAATCTCTAGCGGGAATCTATCTTATTTTGTACATACAAAGCAAATATTGTTAGGATTTGATCCTAGAAGCCGATAAAGAATGTAATTTTTCAATTTTTTAAAAATTTTTATCGGTATTATTTATCGATAAAACAAGACTTTGGCATTCTCTTAATACAGAATTTTAAATCTTTTCTTTGCATACATACTATATGGTGGTATAGAAGTCTTCGCAATATGATGTACACTTCTTGCTACATTGTCCGCTTGTATCCTGACCCTAAGCGTGACTGGCTGATTAACAGGTATATTTCTGACGAAGCAGAAAGTGTCGGGTCCTTTATACACCGTTTGGAATTCGCACAATGTCGGATCGAGAATTTTCCCGTTCGCCTTCTCTACGATAAATGTTTGCTCCTCAGCAGTGTATTCCGGATTAGTTATATGCCATTTAACGAATAAACCCGCCGGTCTCTCCTCGATGTTTGTTATTTGAACAGGTACTGTACGAGAAATACAGCCAAGCTTCGATATCTGCTCGATGATCTCCTCCTTACAGGAGTTTAATGGGCGATCGAAATTTATATTTGGAAGCTCCTCCGAGTACGGCACTGCCGGGATCCTTGATAATAATTTATACAATACTTAGAGTCAGGGTTGGCAAAAAACTTGTTTTTTTATTTTAAACAAAAAACATTGTTTATTTTGTTTAAAACAATGTTTTTCGTTTTATTTGTGGTTTTAAGTAAAGCGAAAAAAAACATATTTTGAACAAAAAAGCATGTTTTAAACAAGCAAAAAATTTAATAGCTTTGATCTGTATAAATATTTAAATTTTTCGCTAGCGTTAAACTGTGCATAACGTTGCCAAAATTGACAACACTATTAAAAATATAAATAATAAAATAAAAATAATAAGATGGGTATTATTCTAGAAGAATATTTATTTTTGGATATTAAATAACAATCAATACAATAAAGATTACTTGGAAGATATTGACTGACTTTACATTTTACATTTATCATTTTAAATTAATAGAACATAACTCATAGCAGGTCAGTAATTCTAAAAAAAAGTTCTAGTTAATAATATATAATAATATATAATACTTTGGTTCCTTTCCTATTCTTATTAAGTAACTCTCCTCATGCTTAACTCTCAACATAAATTATAAATAAAATAAAAATAAAAAACCTCATTCTTCTTTTTAAAAGAAGAACCTTTTTTTAAAATTACTGACCTGTTATGAGTTATGTACTATTTAAACTATTTACCAGGAGTGTAAGTTGAAGTTTGCCGGTTTTTTCGTTAAAAAAAACACATAATTTTCAGGGGAATCTCAAAATATTTTTATTCAAAGTATTGACCATTTGATTCTACACATTTCGTCCATCTTTCAGGCAAATTATGGATACCATTCCAAAAAAACTTTTTCTCTTTCGAGGAAAACCATTCGACGAGCCATTTTTCAACTTCTTCAAAATTGACGAAGTGCTGCTCTGCAAGTGAGTGCCCCATCAATGCGAAAAGGTGGAAGTCGGACGGGGCGAGGTCTGGAGAGTACGGCGGGTGCGATAATATTTCCCAATTAAGTGTTTTTAATGTGTCCTTTACGGATCTAGCGGTATGAGACGGCGCGTTGTCATGTTGCAAAATAACTTTGCCATGTCTTCGGGCCCATTCAGGTCGTTTTTCGATCAACGCATGATTCAAATTGATCATTTGTTGTCGGTAGCGATCCGTATTTACCGTTTCACCAGGTTTTAATAGTTCGTGGTACACCACACCATCCTGGTCCCACCAAACACAGAGCATTGTCTTACGGCCAAAGCGATTGGGCTTTGCAGTGGATGGGGCGGCTTCACCAGGTGAAAGCCATGATCTTTTTCGCTTCGGGTCAAAAAAAATCCACTTCTCGTCACCCGTGACAATCCGATGCAAAAAAGACTTCCTTTCGAACCGTTGAAGCAGCATTTCACAAATGGTTTTTCGATGTTCCATTTGCCTGTCGTTCAATGCGTGTGGCACCCATTTTCCATACTTCTGGATTTTTCCCAAGGCTTTTAAACGTTGGCAAATTGCTACTCGGGACACATTAAGTTTTTCTGCCAATATTTGTTGTGATTGGGTTGGGTCTTCATCCAACAACACCTGCAAATCCTCGTCTTCAAACCTTTTCGCTGCACCAGGATGTTCATTGTCTTTCAAATCGAAATCTCCACTTTTAAATTGACGAAACCATGTCTCACATGTTCTAATCACTGGAGCATGCTCACCATAAGTTTCTACTAGCAAACGATGTGCTTCAGCTGCTTTTTTCTTTTGATGAAATAATAAAAGCAACGAATGCCGCAAATGCTCTTTATTTGGAACGAAACTCGACATATTCATTGATATAAACGACTATGACGCTATTATTTTGACAGAATGAGACTTGGGTGTTTTTGGAGGTTAATGTCAATAGAAAACAATCGTGTATATAACAAATCATAGAAATGCCTACATCCTGCTAGCGACACCTACTGTAAAAACCGGCAAACTTCAATTTACACTCCTGGTATGTACTATTTATGTACTAATTTATTATTTATGTTTAATTTATTATTTTAATGTATTAAAATTATTTATTTTAATTTATTATTTATGTACTAATTTAAAATGCTAAAATGTAAAATGTAAAATCAGTCAATATTTTCGAAGTAATCTTTATTGTATTGATTGTTATTTAATATCCAAAAATAAATATTCTGCTAAAATAATATATCTTCCATCTTATAATTTTTATTTTATTATTTATATTTTTATATCTATATATTACATAAATATAGATAAAAAAACTAAAACACTAAAACAAAAACTTTTTTGCAACATACATATCTATTATTAGTTTTTGTTTGTTTTTGATTTTTTTTTTACAATTTCTTTTCCAAATAATTATATATTTTATTTGCGATATTTTAAACGGTTCTAAACAGTAGTTTAAAACAGTTTAAAACAAAAATGTTTAAAACATACCAATCTTGGTCGTGATATACTCACCTGCCTATATCATTACTAGCAGCAATTATTTTGGCGAATCTGTTTGCACTAAATCGATGTGGATGCTGCAGCATATTTTCACTTGTAGATATGATGTTTTGTGCGTTTTGTATCTGTGCTTCCACCTCCCTTCTACAAGCCCTCAGTGGTATTAAACTTTCAAGCTTGTGAATCTGTGTTTCCAATATCAACTCTTCGCGTCTCTTATTGATTTCATAGCACACATCATCTAACAAAGATTGAAATGTCCCGTCTATATCTTTTAACGTTTTCATCATACTATTTTCTATCTGATAAAACAATTTAATCATGTAATTATAATTATCAATAGAAGCAAATGGTAATTTTTATGAAATAAAAAAATCAAGATATTCTAAAAATATGTTTACCTGCTGATCAGCCTTATCAAGATCTTTCAATTGATAATCCAATTTTGTTATGTATTCTTGTACAGATTGTACAATGCCTTTGATATTCTCTTCTACATTTTGTGACAACACTTCTTTCTGTATGAAAGTACCTTCTGCATCAAGTTGTGCTATGTTTGTACCACAATTCTTATCGTTTTGTTCATATTGATTTAATTTTTTTAAAGTGTATGTTAATCTCGTCAGCAGCTCCTCCTTCTTTGTCTTTTCATTGCCATTATTAGATATCACAGAATTTTTGCCAGGATTTGGTATTAATGGCTTTATCATAAATCTCTCTAATAATTCATTATCGTTGTCAACTTGTTCTATTTCCGATTTATCTGACAGATTTTGATTGGTCAGTGCTTCCAAAATTTGTTCCATATCTGAAAAAGTATCCAATATGATTTAAATTAATATTAATAATTGCAAAATGTTCTTTGATACAAAATTCATGTACAGGGTGTTTCATTTTAATTTCTCCAGGCAAATATTTCGGAAAATAATGAAAAATCGAAAAAATGTTTCAGACAAAAGTTGTATGGTTTCTAGGGGGACATAAGATGGTGCCATTGATTTGACCTTGAAGAGTCATTTGAAGGTCACTTCAATTTTTTTAAATGGAACACCCTATATATTTTTGCACATTCTTGTAGCTCATCTCAAGAGCTTTCCAAAACACTATAATTAAGTTAGTTTTCATTAAGTATTTTCCGAATTATGAGGTTTGAAATTATTTCTTAGTTTTATATAAACCATATAAAATATCTTGTAAAATATTCATTTTCGATTATCTTATCTTAATACTTTTATGTACAAAATAATGAGAGGAATCAATTGGTGTAAAGAAAATACATAGTTATTTTTAAGAAAAAATATGTAATTTGCAGTTAACAATTACATATTTTTTCTTTGAAACAACTCTGTGTTCTTTACACCAATTGATTCCTCTCATTTTGTACATAAAAGTATTAAGATAAGATAATCGAAAAATGAATATTTTGCAAGATATTTTACGGTTTATGTAAAATTAAGAAATAATTTCAAGCCTCATAACTCGGCTAGTACTATTAAAGTACTTAATGAAAACTAACTTAATTATAGTGTTTTGGAAAGCTCTCGAGATGAGCTACAAGAATGTGCAAAAATATATAGGGTGTTCCATTTAAGAAATTCAAAATGACCTTCACGTAACCTTCATGTGACTCTTCAAGGTCAAACTAATAACACCATCTTATGTCCCCATAGAAACCATACAACTTTTGTCTAAAACATTTTTTCGATTTTTCATTATTTTCCGAAATATTTGCCTGGGGAAATTAAAATGAAACATCCTATATATATGTATATATATATATCCCATACAGCACAGAAATATTGTAGAATAATTTCATTGAAACATTGTAATATTGCAAATTGGTTCCAAAATTTTTTACGTCATTGCATCAACATTTCGTAAAAATTACATTAAATTTCCTATATCAATTATAGATATTGCTTTATTAAATTGTGCCAAGAATATTTTGCACAGTAATCACTAGTGTCAGCTTGAACTTCTTTCTCGGCGAAGGTCTGAGTTTGCTGATTGTTTAATATTAAATATCTCTTCAACCTGTTTTCTGAATAATTTGCTGAATGATCTTGCAATTTAGTGTAATCTATTTTTTTATTGTCGATTCGAACATTGTACTTGTTAGAATTCTTATTCGGCGTCAGCAACATGCCGTTCCAATAATCTTGATCATTATAATTATGCAAAGATGCTTGTGTACCAATTCCTATAATTTGCCAAGAATACTTTATGTTGCACATTTTGTACGCAGACTTATTGCCCTCTGCATCAACATCGTCCAACAAGTCTTGTAACAAACTGTACGACGTTTGTGTGCTCGTTCCAATAACTTGCCAGGAATATTTTATTTTGCAATCGTAAGGATTTCTGCTGTACCATCCCACATTCCTTACTTCACGTTCATTGTTATATTGATTTTCCCTCTGAGAGGGTGGCATCCAATTATCAGCTTCCCATGAATATTTGTCACGTATGATTTTATATGGATCCCATTTATAATTTTCTGTCATACATTGATCGTCTATTACTTTATGGCTTTTCTTATTAGCAAGAATTCCCAAAGTGTCTTGAATATTTTTTTCTAGCAAATTATCATTCTCATAATGTAACACATTTATTTCATATTCACTACTATTAGGCTGTAAATGATTTGATGCTAATCTGGATATCAATTTTTCCCTATTTTCAATGTTTGCAAATGCTTTCTTGTTCTCAAGCTTGAAACTGGACACTGACAGTATCGATACTGTGGAAACAGTATCTGTGAAATCGTGGAAGGATTGACTTTCTAATGATATAATTGATGATTTGTTCATGATATTGCTAATTGGTGTTTCTATCTTTGGCAAGCCTACAGACTTATCCTCATACTTTATCTGATTCTTCTTTTTAATTTGTGATAAATTGCACTTTCTTGATAGTTTTATCGATTTTGAACTTATCTCGTGCAAATTTTCGTCCTTTTTTGATGGTGGAAGCTTGGTATTAGGAAAGTGTAATGCGTTGCTTTTTTTCTTGCGGGACAATCTCTTCGACGGGCATGAATTTTCAAAAATATCTTGCAAAATACTCTTCTTCTTGATGCTTGGGGAATTTGTCTTTCCAGAAATAGTATATTTTGTACTCTGATTCCTGAGTTTCCCACAATTCAGTCTTTTCACCTACATAGTTTCAAGTTAAAAATTTAGAATAATTGAAATTTTAAGCAAGATCTTCGATATTTCTCAAGATAATTTGCGAAAATATACTTAATGAAAGAAAAAAAATATACATTTTTCAGAAAACATGTAGAGATATTTTGATTCACCTCAATTAAGTTTTCCAAAGGATTATATAATGTATGCGATGGTGTTTCTGAGAACAGCAATGCAGGATTATTTCTATAGTTTTGTGCCCTCAGAATCTCAAGTTTATTGTCTGGCAAAGGAATGTTAAAGCTGTGCTTGAGGGGTACAGTTTTCACAACAGGAATCATTACATCTTTGGTATGCAACATTACGTTTGGCATAATAATTCTTTTTCTCTGTGGATCAGTAACTTTTAAATGTCTGCTTGTTATCAGAACTTGATCACCCATGATGAATACTTTTCTATGGTAAAAAATATATTATAATATAATATAAATTTAATTATATTATAATATAATATAAATAATATATTATAATATAAATAAATTATAATATAAATAAATTATAATATAAATAAATATAATATAAATTTTATATTATATTATAATATAATATAAAAAATATATTATATCAAAGTATGTTTCAAATATAATAATTGTATCTTTTAAGTATATATATATTTAATATGGGCTTCTCTCACTATACATTCTTGTTATAACCTAGATAAAAATTCAAGACATTTAAATAAGAATTAAATGCAGGATGAAAAATATTTTTTTTTTCTATAAATTATTTGTATCCTATAATTTTCAAAATATATATAATATCGATGATAACAAGGCTTATTTAAAACAAAACTTAAAATCTTTTAGTGACACATTAATATTCCTTATTTAAATCATCGTATCAATATACGTATTATGTCAAAAAAATTATTGATTACGAAGAAAGAAAAATTTTATAAATTCACGATTCAAGATTCATACGAGAAAAAAAAATCGAAGAAAATATATGGGATACATATACATATATATATATATATACAGGTTTGATATACTCACAGAAATTTAGGAATTGGCTTGGAGATAATATAGAAAAAAAAACTTGGAGATCTGCGTGGCAAGAATAATATGCGAGAAAAATTTGGAAAGTGAATAATATTTTGCCCAAAAGGAAGATTATGACATTTGATGTGCACGCATAATTGCGAGTCTCCGCAGGCGGTCCATCTTGACTGAACTATTCTAAATATAACCAATCCTGGACATGATATCACGCGATATGAAATAGACAATCACTATCATTTATGAATTATGTGTCATTAATTATGTTTCATATTTTTTTTTATATATATAACTTATAGAAAAAAAAAATATATATATATATGTATCTTTTAAATATAATTTAAAATAATTTATTATAATTTATTAAAATAATTTATTATAATTATTATTTAAAATAATTTATTATAATTATAATATAAATAATATAATTATAAAAAGATAATATCTAAATATGTACAAATTTATTATATCATTAAATTATATCATTTACAAAATTTTATATATATATATATATATAAAATATATATATATTAAATCATCATTATATATATATATATATATATATATATATATATATATATAATGATGATTTAATTAAGGAATATTAATGTGTCATAAAATATATATAAAATTTTCTAAATGATATAATTTAATGATATAATAAATTTGTAATATATATTTTAGATATTATCTTTTTATAATTATATTATTTATATTCACTTTTTATATTTAGATACATTTTTTTGTATAATAATATAAAAAATATAAAAAAAGAATAAAAAACAGACCTATAGTATCTATAAATATAAAAAGTGAATATGTATGTGTGTATATAATATATACTTGGTGAAAAAAATCTCATTTCTTATAAAATTTTAGAAATTTTTCATAATTTAGATTTATGAAGAGTTTTAAAAAAATTTATCAGATTTATTCAATATTATTTTAGAAAATTATATAGAATAAAAAATCTCAATATTTAACATTTATACATTTTTAACATATGTATAAGAAATTCTAACAAAAAATTAATTTAAGATAAAAATGTGAAATACCTTCATTCCTTTTCTGAAGATTTTTAAAAAGTCTGTGCCAATTTATACAAAAAAAATCTTAAAATTTTCTGAGAAAGTAGAAAATCTGCAATTTTTCATAAAAAATTTTTGAATATATATATATATATATATATATATATATATATATATATTATATATATAGTAAAATTATAGACTATTTTATAAAAAAATTTGCAGATTTTCTATAACAATTCTAAAAGAAATCTCAGAAAATTTTAAGATTTTTCTATATAAATTAGCACAGATATATATGCATAAATATTAAGAAAGTAGATGAATAGTCTCCTAATTTACATAGATTTTTATATAGCATATATTCATATATTTATTGTACTGGAAAAATTATTAACGCTCACATTATTATATTTATATGATAAAGTACATTATAATCGTATTTATATATACAGTATTGTTTGAACATTATAATACAATCCGTTATCACACAATCCTCCCTATTAAATTAAAGGGATTAAATCAAAATGTAGAACACAGTAACTATACACAGGGAATAATAATAATAACAATAATAATAACAAGAAATAGCAGAAAAATTACAAGCTAATATTATAGTTTTTGATATTTTTCTTCAGGTAATTTTAGCTCGGCTAATTCATGATAAATATATTCATATTAATAATATAATTTTGTAGAGGGACTTCATTTAAAACTTTATCAAGATCTAAATTTTTTTATCACAAATGTTTGCAAATATATTCGCGTTATATTTAATATAAATATATATCCTAGAATGTGTGTTTATTTTAAAAATCCTTGACTATAAAACTGTTTTATATCCTGATCCTTGCTGGAAGGGGATGAAAAAATTATGTGGTAAAGCATGCGTCAAAGTGCATGTATGTAATTAAGGTTTCGTAGAGAATTACGACCTGTGCGAAAATCTTCGTCTTTCATTCACAAGTTTTCGTTAATTTTGTCTCTTTAGAAGTTGATCAATTTGCGTTTTGTACATTTCCTTAATGTCCTCCAGGTCCAGTCGCAGTTCCTGATTCTCTTCAACCTTTTCGCCGTACATTTGTAACAGGGCGTCGTATCTGGTTTGTGTCTCTCTGAGATTTTCGTTAAGTGCCTGCGTTTCCGTGACTTTTATATTCAAATCCTCGACTTTTAAAGTTAACGTTGCCAATTCCGAATTCAACGCATCCCTTTCCGTGTTCCGTCGAGACAAGTCCCATTGAAGCTGCTGTATTTCACCTGTAATATAATGAATAAAATAACAATTGATAACATTGAATATAACAAAGATTACCCTGATGCTATTAAATATACAGGGTTAATTAAATTTAAAAACTAGAGAAGTGGTTATTTCAAAAAAGTAAAAACATTTTCTTTATAAATCGAGTGCGCTCTATCGAATGGTGATATTTTCAACTTCTGATTCCGGCCGGAAATAGACGATTCAGACCGGAAGTGCATTTTTTTAAATGGAACCCCCTATTTTTCATCGCATATTCTTGTAGCTTACCTCAAGAACTTTCCAAAACATTATAATAAATTATTTTTCCATGAAGTACTTTTCGAGTTATGAGGCTTGAAATTATTTCTTAATTTTACGTAAACCATAAAATATCTTGTAAAATATTTATTTTCCGATTATCTTATCTTAATACTTTTATGTACAAAATAATGAGAGAAATCAATTGGTGTAAAAAAAACATACAGTTGTTTTAAAGAAAAAATATGTAATTTGCAATTAACAATTCCATATTTTTTCTTAAAAACAACTGTATGTTTTCTTTATATCAATTGATTCCTCTCATTATTTTGTATATAAAAGTATTAAGGTAAGATAATCGAAAAATGATTATTTTACAAGACATTTTATGATTTATATAAAATTAAGAAATGATTTCAAGTTTCATAACTCAGAAAGTACTCAATAAAAAAATACTTTATTATAGTGTTTTGAAAAGCTCTCGGGGTAAGCTACAAGAATATGCAATGAAAAATAGGGGGCGCTCTATCGTATGGTGATATTTTCAACTTCAGTTGTTTTTAAAAAAAAACATGGAATTGTTAATTGCAAATTACATATTTTTTTCTTAAAGACAACTATGTGTTTTCTTTACACCAATTGATTCCTCTCATTATTTTGTACATAAAAGTATTAAGATAAGATAATCGAAAAATGAATATTTTACAAGATATTTTATGTAAAATTAAGAAATGATTTCAAGTCTCATAACTCGGAAAGTACTCAATGAAAAAATACTTTATTATAGTGTTTTGAAAAGCTCTTGAGTTAAGCTACAAGAATATGCAATGAAAAATAGGGGGTCCTATTTAAAAAAATGCACTTCCGGTCTCAGTCGCCTATTTCCGGCCGGAACCAGAAGTTGAAAATATCACCATTCGAGAGCGCACCTGATTTATGAAAAAAATGTTTTTACTTTTTTGAAATAACCACTTCTCTAGTTTTTAAATGGGTGGTATGTGTGGTCTGAAACACCCTGTATGTATACAATATTTACCATCCCTCTGTTTCAATTGTGCCTGCAAATTTTCAAAGATCGATGTACTGCTTGAACCCGCTCTGATGCTTTCATAGGATATTGGCGGAAATCTTCCAGAGCTATTATCAAATACTGAATCATTAAACTGAAAAAAAGAAAATTTTGTTATGTGATAGTCATCAACTCCATAGTATCGTAATAACATTTATACGTACACCTGGCCAGGCACTATTCGCACTACTAATGGACTCTTGTCCTATACTGAGAGTAGGACTGTATCGTGATTCCTCATCAGTATTTTGCTGCTGTTCCAGTAATGCGTTATTTCTTCTTCGTTCCGCATCGGTGGCTGCCTTCTCCACAGCTAATTTGTTCTCCAATGCATTTATCTCTCTCTTTAATTCTTGCACCTTTTCAGAATGAGTCAGCTCGAGAATTTTTATTGTCTCTTGATGCCTGCAATATGTGAATATGTGATAAATTTGATAACATCATCGTGTTTCAATGTCTATATATTGCAAATACCTACTGTTTATTTTGCTCGGACAATTTCTCAGATTCTTCTTTTAATTTGTCATAAGCTTCTTGCAACTTTGCCTTTTCTTTCTCTTTTAAGTTGAGCTTTGATTCTAACTGCGATTCTTTGGACTTCAAATTCACATTCTCTTCTCTCAAAAGACGATCCATTTCCATTAAATTTTCGACTTTCGATTGTAATTCAATATTTTTCTCCGACAGCATCTTCTCCTGTTTCATGAAACTATTAGATTTATGTAGTAAGCTTGCTTGAAGTTGTTCTAGTTGCCTTAACAGAGGTTTTGTTGCTATTGAGACAGATTCGGATAACTCCTCGCTCCTGGCTTCTGCAGCTTCTAATCGCTTTAGCAATTCGCTATTTTCATGTTTGAGAAACTCTTCCCTTCTACATTACAAAAAGATAAATATTGTGTATTTGAAATAAAAAAATTAGCTATATAATTTCTCTAATATACAGAGTGTCCCAAAAGTCCCGGACCGGTCGAATATTTCATAAACTATGCACTTTAGAAAGAAATGTTTAAGACAAAAGTTGTATAGTTTGAAGAGGGCCATCAGATAGTGGCAATGATTTGACATAAGAGAGTCATTTGAAAGTCACGTGAAGATCACCGTCAATTTCTTAAATGGAACTCCCTATTTTTTATTAAACATTCTAGTAACTCACGTCGAGAGCTTTCCAAAACACTATAATTAAGTTAGTTTTCATTAAGTACTTTCCGTTATGAGGCTTGAAATTATTTCTTAATTTTACATAAACCGTAAAATATCTTGTAAAATATTCATTTTTCGATTATCTTATCTTAATACTTTTATGTACGAAATAATGAGAGGAATCAATTGGTGTAAAGAAAACATACAGTTGTTTTTAAGAAAAAATATGGAATTGTTAATAGCAAATTACATATTTTTTTCTTAGGAACAACTATGTGTTTTCTTTACACCAATTGATTCCTCTCATTATTTTGTATAAAAGTATTAAGGTAAGATAATAAAAAAATGAATATTTTACAAGATATTTTACGGTTTATGTAAAATTAAGAAATTATTTCAAGCCTTATAACTCAAAAAGTACTTAATAAAAAGGTACTTAATTATAGTGTTTTGGAAAGCTCTCGAGATAAGCTACAAGAATATGCAATGAAAAATAGGGGGTTTCATTTAAGAAATTGAAGGTGACCTTTACGTCACCTTTAAATGACTCTCCAAGATCAAATCATTGCCACTATCTGATGGCCCCCTTCCCAAGCCATACAACTTTTGTCTGAAACATTTCTTTCTAAAGTGCATAGTTTATGAAATATTCGACCGGTCCGGATTTTTGGGACACCCTACATATGATATTTACTTGACATGAGCTTCCTCAGCTTGACGGTACTTCAATTTTAAATCCTCCACTTGTGCAAACAGCTGACATGATTCTCCCGCATTATTCACGGCTTCCTTCAATTCCTCTTCCACAGCTAGCAACGTTTCCTTTGTTTCTGTCAACTCTCTATTACAGAGAAATTTTTATTACATACACAGCATTTATTGTATTTATTTTGAAAAATTAATTAATACATCTACTCACACTTTTGCAGCATCCAAGCTTCTTTTATAGGCTTCCATCTTATGTACTGTATTGTCCAATTTTTCTTGTAACGTTAATATCTCCTTCTCTTGCTTCTTCGTTTTCGCCGTCAACGTATGAACGGCCTCTATTTGACTGCGTTCCACTTCCTCTTTCGCGTACAATGATCGTTTTAATCTTTCCAATTCTGTATTCTGCTCTTCTATTTGCTCTCTAAAAAAATGATGATGAATAAGAGAAAATTATGATGTATTAATTATAATTTGCTTCTTATACAGGGTGTTAGAAAAATCTGGAAACGGTCAAATATCTCCGAAAATAGTGGTCCTGTGGGAAAATGTTTCAGACAAAAGTTGTAAGATTTTAAGTGATGCATTACATAGTAATATTACTATGATCTTGAAGAGCGTTGTTAAGGTCACGTGAAGGTCATTTTAAATTTCTTAAATGGAACCCACTATTTTTAATTACATATTCTTGTAGCTTACTTCGAGAGTTTTTCAAAACATTATAATAAAGTATTTCTTCATTGAGTACTTTCCGAGTTATGAGACTTGAAATCATTTCTTAATTTTACATAAACCATAAAATATCTTATAAAATATTCATTTTTCAATTATCTTATCTTAATACTTTTATGTACAAAATAATGAGAGGTATCAATTGGTGTAAAGAAAACACACAGTTGTTTTTAAGAAAAAATATGGAATTGTTGCAAATTATATTTTCAATTCCATATTTTTTCTTAAAAACAACTGTGTGTTTTCTTTACATCAATTGATTTCTCTCATTATTTTGTATATAAAAGTATTAAGGTAAGATAATCGAAAAATGAATATTTTACAAGATATTTTATGGTTTATGTAAAATTAAGAAATGATTTCAAGTCTCATAACTCGGAAAGTACTCAATGAAAAAATACTTTATTATAGTGTTTTGAAAAGCTCTCGAGGTAAGTTACAAGAATATGCAATGAAAAATAGGGGATTCCATTTAAAAAAATGCACTTCCAGTCTGAATCGCCTATTTCCGGCTGGAATCAGAAGTTGAAAATATCACCATTCGATAGAGCGCACCTGATTTATGAAGAAAATTTTTTTACTTTTTTGAAATAACCACTTCTCTAGTTTTTAAATGGATATGGGTGATCTAAAACACCCTGTATATATGTGCATTTTTCTCTACAATTAAAATCGACAAAATAAAAATTAAGATTCAATCCAAGTACTTTTGACTCTTTATCGTTGCATCAGTCTCTTTCTCTTTCACTCGCAACTTTTTTATTATATTACTGTGTTGAAGTTGTTGTTTACTGAGTTTCTCGCCCTCTTCGCGAAGCTCTTTTATGATTTCATCCTTCTCAGCGTTTATACTAGACATTTCCTGCGACGACAAACGCGACGCTGCCTCCAACTTCAATTGGTCTAAATTTTTCCTCAATTGATCGCGCTCTCTTATAGCTTGCTGAAATTTTCTCTCCAACGCTGACAAACGCTGCGTATATTCATCTGTGATTTGATTTATGTTTTGATTCTGCTCCGCATGTTTTTCAAAATTCTCGAGTTGCCTGAAAGGAACGTAGTTATTGATAATACATGTTATTTAAATTTTTCGTTCCAAGATTCCAAGACATGATTACATGATGATCTCACTTCATTAGATTTGCATTCTGCTCGTGTAATTCCATGTTCATTCTGCTCACGTCGATTAACTTTGATTCTCTCGTTTCCAAAATCTCAGTCATCTCCTGCACACGTTTCAATAATTTTTCGATCTCCATATTCGTCTCATCCGATCCTATGCTGATCTCGCTCAACTCCCGGGAATGGCCTCTAGTCTTCAAGGTTTTTGTTAGCAAATCGCTGCCTTTAGTTAACTGTAACTTTGCGGGACTCTGTCGCGATTGAGTCGAACTTGAATCTCCGTTTGGACTATTGACACAAAAACCATTATATATTTATTAATATTATAAAAAAATTATAAACAGATAGACATTATTATACCTGGATATTATCTCAATGTCACTCGATGTTGTGGTTTCCAATTCATCTCCACTTGTATGTCCACTGGCCTGATCGGAACCGATTTTTACCAGATCGGAACGACTGTAAAAGAAGTAAATTTTTTTCTGTTTACAGAATCACTTAATTTGAATAATACATACATACAGGGTGGATCAAAAGTTTGGATACAGTCGAATATTTCATATAGAATGCATTTTAGAACAAAATGCTTTAGACAAAAGTTGTAAGGATTAAAAAGATGCATTTAACTATAATATCTATTTGATATTGAGTAGCGTCGCCAAGGTCAGGGCAAGGTTAACTTGAATTTTTTAAATGGAACCCCCTATTTTTCATTGCATATTCTTATAGCTTACTCGAGAGCTTTCCAAAACACTATAATAAATTATTTTTCCATGAAGTACTTTTCGAGTAACATACAATTGTTTTTAAGAAAAAATATGGAATTGCTAATTGCAAATTATATATTTTTTCTTAGAAACAACTATGTGTTTTCTTTACACCAATTGATTCCTCTCATTATTTTGTACATAAAAGTATTGGACAAGATAATCGAAAAATGAATATTTTACAAGATATTTTACGGTTCATGTAAAATTAAGAAATTACTTCAAGCCTCATAACTCGAAAAGTACTTAATAAAAACTAACTTAATTATAGTGTTTTGGAAAGCTCTCGAGGTAAGCTACAAGAATATGCAATGAAAAAAAGGGGGTTCCATTTAAAAAATTCAAGTTGACCTTGCCCTGACCTTGGCAACGCCACTCAATGTCAAATGGATATTACAGTTAAATACATCTTTTTAATCCTTACAAGTTTTGTCTAAAGGATTTTGTTGCAAAATGCATTCAATACGAGATATTCGACTTTTGGTATCCAGACTTTTGGTCCACCCTGTATATATGTGAATCGAGGAATGTACCTTTCTGACGATATAGGTGAATTTTCCCGCGGTACTTCCGTGCAATGAGCCTCCATATCAATTATTTCACCCTTTTCGACCATGGCATCAGCCAGCATAGTTTTCACGTAAGAACTAGCGGTTAAAGGCGTTTCTAAGATTTTGGGACTATTATTTGTGCAAATCAACGTCGCGTTATCTTCCAAACTGCTCTCTAGCAAGGTTCCTTCTCCGCTCGAATCGGTAGATACTAAATATTGATCGGTGTTACTCTCGATCATCTTTGTATCCTCCACGTTTTCATCAGTTTGAGTATAGTTGTCCGGATCTGGCGGTTCTATAGTAGTTCCCATCAATTGGGAAAAGGTGGAAACGCTCGGTTTTTCGTTCACTCCTTCCAATTGATGGTCCAACTTGCGAATTGGCTGTGTGGTAATTGGCTCGAGTGCTAGATGCAAATTGTGCTTCTCCTTCAATGAGTCAAGACTCAAGTTCAATTTATTCTCGATGCAAGCTTTCGTCAACGTTTGCCTATCATCCGGGCACGAATCGTGCATCCTTGTGGATCCTACATTTACACTCATATCGGCCAATTCCACTTTATTTTGTTGCAATGGCTCGAGTACCGTCATGATCGTACCCTCGGAAGCTGAAGTGTAAGAGTCTTCGGCCAAGCTCACCTCGTCCAGCTCGTCCGCGTCCGGTATCACCTCGACGCTTTCCGGGGAAGTTTTCGAGCTATCCATCATCATTTGCGACGAGTGCTTGCTCGTGTCCAAGCTGGGAAACACATTGGGCGACGGTGTGCTATCGACGCTGCAAGGATACGAATTGGTATTCAACGTTTTCACCTCTTCCATGGGAGATTCGTAGGGAGAGATGTCGGACGAGGACGCTTCGAATTGATCTCTTGGCGGTTGTAATAACAAATCCGTGCAATCTACGCATGGAGTGGCACATTCGTCTACATCTAAAACAGGAGAGGATTCGGAATTCTTTGGATCTATCGGAGATAGATAGGGACTGCTGTCGCTCTTCCAATCTCCCAAAACTTCCACGGAACTCGGGGACGTTACCAGACTGTCCGGCAAAATCTCAACCGATTCGGAATTTACCTTGATCCCAATGAGGGAGGGACTTAGGGAATTGGTAACAGAATTGAGGTCTGACTCTGGCGTGGTTGTACAATCAGTGTTGGATTGAGAACCAAGTATCTCCACGCTTTCCAAGCTCTTCTTATCACTCTCGGAGGAGACTGGATTGGCTACCATACGAGACACGTTGGTGAGACTCGATGTTTGATTAGTATCACTGCTTCCTAGTGTCTCATTATGATGCTCTCCTTCTTCAGTGCTGCTTGTTGCAGAATCATTATCAATATCCGTTACATGGTACACTTGTTCCAAATCTAAACTGGCACTTTTAATTATATTCTTTTTGGTAGGAGCAATATCGTCTAGGGACAATTGTTCCGATGATGTGTAAGATTCCGATGCACTTTTATCATTAAATTCTTGAGATATGTTACGATTTATATTTACAGATTCACTGGCAACACTAGACTCTTCTTCATTTTCAATATATACAGATTCATCCTTTGTTATCGTAGGCTTTATATCTTTTGTCACCAATTTTTCAGGAACAGAAGTAGAGGACACCATCTCGCATTGTTGCTCATCTTGTCTGGCAGTACTTTGCAAGGACTTGGAATGCTTAACAATCTTCTTTGCATTGTCTACAGTTCTTGGAGGCTCAAAAAACGAACCAGTAAAGCTACCCCAGATACTGCTTGAATTTTGTTGTTTTTGTGAACTATCATCACGTCTGCTTTCTTCATTTTGCAATCCCCAGGCTGCAAAAAACTCCGAAGTTTCGTCCGTGTGCGATTGAATAACCTTTGGTTCCTCCTCCTTAATATCCAAGGCCTTATCTATGGTTTTCTGAGCTCCCTTTAGAGCAGATTTTGCCAAATTGGCGAATCCTGTAGCATCAAACCAACTCATGTTCTATACCTAAGATAAAGAAAACAATACATAAATTTCTGGCTCCATTCTTCTAGTTGTATATACATATTTTTAATAAAAATGAATCTTTAGAGTACTTGTAAATATTGCTTACATCAACTTTCTGCAATATTAATAAATTAATTCAACAAAAATTCTTGAGGAAGGATCAAAAGATGATCCGAAACGTTCGCTTTTTGTTATTGTAATGAGTTTGTAATAAATTAATATTGAAAAAAGAAAGAAGTGTTGTTGCTTCTCTGCGCTTCAACTACCATGTTGGTTCTTATGCCATTTTCTTTTTAATTTTTTAAAAAATTCTTGTGCATTATTTAAATATATATTAATTATTAAATATATATTATTATAAATATTATTATTATTTATTATTTAAATATATATTATTATAAATTATTTAAATAGATACTTGACATAGATGACTTGAACGATATAAAATTAATATCACAAGATATGTACGTAGCATGTAATATTTTCATAATCATCCACAAGTTCTCAGAAACGTTTAGGGATCTATTAAAAATTCTTGTGTATTATTTAAATATATATTATTAAATATATATTATTATAAATATTATTATTTGTTATTTAAATATATATTATTATAAATTATTTAAATAGATATTTGACATAGATAACTTGAACGATATAAAATTAATATCACAAGATATTTACGTAGCATGTAATATTTTCATAATCATCCACAAGCTCTCAGAAACGTTTAGGGATCTATTACGAGACGTTCATAATCGTCCACAAGTTCTCAGAACCGTTTAGGGATCTATTAAAAATTCTTGTGTATTATTTAAATATATATTATTAAATATATATTATTATAAATATTATTATTTATTATTTAAATATATATTATTATAAATTATTTAAATAGATACTTGACATAGATGACTTGAACGATATAAAATTAATATCACAAGATATGTACGTAGCATGTAATATTTTCATAATCATCCACAAGCTCCCAGAAACATTTAGGAATCTATCACGATTGCACTTTATGTGACACTCCCTCATACGTTCGTATTTATCGAGATGAACATACATGACATCCTCCAAAGTAACGATCGTGACAGCGAGACACGCTCGCGTTTTTTTTTCTCCTTTACTGATCGCAGCTGACCTGCGTGCGATTAACTGTCAAAATGCACTTGGTAGCAGCCGACATATTCGTGACGACAAGTCGTGCGTGCGTGGTTATTGCAGTGTTGTCAACCTAAGCTCTGTATTTTTATTCCTGAACTTTCTGCACCGAAAATGAGATAGAGCTATACTTGGAGGTCGGAGAAAAAGAGAGGAGAAACAAAAAGTGCAGTTCGCGAAAAAAACAAACAAACGTCTATTACATATTTATGGCTCTCGCACGCAGCGTGGCAACGGTAGCCAATCAATTTGACGCTTTTCCACAAGAGCGAAGAATCGATTGGCTACTGCGTTATCTTTTTTCGTACGTTGTTTATTTGGTTTCAATTTTACAAATTTCTCGATTGAGAGCTCCCTACAGAATTTTTACGATCCAACGATTCTGCAAAAAATTTATTCTACGCTATAATAATATAAATATAAATTAATGTTATTAATATTATTCATATTATTAATATTATTAATATTATCAATTATTAATATTAATAAAATTAATATAAATTTCTCGAATGTCAAAATTGCATTCAGATCAGCTGTTCGCTTTCCTCGCCCGTCTTTTTGCTCCTGATATTTAATTTACAGATATTTTTTTATCTCATTTATTTAATATTGCATCATTTATACTTTGTATTTCTTTTTTTTTCTTGAGGCAGAATTTATATTTAATTTTAACAAGGAAAGTATCAAGCATAAATTACAAACAAACCTCTAATTACATATTTATGGCTTTCGCACGCAGCGTGGCAACGGTAGCCAATCAATTTGACGCTTTTCCACAAGAGCGAAGAATCGATTGGCTGCTACGTTATCTTTTTTTGTACGTTGTTTATCTTGGTTTCAATTTTACAAATTTCTCGATTGAGAGCTCCCTGCAGAATTTTTACGATCCAACGATTCTGCAAAAAATTTATTCCACGCTATAATAATATAAATATAAATTAATGTTATTAATATTATTCATATTATTCATATTATTCATATTATCAATTATTAATATTAATAAAATTAATATAAATTTCTCGAATGTCAAAATTGCATTCAGATCAGCTGTTTGCTTTCCTCGCCCATCTTTTTGCTCCTGATATTTAATTTACAGATATTTTTTGATCTCATTTATTTAATATTGCATCATTTATACTCTGAATTTCTTTTTTTCTTTAAGTAGAATTTATATTTAATTATTTAATATTGATATTTATATTATTATTTAATTCAATTTTAACAAGGGAAGAATCAAGCATAAATTATTAAAAAAAGCAGCTTATTTATTTTTTTATAGCTAATTGCAAATTGATAAATTATTTGTTTATGCGCCGAAGATATTGAAATAGATAAATAAATGAGTATCGAAATATGTTGGATGCATACTGGAAATAAAATGTGTAGATCTTGTCTTTTTGTCTCAGCTTGACTTTAACAAAAATTATGTTCGGGTCAACCTGTCTTACTAGATCGGCCATTTACAAGTCAGAAAAGCGAAATGTTTCTGATATTATCGATACTACGACTGAAGAGGCCCGTTTGAGTGGCCTTATTCTCAACAGCTCCAGTGGCGCAATTGGTTAGCGCACGGTACTTATAAGACAGTGTTCGTGAGCAATGCCGGGGTTGTGAGTTCGAGCCTCACCTGGAGCATTTTTTTTATCATTTCTACCGATGTCCCGACGCATAATAATATGTGAATCGATTGTTTTGTAATTTCTCGCATTTTTTAACGCATACGATATCAATTATTATTATTAAATGTATAATAAAATATACCCAGCAAACACCAAATAATAGTTATATAACTGTTGGTTATAATTTCCCACTCAACAATATAACTGTTACATAACAGTTACATAACATCTAACAGTTATATTGTTAAGTGAGAAATTACAACTAACAATTATGTAAATGTTATTTGGTATTTGCGGGGGGGTTAAAAAAATAGCGCTTACATTTTATTAATTTATTAATTTATATATTTTATATATTTTATTAATTTATATATTTTATATATTTTATTAATTTATATATATTAATTTATATATTTTATTAATTTATTAATTTATATAAAATATTTTCTTAATAGAGGAAAAAATTAACGGCGCAAAAAGAAACATAACGCCGGTGATGTCAGACTAAAATCTGGAAATGGATGAACCGTGTGATCGTATGCAAGTCACAGAAGGAGAAAGAGAGAGAAAGAGAGAGAGGCACTTTGACCCAAATTGACCGAGATACGTATAATGGGGAGAGAGAGGACGACATATCTCGCCGTTATCGTTATTAATGGCAGCCGCGTTAAAATCGAGGATGCGAACGATGTTTTATGCTAAGTACTCGATCGTCAAGCAAATCACGAAACCTATTAAATGGACCGACCACCGATGTTCGCGTTGATGCTTGTTCATCGGTCGGTGAGGAACAATGACCACATCGGGGTCCGGTTTCGTAAAGGTGTGTTAAGCTTTAAAAGCCCACCCGCAATTTCATCAGTCGTCAGTTGCATTCCGCTATTCAAATTGAAAATGTCTCGACCGTGTTATGATTCTCGGTACAAAATGTATTCGACGCAGGTGACTATCTTGAAATTTCCTTCAACTATAATTTTTTATAATTTTTACAATTTATAACATTTTTATATTCTTTTATCATTTTTTTATATTACATTTTTTATAATTTTTTTATAATATATTTTTTATAATATTTATATCTAATTTTCACTCCTAGTATATTGAAAAAAAAATTGGTTTGTCTAGCACTAAGTTGAAAAATTTAAATTGTATCAATTGCAAGAAATAAAATTTTAATTATTTTATACTCATGTATTCGTGTTGTGATGTGTAATACACAAATTAAATAATTTATTAAATTAAACGCGATTCAAGTATTTTGATTCGAGGTGATGCTTGTAGATATATCGATGGCTCTTCTTCGTCAGCGCGATGTCCTCGGGGAATTTTGCAGAGGGATTAGAATCTCGGGACGCGGTCTTTGTAAATTTCCATCGTAGATACAACATGTCTAAGGTAGCGTTACTTCAGAACGACGGCTATTTACCTCCAGCTCCGATTCCGGATTTCTCCTTGCCGGAAGTGATCGATAATAGAAATGTGGTAGGAACAAACGAGATTAGAAACTATTCCAATGCACTGTATCATCTCCCTGACCGGGATTCCTTGCGAGCCCTCACGCGCAAGGGTTTGCAAGACACGAGGTATCTAGGGAGCGCCGGGTTACAGGCACCCCAACATCATCGTCGACCCACTTTTCCGCAAGGCAAACACTCTCGACAGACTACAACCCAGTCTCCTCATCCTCCTCCTTCTCATCCTGCTCTCGAAACACCGACAAATCACATCAACGTGGAAGAGATGTCTTGTCAGAACGCGGGAGAATTGTTCTTCAGGTAATCTGGGACACTTTATTACGACCCGACTCTCAGCATTGGGTTCCTTTTCTCACACATTTTTTACATATAATTTTACAATAGAACAAAACAAGAGAGATTAAACCTAACTAATAGATTAGAATAATTGATTATTAAACTTGAACAAGCTTATCGAGTTATTCGAGTTAGATTTGGGTTATTTTTTACATGTGTATCACACGGTTGGGACTATCACAGAGCATCCATCAAAGCACCGAGAAACTTGGCTCCGCCGGTGATAGATAACGTGATGCGTGAAACCTGTCAAGTGGCAGCAGCCAGGGATTCTTATCGCATTAATTTCGAGAGGGATCAGGTCTGGAATTGCGGGGTCGTTGATTGTTCCGTGGACGGCAACCGATCGTACTGTCTCGAGCTGAGATTCCCAGTGATTTCCGGTCTGCGTTTGAGGGACGACTACAGGGTGACTTTGCGATGTAAAACGCAGGACAGAATCGCGTATCATACGAAGCGGATCAGCGTGAAACCTTTGGAAGTGTAAGAAATACGTCGTTTATCTTCCGGTGGAAGGCGGCAAAAATGAGAGTTTTCATCTGATGGGAAATGCTGAGTTATATTCAGATATACATCCCAACAAACACCATATATAACCATTAACAGTTATAACTGTTAGTTATAATTTCCTACTCAACGATAGAATTTTTACATGTTATGTAACAGTTATATTGTTGAGTGAGAAATTACAACTAACAATTATATAAATGTGACTTGGTGTTTGCTGGGATATATACAGGGTGGTTTAAAAGTCTGGAAACGGTCAATTATTTCCGAAAATAGTGATCCTGTGGAAAAGTGTTTCAGACAAAAGTTGTAGGGTTTTAAATGACGCATTATAAAGTAATATGACTTTGAGGAGTGTTGTTATGGTCACGTCAAGATCACCTTCAATTTCTTAAACAGAACCCCCTATTTTTTATTACATATTCTTGTAGTTTATCTCGAAAGCTTTCCGAAACACTATAATTAAGTTAGTTTTCATTAAGTACTTTCTGAATTATGAGGCTTGAAATCATTTCTTAATTTTACATAAACCGTAAAATATCTTGTAAAATATTCATTTTTCGATTATCTTACCTTAATACTTTTATGTACAAAATAATGAGAAGAATCAATTGGTGTAAAGAAACACATAGTTGTTTCGAAGAAAAAAATATGTAATATACAATTAACAATTACATATTTTTTCTTAAAAATAACTATGTGTTTTCTTCACATCAATGATTGATTCTTCTCATTATTTTGTACATAAAAGTATTAAGGTAAGATAATCAAAAAATGAATATTTTATGGTTTATGTAAAATTAAGAAATGATTTCAAGTAGTCTCATAACACGGAAAGTACTCAATGAAAAAATACTTTATTATAAAAGCGAGAGTTTTGAAAAGCTCTCGAGGTAAGCTACAAGAATATGTAATTAAAAATAGAAGGTTCCATTTAAGAAATTTAAAATAACCTTCACGTGACCTTAACAACACTTTTCAAGGTAATAGTAATATTACTGTGTAATGCGTCACTTAAAATCTTACAACTTTTGTCTGAAACATTTTCCCACAGAACCATTATTTTCAGAGATAACTGACAGTTTCCAGACTTTTAAACCACCCTGTATATGTTGCTTTCAGGAAAGCGAGAAACGTTCCGAGCATGTTAAACGGCGGTTCCAAGAACGCTCTGGATGTGGATGTTGGACTGTTTAGGAAGACTTACAACTCGGAAAACATTTTCGACACAAGGATACAATCAGGCGGTACTGTCATCCTCGGCGAAGAGATTTTGCTGCGCGTGTTAGTCAACGGTGACGACGGTAAGCGCATTAGAGCGCTGAGTAGCACAGTGATAGGATCGTACACATTTTTATTCCTTTAGTAAGACGAATGGTGTTTCTGAAACTCCGACAGGGATATTTGTATAATTTGCAGTCTCCTAAATCGATAAGTTTAGCCGAAGAAAAACACGTAACAAAGATATTAGATATTAGTTAATTTAGTATAATTTTATTAAATTATATGTATAATATATATATAGGGTGTTTTTCGTTTTAATGGCCTCAAGCAAATATCTCGAAAATATGAAAAATATGGAAAAACATACGTTTCAGACAAAAGTTGTTTGGTTCGAAGGGGAATATAAAATGATGTCATTGGTTTGATCTTGAGTGAATGTGTGAAGGTTATATGGAGTTCAACTTTGTTTTTTTAAATGCAATCCCTTATTTTTTATTCCATATTCTTGTAGCTTACCTCGAGAGCTTCTCAAAACACTATAATAAAGTATTTTTTTATTAAGTACTTTTCGAGTTATGAGAAAGAATTAAAATAATATTTCTTAATTTTATATAAACTACAAAATATCTCGTAAAATATTTATTTTTCGATGATCTTAACTCAATATTTCTATGCACAAAATAATGAGAGGAAGCAATTGATGTAAAAACCATATTATTGTTTAGAAAAAAATGTAATTTGCAATTAACAGTTGCATATTTTTTCTTGAAAACAACTATGTGTTTTCTTGATATCAATTAATTCCTCTCATTATTTTGTGCATAAAAGTATTGAGGTAAGATAATCGAAAAATGAATATTTTACGAAATATTTTATAGTTTCTATAAAATTAAGAAATCAATTAAGCTTCACAACTCGAAAAGTACTTCATGAAAAAATACTTTGTTATAGTGTTTTGAAAAGCTCTCGAAATAAGCTACAAAAATATGCAATGAAAATAGAGGATTCTATTTAAAAAAAATAAAGTTGAACTCCATATAATCTTGGCACGTTCACTCAAGATCAGACCAATGACATCATCTTATGTCTTTCTTTGAACCAAACAACTTTTGTCTGAAACATTTTTCCGTATCTTTCATGTTTTTCGAGATATTTGCCTGAGGCGATTAAAATGAAACACCCTGTAATAATTAATACAAAATACCTTAATTATACGATTTCAATTTTTACTTTTATCCAAGGCTGGCGATACTCCAAGATTGGTCAAGTGACGATGCACTATGTGGAAGGCAGACAGCAACAGAAGGTTGTCAACAGCCTGTGGATCCTGAACGAGGAGGGTTGCTTAAATTCAGATGTACGCGAAATCTGTCCTCGGGAACAGTATATGGCCTCGTCATTGGAGAGCTACCTAATCTTCCAGGCATTTATGTTCGAGGGGATGAAGGAGACCGACGAAATTTCTCTCACCGTGAAGGCGATGGCGTGTCTGGAGCCTGCGGATTGCGTCCTGGATTGTCCTGCCGGCCACGTTAGACGCGCCAGGAATGTTCCAGATGGAAACAATACCGCCGAATGGCAGGATGACATAATCCTGCGAGTGCTTCTTCCAAAATACGAATCACGCGTCTCGCAAAATTATTATTTAGCGACCCTGTTGTTGGCGGTGACGTTACTCGCGCTAATCGCATTATTGCGGATCATTAAGACTTCGCTTCGCCAAAGGATAAAATCCTGAATAATGTTTAATAAACATAAAACGAAAAATGTCATGTATATTGATGATTGCTAATATATCATATAATAATTTTTCATTTATTTTAATATTATATTTTTATTTATGACTGTCGCAATTTTATAGGAAGTTTCAATAATAATTATACAACGCTGATATTGATATTTGATCTCATGAGACGCGATTTGGCATCTCCCACGCATCCAGCTCGGAGCACAGCTTTAATCCAACCGCAAACAATGCGAGAGACGCGAATACGCTTCTCATGAACGGATCCCTGCTCAGAGTGTACACCATGCAAGCCAGAGAGCACGTGCATACGTCTTCGAAATAGTTGAAGCCCTTTGTCAGATAATAATAATCTACGACCCGCTGCCGTTCCTTCAATTTGCGCATGAAGCGTTCTGTAATACGAAGGAATTTCCATTTATAAAATGCAAAATGATAAATGTATAAAAAAACGATACGTATAGATTTCCTTAAGAAGAAGAAAAAAAAGAAGAAAAAGAAGAATTAATTTTAAAAAACCAGAAATTGAAAATATCACCATCCGATAGAGCGACATGCGCTCTATCGAATGGTGATATTTTCAACTTCTGGTTCCGGCCAGAAATAGGCGATTAAAATCGGAAGTGCATTTTTTTAAATGGAACCCCCTATTTTTCATATTTTTGCATATTCTTGTAGCTTACCTCGAGAGCTTCCCAAAACACTATAATAAAATATTTTTCCAGTACTTTTTGAAGTACTTTTCGAGTTATGAGGCTTGAAATCATTTCTTAATTTTACATAAACCATAAAATGTCTTGTAAAATAATCATTTTTCAATTATCTTATCTCAATACTTTTATATACAAAATAATGAGAAGAATCAATTGATATAAAGAAAACATACAGTTGTTTTTAAGAAAAAATATGGAATTGTTAATTGCAAATTACATATTTTTTCTTAACACCCTGTATAAAGTTTTTTTTTCCTGAAAATAAGCTAACTCGCCTTTCTGCTTCTTTACCAAAGGGCACGTCTCATCGCAAACATCTGCAGTTACAGGTTTGCGCGAGACGATTCGCTTCACTTTGGTAGGTACTTCTTCTTCTTCAGCTCGTCGTTCTTCAGGCTCTATATCGCGATCGATTTTCTCATACACCGCATTCCTGGGAATTTCTGGACGCATCTCCCTCGGCTCCTTCGGAATTTCCCTCGCTATTATGGCGGGCAGAAACTCCTGCAATTCCTCGTCGATAAATTTTTCATAGTCAGTAAGGCCTTCCTCGTCTTCGTCATATTCTACAGGCTTTTCTGGTTCAACTGGAATTATTATTTGAAATTAGCGTCAAGCGAATTTCTTTAAGAAAATTTATTACTCTTAATTACAATACTCTTCTAATTCTCGCGGCAATTCCAGCTCGATCTTTGCGGTGCGCTCGATTTCATCTTCATCGAGGATTTCAGGTTTTTCAACCGGTATTTCTTCCGCTACAGTTGTTTCAATCACTAATTCCTCTTCTTTAATTAAATCGATTTTTTCTTCATCACGATCTTCATCATAATCCCTTTCAACCGGGATGACAGCTCGTTCCTGAAGGATCGCAGCTTCCTGGACGATCTCTTCTTCTTTAACCAAATCGAGTTTTTCATCATCATGATCCGCTATCCTTTCTGTCGGGATTACTGGTTCCTGGACAATCGGCAGTTCTTTTTCTTCAACTAAATCGATCTTCTCATCATCACGATCTGTTATCCTTTCGGTTGGAATGACAGCTGGTTCCTGGACAATCGGGAATTCCTCTTCAATTAAATCGATTTCCTCTTCATCACGATCTGCTATCCTTTCGGTTGGAATGACAGCTGGTTCCTGGACAATCGGGAATTCCTCTTCAATTAAATCGATTTCCTCTTCATCACGATCTGCTATCCTTTCTGTTGGAATGACAGCTGGTTCCTGGACAATTTTTATTTCCTCGACTTCTTCTTGGATAGGTTTTACTTCGACGATATCTTCTATCGCTTTAAATGGTATCTCTTCAATTTTTTCATCATAATCGGTTGGCCTTTCATAGACTACGTCGATCACATCTTCTTGTACTTCTTGGGTAACATCCGGTCGTGGATATACAGGCGGAAAAATTTCATCCAACAGCCAAGGATCTTTCTCGACTATTTTATAGAGATAAGAATTAAAATTCTTTTTTTTTTTCAAAAAAAAAAATTGTTGATAACGCGTTTTAAACAACCAAGGGGCTTTCTTGATTATTTTATTTTGTAAAAATAAGAATTGAAATTTTGTTTCCAAAAAAAACTTGTTAATAACGCGTTTAAAAATATTTTATAAAATGATGTACTTGCTGCACGAATGTATTTCTTCACTGTAGGACAAGTTGGAGGACACTCATTTCTTACAGATTCACTGGACATTTAGAAATTATATATAATGCCCTGTTTCTGTACCGTATTACATATTTATATATGAAATAAATTTTATGATGCGATGAAATTAAAGAAATGTGATGTACATATTCTCAATTTTCTATTCTTCAACATCATCTATTCGCTTCTCTTATCTATTATAAAGTTGACAAGCAATTTTGACATTCAAGATAATTGATTTATAATTGATTTGTCCCTATATTCATTTCATAGATTCCTAAAGTTTTCGACAAGCAAACGAAACGATGACTTCATCCTTGGAAAGCGTTCCAGATTACTTACAAAAATATATATTCCCCATTTTATTAAGTGCAATGGAAGAGATGTTAGTTGAAGCAGATCGTCGAAATGCTTTAGACGTATGAAATTATTTTTAGATAATTGTACTATTTAGATACTTTTTCAAAATATACCATGCTTTACAGACACATAAATGTTCCTTCAATGGATTGGATTATCTCGCAGAGATCCTTTGGAATCGAAATTCGCGTCATCCAAGTAGATTGTGTACATGGCTAAAAGTGTTTGACATACCGCAATTTAAACTATGGCTAAAATCACAGTAAGAGAAGAAAATATCCTTCCCTTTCTTAATATGAATTTTCTTGAAATTATTTTTTAATTATTTTTTAATTATTTTTCTTGAAATTATTTTTTAATTATTTTCTAGTCCTAGGCCAATTTATCCAAAATCATGGCTGTGGAGTAAAGAAGAAGCTGCTTTATATATACAAAGATATGTTCGTGGTTGGCTCGTTAGAAAAAGAGCAGACGTTGAGGAGATGCGCCAATTTTGGAAGGTATCCTTATGATTGAAAGGAAAGACATAAAATATATATAATGACTTTCATAAATTGTAGGTCATGCGTACAGAGAAAATGGACAATTCTCCTTCCAAACTTGATTATACTTGATTATACTTTTAATAAAGCAGAGCTTTAACAGTGTTGGATTGTTCATTATATATATATATATATTTTTTTTTTTATCGCTTCAAATAATTTATTGTATAACTTTTCAGAATTTATTCGTCAGATACTTATTCTTTTAATTCTATAAAATATATACTCTCACTTAGATGTAGTCTCTTCTAACTTTGGAAAAAAAACACTAGACTCGTCTACGCTAAAATTCAGTTTCACCGTAGGACTTTCACCCTCCTCGGCTAATCTGTAACTCTTAATGCTTGCCCCCTCAAAGTTATATTTAAGAGTCAATTTTGGCTCCTCGGACACTTTATCTCCTCTCGCCTTCATCTGACGTGCTATGATTTGCGAAAGCAACGGTGGCAGATCTGTCGTTCTAGGCAAGATTTTCTCCTCTGGCGACTTGTTGTTCTCGAGATACAAATGCTCCTGATCCTTGGGTACCAACATATAATCAGCCTTGTAAGTCGCAGAGTCCATCTGAACAGGTTTTGGGCTTTTCAAACCGCGGAAAACTCTCTCGACAAGTACTATGACTTTACGGTCGGTCTAAAATAAATCATGTCAGAATATGTTGCGATATAAGCAGTATCATTGACATTATTTTTGATTAATACTCACATGAGGCTTGTCGGGCGGGGGCATCGCTGCGACTTTCAGTATCTTCATGTAACAGGGCTCGGGATACCTTTGGAAGCGATTCCTTATCACGAGCCTCCCGACACCGAAGTCCTTCAAATTTCCCAGAATCTCCCATAAGGGTTTCCCCTTAAAATCTGTCGTGCGACCGATGAATTTTATGGGCATCGTAACCGGTGAAATTGGCGTTAATTTGCAAGAAATCGTCGACCGGATTTTTCTCTGCTCGATTGACTTGACATATGAAGTCACTTCGTCTTGTCAACGATAGCTTCTATTATTCGTGAGACACGATATCAGGAGTAAAGTCTATTTCATCGAAAATCACGTCTATTGGAAATAGTAATAAATAATACGACGAGAGAGGTTGGATTAATGTATCTTTTCTTAATTCGAAGAGCGACCGCAAGATGGCGCTAATAATCGCAAATGTATCTTCGGACATCCCCGGATAGGCTCGGCCATGTTCGGCGATTCAAACTTATAAGGAAAGGCAGTGTCTCTTTTATAGGTCAAAAAAATAATCCTGAAGAAAGTTATTTGCAGAATTTCTCGTAAAAGTTTCCAGATTTTCTATAAATAATTCTAAAACTTTCTCGGAAATTAATTTTAAGATTTTCTATACGAATTGACACACTTTTCAAAAATCTTCAGAGGAGGAATGATTTCAGAGAAAGATTTTTGAAAAGTCAATTCGTATAGAAAATCTTAAAATTTCCGAGAAAGTTTTAGAATTATTTATAGAAAATCTGAAAACTTTTACGAGAAATTCTACAAATAATTTTCTTCAGATTTATTTTGACTTAAAAAGAAACACTTGCATACCTTCCCTTATTTCATATTTTTATTTTCGTAAATGAATTTTGTTAGAATTTCTTATGTATATAAATATTAAATATTCTGAGATTTTTTATTTTATAATTTTTTTAAATAATATTAAAAAATTTGAATAAAATTTATATATTTTTTTAAAGGATGTTTTGTACCTATTTTCAAAATATTGAGAATTTAATGAAAATTGTATAGAATGTCCACATATGTTTAGAATCTTCAGTACAATTTTTAAATCGATTCAATAAAGCGTTCACAAGTTATAAGGATTTTAATTTGCACCGAATTAACATGTGTTCTTATGGGAAACGTATTAACCACGTCGATTCAAATGACAAAAACACATGGAAATAATATTCAGAATTTGTTTAAAATTTGCAAAAGTTTAGATACAGAGGAAATATTTGGTCAAATAATATTATACAAGTACTAACTGGTTAAAAAGATATTAAATATAATTCAATGAAGTTAGCCATGTATCTGTCACAAGGCGAAATTCTCTGCCAAAAGTTAATCATTTCGATTAACAAAATTCGGAATATTTTAATAAAAACGCAATAAATATTAAAAAATACATCTCTGCACTGTAGCTAATTGTAAGATCAAATTGTAATATTCCACATACAATTTCTTACTCAAAATACACCAAAAGTGGATATTCGTCAATATTGATTTTCAGCTACTTTTCGCTGGGATGATACATACAAAACATCCTTAAATTTTCTTCATAAATTTTTTAAAAAATTATTTTAATCATTAATAACATAATAATTTTTAATTATTTAAAATTTTTTTTTTATTTATAAGATTTTGTAGAAAGAGAATGAGGGAACAGAGAAAAGATATGTATTTTTTTATATGGTTATTAAGGGGATGAAATCATATAAAAAATACGTATCCCTTTCTTGAAAAATATCAGTTTTTATATTTTTGAATGAATATTATCGAATCGAAAAAAGAGACGAAAAAAAGTTTCAAATAAAAATTCTATTATTCTGATTTTTAACGTATTTTTTAATAATGCAATCAGATTTTTCGAAAATGTCATATTTTTCGAAATTCTCCTGCCCATCCCCAATTTTCTTGAAAAATTTGATTGCACTTGTTGCACCGCGAAGTAGCGAAAATTGAATGTTTCACGGAGAAAAATGATTATTTATCTTACACTTCTCTTAAAATTCTCTTATGATTAATTATTTTTGCGGCAATTATTAATTGCAGGAAAATTCTATAGATACTCCTCGACAGAGATCAAAGTTACACACCGAGAGACAAAAGAGGGGAAGTATACACATGTGTATTGTATGATAATTATTTATATTATAATTTATTTATATTATATTATAAATTGAGATAAATATATAAGCTTGCAAAGAAAATGCATTACTCAACGATCCGAACACTCGAATCATATTTCGCGAATTATATGCGTGTATTAGTGTTAATGGGCGCAGAAATATAATTTGACACACGCGATCTAGATTTCTCTTATTCATTATGTACAATAAGTTAGATATTTAAATAAAAGAAAATGCTTAATCTAAACGAATAGAAACATAAGTTATTTAAATTATATATATATATATATATATATATATATCTCTTTTTTAAAATGGCGATTCCTAACAAAATTTGCTCGCACAAAAAGAAAATTTCCAGCAAACATCAAATAACAGTTATATAACTGTTAGCTATAATTTATTAATTTATTAATTACATAACATGTAACAATTATATGGGAACACTTGAATGGGAAATTACAACTAACACAATTATATAAATTATAAATGTTACTTGCTGTTTGCTGGGTTCACATTTCAAAATATAAATATAATATAAGTATATAAATATATCTCTCTCTTGTGTCTTTCTCTACGATCGTAATTGAAATGTCCCGAGTTGTCGAAATCACTGACAGAATTTTACGCATCGGGACGACAAAAGACTGCTCGATCTCGCGAAACTTGATGAGAGAATCCGTCAAATTTTTTTTTTTACGCGATCGAAATTTTTTTTTTACTCATCGATCAATTTTTCTCCCCTAGTAGTCGACGATCTGACGGATCCAGTCGAGATAATGGGAGACGCGCGTGTAAACTCCGGGGACGCCGGCCTCACCGCAGCCGATGCCCCAGGAAACCACCCCGGTCAGTTGCCATCGACCGTGATGCTCGCAGACCATTGGGCCACCACCGTCGCCCTTGCAAGCGTCCTTGCCCTCCTCGCCACCGGCGCAGACGAAGCCAGGATGCAGGTTGAAGCTGGGCCCGAGCCGCGTCCGTCTCATCTGCTGCTCGCAGACGCGATTGTTCACCACAGGTACATCCACCTCCTTCAGTATATTCTGATACTTGCCGTAGTCGCCGAAGGCGTCCTTGCCCCAGCCGGTGGTCCAACATCTGTCACGCATCGTAATTTGTTGTTAGATTTCAATGGAGACGTGCTTACGTCTTTTTATAAACATATTTGGCCTGAATTCACAGTTATTTTATTTTTAACAGAGGATTTTTAGATGGATTAATTGTGCACAATCTTTTTATCACTCTTTTTAATTAATTTTATTGATGTGTGCTACTAATAATATTATTTTAGTAGTAATTAAATGAATCGTCATATGACTTATATTATAAGTTAAAAAATTAATGAGAAAATTATTATGAAAATTAATACATGATTAGTTTAATAATATTTATCACACGCTTTAATATTTTAAAATTTATCAAATTTAATTTATAGGAATTCTTAATAGTATGTATAATAATATACTTAATTTTAAAATATAAAGTATTTTAAATTTATCAATGAAAGTACTTTGAGAATACAAATTTTGCGATTATTTTTTAATCTCTAAATGCTAGACTCTTACAAAATTCTTTTTCATATCGTGATAAATTATTTTTCTAACAAATTTAAGTTAAAAGATTTGAATTTATCAATTCTGAATTTTTAATTCGCGCACTGAGAAAAACTCTGATTGCATTAATTAGAATTCTGGTAAATTGAACCAATATGTCTGTTGGAAAATGGACGAACCAGAATTTTTGTAGGAATTACCAGATGAATCTGATTAATCTCTTTCTGTTAAATTTACCAAATTTTTTGATTATAATTATAATTAATATATGATTCGTTTAATAATATTTATCACATGCTTTATGATACGAATATGATGACTAATATTTGAAAATTTATCGAATTTAATTTATAGGAATTCTTAATAGTATGTGTAATAAGTAATAATATACTTAATTTTAAAATATAAAGTATTTTAAATTTATCAATGAAAGTATTTTTGAGAATATAAATTTTGCGATTATTTTTTAATCTCTAAATGCTAGTCTCTTACAAAATTTTTTTTCATATCGTGATAAATTATTTTTCTAATAAATTTAAATTAAAAAAATTTTTTCTAATAAAATTTTTTCTAAAAATTTTTTCTAATAAATTTAAATTAAAAAAATTCTAAATTTTTAATTCGTGCACTGAGAAAAAAATCTGGTTGCATTAATTAGAATTCTGGTAGATTTAATCAGTATGTCTGTTGGAAAATGGATGAACCAGAATTCTTGTAGAAATTATCAGATGAATCTGATTAATTTCTTTCTGTTAAATTTATCAAATTTTCATTAATAATACTAAACTCGTCAGCACCAAGTCGTCTGAAATTTTTTCCATCTAATCTCGAAAGTCTAATATTAAGTTTAATATTCTGAATTCCAACAAGATTATTAGATAAATTCAATCCAATTATTGAAATCCAATTTATTCAATCCATTTATTGAATAAATTATTTTAAATTCAGTTTGTTAGAAATTAAACTGATAAACAGTGATGCAAGAAGAGGATGCATCAAACACACACAATCAAAGAGCTAGCGTCCTCTTTCTGACACTACTGCTCGTAAGAGAAAAAAAATATACTTTGGATTTAATATTAATACTAATTCTTTATATACATTTCATGACAAATATTGAATACGAGTTAAGTTAAGAGTGGCAAGCAAAGAAATTAATGTAACAATAAATTTTATAGATCCAACCAGAAAATACTAACCAAATCTTTATAGTAAAATCTATTAAACGTTCTAGCTATAAAAAATCGAGTCTTATCATGATAACTAAAAATTCTTGTTTGATTTAACCAAAATGCCTTCAATCATATACGTCTTGTTGGTACAATCAAACGATTTTTCTCAGTGCGATAATAATCCCTTGTAATTCGCGACTCGCATTTTGTAGATTGGGGAGGAAACGTACCTTGCTCCTGAGAAGTCATTGTGTTTGTCCGGCAGACAGGCTGCGCTAATGTGAGGATTCTTTCCGAAATCGACGTCGTGGTCCAGTTTGAGAATGGCGATGTCGTTTGCGAGAGTACCGGCATAAAATTCGGGATGCACGTAAACGCTGACGATGTCGCGTTCTATGTAGGGGTAGAATTCGACGTCGTGATTCACGTCCCATTCGCCCAATCGAGCGCGAAGATCACGACCGGCGTGAGTCTTCACGCAATGTGCGGCGGTGATGATGTGACGCGATGAAATCAATGTCCCTCCGCAGACGTAGACGCTTTCGGTAGGATCCTTCTTCAGGATAGCAACTTGCCACGGATATTCACCTGAGGAATTGCGCGATTTATATAATAGAATATTATATTTTATAATTAAATATTATTTTTAATTTTATAACATTATTAAAACAATTTAATATATATTCAATATTGTATGAAATAATATAATACACGTACAAATTAATATTTCATCTAGAAAATTTATAAAATATGTCGTATAAAAGCTTTTAAAGCTTTTAAAATTCAATTAACAAATTTAATTAATATTGTTGAAATTTGATATAATATTTAATATAATATTTTTATATTTATAATAATAATAGCTGTTCTTTTGGTGTAGGCACGGAAGTGCCCTTCGATTTTGATGAGCTTTTAATATGTTGTTTTCTAGACAAAGATAAGGGACACGTATTTTGCCCATACGTGTCTAGGGGATAAAACACCCCTTTGAAAAAAATCAGTTTTTTTTCTTTCGAGATGAATATTTCAGAAACTTTAAGAGATAAAAAAAATTTTTATATTAAAAGTTAGACTGCTTCAAGAGTACTTTACGACAACAACAAAAAGATTTTTTACACACACATATCATTAAGGATGTGTATGTACAATCCCAGCAAAAAGTAGCTGAAAATCAATATTGACGAATATCCACTTTAGATGTATTTTAAATATGAGAAATTGTGTGGAATATTACAATTTGATTTTAGCTAGAGTGCAGAGATGTATTTTTTAATATTTATTGCGTTTTTACTGAAATATTCCGAATTTTGTTAATCGAAATGATCAACTTTTGGCAGAGAATTTCGCCTTGTGACAGATACATAGCTAACTTCATTGAATTATATTTAATATCTTTTTAACCAGTTAGTACTTGTATGATATTATTTGATCAAATATTTCTTCTGTATCTAAACTTTCGCAAATTTTAAACAAATTCTGAATATTATTTCCATGTGTTTTTGTCATTTGGATCGACGTGGTTATACGTTTCCTATAAGAACACATGTTAATTCGATGCAAATTAAAATCCGTACAACTTGTGAACGCTTTAGTGAATCGATTTAAAAATTGTACTGAAGATTCTAAACGTATGTAAAGACATTCTATACAATTTTCATTAAATTCTCAATATATTATCATATTTTGAAAATAGGTACGAAACATCCTTTAAAAAATATGAATTTTATTCAAATTTTTTAATATTATTTAAAAAAATTATAAAATAAAAAATCTCAGAATATTTAATGTTTACATACATAATAAATTCTAACAAAATTCATTTACGAAAATAAAAATATGAAATATGGGAAGGTATGTAAGTGTCTCTTTTTTTTAAGTCAAAATAATCCTGAAGAAAATTATTTGTAGAATTTCTCGTAAAAGTTTTCAGATTTTCTATAAATAATTCTAAAACTTGAATCGATTTAAAATTTATACTGAAGATTCTAAACATATGTAAGGACATTCTGTACAATTTTCATTAAATTCTCAATATTTTGAAAATAGGTACAAAACATCCTTAAAGTCTGTTTACAATCGAGAAAAGATAATATCCAATTAAACGTTTGCTATTCTTGAAAAGAAAAAAAAAATAGTAACTTTCTATCTCAATGAAATATCTTCCTAAAATATATTTTGCAAAATGTCCTTAACTCAGACAGATGGTCTCTTTCCTAGTAAACGCCATTCATTCGATGAATTGCATTAGGAATCACGTACCGAATTCAGAATCTCCATCGACGTAGACCGGGGTCTTGATGCGGCCATTGATGCCTTGTGTGTTCCTAACTCCGCATTGACCGGGTCGCGGGCGTGCTCCTATTATGTGCGATTTCTGGCAGCAGACGTGATGAGAACCGCAAACCGCCGGGCGTCCGTCGTATCGTCTCTGCAAATAGAAACAGGTCGGTTAATCGACGCTCCTCGAGTCGGGATTCGAAACGTCGCACGAGTTTTACTTATCGCATGTGCTCTCTTTTATCTGTACTATATGCAATGCCGGTTGGCGCTCAGTTTGACAGTCTCGTAAGTTCGCAGAGTCGGTATCACCACGGTGGTCGTCCTCTGTCATCCGCCGACAGCCTAATTACTTACGAAGCGGCTCTATCACCTATCACCAACCGATTAAAGCTGCTCGGCAAAGCGAGCGGACGGTCCTTACCTCTGACCCCGTTTCGTTAAACGTATCGCGTTTCCTTCTATCTGAGAAGGTAATCTTCCCACTCCGTCGTTCATCGGTTGAAGAATCCTTCGAGGACTGTCTATCTTTCGCGCGAGCGTTCCTATAGTAATCGTCCGAGTAATCGTCCGGATAATCGTAATCATCGTCGTCATTATCGTCTTTATCGTAGGAAGGATAATATCCGCCGTGAGGTTTGTGATACGTCGGATAGTGCTCGCCCTGGTGATGATGAACGCCGTAGGACGGATAGAACGGAGGTCTCGACGGATAATGATAGATCGGTTTCTCGTGATGCGTGTGATAATGGGGAGCGTAAACCGCGTCGTGTCCACCGTAATGCCCGCCGTATAGGCCGTACTTCTTGTAAGCCAGCAGATGGCCTAGTTTGTGAATAAGTCCTGGATTGGGTGTCACGTGGAGATTTACGTATGGCTTAACGACCTTCTCGCCGTACTCGTCTTTGGTAACTTGCACCGCTACGAGGGGATTCACGGAAACCGGACCTAGATTTATGCCCTGTCCACCAATTGGCCCATAGCCTGGCGTGTACCCCGGGATCCCCAGGGGATTACCAGGATGGGGCGCGATCGGACCACCGGTCTGCGGTAGGCCGAAGCTGACGCCCCAGGTCGGCTTGACGTTCAGTTTCGAGGTGTCCAGATTGTCCACCGTCAGTCTCTGCAACGAGAGAGAGTCGAACAAATTCACGTGGAGAACCGTAGAGCAGTCTCTATGTGTCTCCGTCTCTCGTTTCTTTTTTTTTTTTGTTTTTTTTTCGGAAGGATTAGTCACGTCGAGATTATAGGCCAGCTAGACTTTCTCGCTCGTTTTTCGCTCCCCTCGCTCGCGCTTTGTTAGAAGTGTTTGTTTGACCCAGATCACACGAGTTTCGATGTCCCTTGTTACGGCGACTTCTAATTTATTGATTCTAATTCGTCTAATTGCATGGTTGCATCTAGGACGAATCGACCGACTGAGCGTGTCAAACTGAGTGACGTGTTAGAACGGTAACGCATACATATAATGGCATGCATTTTCCACATGTCCGATAATTCAATCGATGAGCCGAGCTTTCGGTGTGGTTCGATTAGTTAATTTGATTTAAATTTAACTTTAATCTCTCGATAGTTTCAATTCAAATTTAGATATTATCTTTATCCGAATATATTAGTAGCACGGCGAATACAGGGTGTCACTTAATTGGCGCTCGCTATTTATATAGTGATATTCCTCGTGGAAAACTGAGTCGAAAAGTCCTGAACCATTTTTTTCTATAATGCTTAATAAAGCGGTAATTATCGAGTAAAGTTGCGCCAATAAGCACCGATCTTTAGCCTCCTTAATGAAATTTTCTTTAAGGAAACGCTTTTAACGGAAAAAATATGATTTTTAATACAAAATAAAGTTTTTCGCATTATAGAAGAAAAAAATGGTTTAAAAAAAAATGGTTTCAAATTTTTTTCATTATAGGTTAGGTTAGGTTAGGTTAGGTTCATTATAGAAAAAAATGGTTCAGGACTTGTCGACTCAGTTTTCTACGAGGGGAATATCGCTATATAAAGTGGGCGCCAATTAAGTGACACCCTATATAAATCGAGAGGCTTAATAATTTACACTTCTTCGAAACATCGATTGCCACATCATCCTCTCGAAACTTACAAGAAAAGCGAGAAAGAGTCCGAGTCGACTTACTTCTTCTATCTGCTTGTTGTCCTTCTTGAGAGCGTGCTTGACATCCCTGCGATTCCGTTTTGTAACTTTCGCCTCGGCTTCCTTCGTCTGCTCGTTTCTCGCCTGTTCGATCTGCTCAGTCTCGTTTGCTCCCTTAGGCACTCGCACGACGCTCATAGTGCCGTTTCCATCGGTGATCACTACCTCGACGGTTTCGGCCTCGATGTCCTTGTCAAGATTGCGCGGATCAATTGCCAGGTAGAGATCGTCCTTGCGGCCCACGTGATTGTTCGTGGCGCATTGATCGTACGGTACGCACACGCAATCCTCATAGGACGCGGCACCATAGTTGCTATCACCGTTGTTGAACTGATAATCGTTATTCAGGAAATTACCGTTACCCGCGAACTGATTATTGGAACCATATTGTCCGCTGAACTGCTTGCCATTCGGCTTTTCGTAAACGGGATAACGATTAGCGTAGCCCTTCTCGGAGGAGACAGACGGACCGCTGTTGCTCGCGGATGTTTTGATCTTGAACGCTTTCTTGTAATCCTCGAAATCGTTGAACGAGCTGCCATAAGTACCCCCGTTTCCGTAGCCATAGTTGCCCAGTCCTCCGCCACCAGCGAGCACAGGAGACGATGGGATTACAACGGGATTGGATGCGATGCCAGAGTTTACGCTAGTTTCTCCGTGATGATAATGATGGTGAACGTGTTGCTGAACTCCCGAGGAGCCCGGTTGATGCAGAACTACCTGTTTCTTGTCGATGAACTTGTCCTCGAAGTCATGTTCAATATCGCTAGATTCGTATATAGGTTTGGACGCGAATGGAGGAGGGAAAGCGGGTTTCTTGTATCCAGGATAAGGTCCAACGAAGCCAGTTGGGGGCCTACCAAACGTCGGTCCTGGTCCAGGATACACGTTGGGTCCCAATGGAGAGCCGAAACTTGGAGGCAGTGGCACTGGTTTCGCGGGGCCGTAAGGCCTTTTGACGGGTACAGCCGGAAGTGGACGGCCCACCGGCTTAATAGTCACCGGTTGAGCGTAAATGACGTCGTGTGGATAAATGTCGCGATGTGGGGAATAGTAAGGACGCCGTCCTTCCGTGTCCTCGCACTATAAGGAAATGGATACGTTGTTAGAAACGGACTTAAGTCACATTGGAAACCAGGATTTAATAGATAAATCGTAGTTTGCAAGAACGTTTAAGAATCGACATGTGACTTTCAGCTATAAAGAAAGAGAGAAAAGACACACTTTGGGTATTAATATTTTTATTACTTATAAAAAGCACTATTTTTTTATACAACTTACGTTGATTAAACCGAAAGAGCAGAGTTTGTCCTTGATGTAGGTGCGCGCGATGGTATCGTTGCCAAGTTGAAGGGCATTTTTTACATCAGGATCAGAGTAGATTTCTTCGTAACCCTCGAGATCGCGACCCTGTCGATTGGATACGAGAATGTTGTCGATTACAGATTCAATCTGTAATTAAGCAACATCTTAGGAATATCCTAAACGCCAAATTTGATATTTGCAAAACTTCATTTTAATTGTAATCAAACGTTTGGTTTAATATTAAAAGTATCGCGCAATCCTTACCGATTGTTCACTGAGTACTTGGGCGACTCCGCTGGCGCCTGATTGAATATTCGCGTTATGTACCAACGATTGTTGCAATTCCTTCTGTTGCGTATCGGGGGCGTCGAACGTGACGGGATGATATTTCTCTTGTTCCTCGGTTGAGACTTGAATTGAGTCTTGGTTCTTCCATGGTTGCCATTGTTGCGAGGAGTCACTCGGCGTTTCATACACTTGAGTACAAAGTGCCCCGTTTGCTATTGCCAAGCAAGCTATCAGGATGAAATGCGTCCTCATCCTGTAATGAATAACGAGAGAGACCTACTTTTACGTGCCATTTTTTAATCTTGCGATCATGAATATCATGAGGAAGCTTTCTTTTCAATGTTATCTTTTTACAAATCTCACCATAATCTATCATCTTATCAAACCTATAACAGATTATATTTTATCATATCATTTCCTTATCCTTTTTCATAATTTATATTGATAAAGTTTTATTAAATAAATAAATTATAAATATTATATAAATATATATTATATAAATATTATATTAATATATAATATTAATATATATATTATATAAATATTATAAAAATATTATATAAATATTATAAAAATATTATAAAAATATTATATAAATATTATATAAATATTTTTCGAGATTTTGTATCTCAGAATCTATTGTTTTAATTTAATTTGACGCCTTAATCCTTTTATTACGTTTTTTTATCAGTTTTTCGCCACTGTTTAGTCTTGACGCAAAGCCCTTTGAGATTTTCTATTCCCCAATTACCGTGAGAATCTCTCTACAATTTCTCCGTGAGTGCCAGCTGCGATTCCACGTGAAAGTGTATCTCACCTTTCTCCATTTGGTTTTATTGTATGTACTGCGACCGCGATACTCGATATATCTCGGGTCAATATCGGATTTTGTGTGAACAAGACACATTTTTGGCATAAATTATCCATCTAAAATTTCAATCCACCTTGAGATCCTTCGATATCTTTCATTGTTCGTAAAGATAAGTTTTATTGTTTACTGGAGGAACAATCTCATCCACGCGTAGATAGCAATTTCCGGTAATGACCTAGAAACCGGATCGGTTAAAGTCATCTTGCATGAAGACGCGTGTAATTTATAAGACACAGATGGGACCAACGAAAGCGAGAGGAAGTTGGGTGAAAGTCGTTTAACCGGTTCGTACAATCATGACATTTCTTGTTCATCTCTCCCTTAGGTATATCTCATTCGTTCCGAAATCATTTTGCGGCCATGGGGAAAGCAATTGCGTAACAAATGCACGTTTGTAAGATGATTTGAATTTTGAAATGAAATAAAAAAGCAATCTAATCGTTCGTATACGATTTAAATCACTCAAAATTTGACTTGTTTGAAAATTGTTAATATTTTTTTATCATGAATAAAGAAATATGTATTAAATATGTATTAATATTTTTTTATTATGAATAAAGAAATATGTATTAAAAACTTTAAATTAATTTTTTTTCAAATTCTCATCATTTTTATTCGAATTAAACTATGTTTTTTATTTTGATTGTGTGTAAGGCCTTTTTAAAAAATAAAATTTAAACAAGACTTATAAAGTGCCAAAAATATTTAAATTTACAAATAAAATAATGTTTATAAAAAATTTGTATATTGTTTCTTTCTTTATAATTGATTGATACGCTAACCTTAGAGAGGAACCGTCACATTTGGCGAAGATATACATAACATAGTGGACGCATCTTTCATTTATCGCCTACGACAGTGAAAGTGGTTACGTGTTGTGTACGCGCGGACACTTGTAATTTTTTACTTTTCACTTGCCTTGACATCTGATTAAAGTGCCGATCCCTGTATATTGATATTTTTTATATTCATGAATAAAACTTCCTTCAATCGCGAATGACGCAGTTGGTTTTATTTATACCATCTCTCGATGCTTGTTATAATAATTATTTTAAAGTAGGTCGAGATAGGAAAACCATTATATCGTCATAAATCAATCGACTCACTCACAATTTGACTTGTTTGAAATTTTTAGTATTTTTAAATTATGAATAAAGAAATATGTATTAAATTTAACTTTAGATTAATTTTTCTTCAAATTGTCATCATTTTTATTCGAATTAAACTGTTTTTTTATTTTGATCGTGTGTAAGACTTTTTTAAAAAATAAAATTTAAACAAGACTTATAAAGTGCAAGAAATATTTAAATTTACAAATAAAATAATATTTATAAAAAATTTGTATATTGTTTCTTTCTTTTCATCTGTGATTGAATGAAACAATAATTGATCGTAAATAGCGATATCTTTAAATATTTATGTAAAGCTAAATGTAAAGATGATTTGGGTCAGATATATGCCTGACAAATCTGAATACGGACAAAGCAAAGGCGGTATATTTAAATAAGAGAAAGTTTTCTATAAAGATGGAACGTGCGTAGGCGATGCCTTTTCATTCCCATTTTTAACAAAGCACGCATATCTTATATTTTATGATATACATATATATATATATATATATATATATATATATATATATATATATGCGCATTTAAAAAAAAAAATAAACATCGGAGAAATCGTTGTTTAATATAAATCGTCTGTTGAACAAACAGTAATGAAAATATAAATATTATATTGTCAATCGGTATAAATATTGCTTGTTTATCAAGCTCGAAAAATTATTGTTTTCTCTGAAAATAAATAATATTTCCATCAAGTTAAACAACAAATTGCTCTATAATCCAACATGAGTTTCCACATTTAGTTTTTACAATCTACATTTCGTAATTAAAAATATTATAATTTCGAAAATTTGACTGTCATAATTGAAACAATTACTCGCATATATATTATTATATACTTGTTATATTACAATCATATTTATTGTCATATCCGGTTATTGTTTTGCAGAATCAATTTTACATTTAATGGAACAATTCATAAATATTAATCCAAATGTACATACAATGAAAAATGTATCATTTGTTAATATTTTTGTCTCAAAAGCTATATGCATAGAGATACTTTCGAAATTTTTATATATTTTTAAAATATTAAATTTTATTTTTTTTCTCTAGAGGAAAAAAGAAGAAAAGCAAAAGGGATAATTCCTTATTAATGCTACTTATGTAAAATATCAAAACGATTTATTGCTAAATAATATCAGAACGATTTATTGTTAAATGTTCGAAAATACATACCTGACTGTTGTCTGCGGATGCACTCGCGATAAACTGATTTTCTCGAGCGGTTTCACGTCTTGGACTCTCGCTCTCTAACCGAACACTTTCTCCGTGCACGACGTCGCCGTCTGTGCTTTTACCCAAGTCGCCTCGAACCTTATATACACGTCCCTTTCGGGGATGCTGGGCCACCGTTCAAACTATCGGTGGGGTAAATTCGTGAGTCATTTCATAGACGAACATCCGTCTTGCGATGCTTCTTTTGGAGGACGAAACGAAGAAGAGTGGGAAAAGGTACAAACTTGAGCAATAGAACGCGTGTCCAAAATGTTATCCTTATCTTTTTGTTGCATAGAAAAGCTAAAAGTTTATTGTGCTTTATGCACGCAGCACATTTTTTCGTTTAGAATATATAATATCTCATTTTCCGAGCCGTGTAAAGCAGCAAACAATATGCCGATGTACATGAAACTGTGGTTCACGTTATAATTGGTATTCTCTTCGATAATATTTAGAATATTTATCGGAAAAATATACGGAGAGAAAAAACACAATAAACTCTCCTATGGGGTATAGTTTACATCGGAGCTTTAAAAGATATTTATATAACGGGATAACCTATTAATCCTGTATTGTTATAAAGTAAAATGATAGTATATTTTGCATGCTTTCCATTAAACATATTTTAATATTTACAATACTGATTGAAATATATTTTTGTCAATTCTTAATGCAATTGAAAAATATTTAATTTAGAGAGATTCCCAGACAGCACGAAAAGGCCAAAAGATGTTTTAAAGATGTCTAAAGGACTTTAAGACGTCTTTAAGTCGTCTTTTAGATGTCTTTTGGACATGTGTGCTGTCTGGGTTAATTTTCATAATTATTTCGAGATTTGTGCCGATTAATAATATAAAAAATGATTTTATACCTGTAATATAACGATCAGTGTTTGCTGGTATCTAGATAAAATTATCTAGATAATCATCTAGATAAAGAAATGGCTCATTTTTATCTTTAACTAGATGAAGAAATACAAAGTATCTTTATCTTTATCTTAGATGAAAAATATATGTCATCTTATCTAAAAATTGTCTAAGATGACGTTTTCATTATGCAAAAAAGTTTTCCAGGCATGCTTCTAAAAATCTATCCAAAATATCTAAAATATATTTTTTATATTATTATTATTAATATATTATAAATATATTATTATTATATTATTAATATATTATAAATATATTATAAATATATTATAAATATAAATTAATAAATAAATATTTATCATACCATTTATATACCTTTTTGCTATTATTTAAATATTCTTTAGGAAAAGAGAAAGAATATGTGTTTATGATTTTAATATCCCATTTATAATCTGCGTCACATTTTTTACAAATATTTATAGTCTTCTAAAATAAACAAAAATATCTGGATAATTATCTAAAGTATCTCATCTTTTAATAATTATCTCATCTTTCATCTAGATTAAGTAAAAAAATCATCTTTATCTCATCTAAGATAAATTTACAGATTTTTATCTTTATCTTTATCTAGATAATTTTGAAATTATTTACAGCAAACACTGATAACGATTGTGAGCGAAAACAATTATGATAATTATTTCTGATCGCAATAATTATTTTTCGGCCCTAGAGACATTTCGTAAAAACAATTAAAGAGATTCGAATGCAAATTTTTCCGTTCGAATCGATTTGATCTTTATCAAGTTGCTTTCTTTTGAAATCAAGGAACAAACAATGAAAAATTCCCCGCGGATATGAAAAGGTAGATTTGCATGGTCCGTCCAAATTGATTTACTATACAATTTTCGTGAAAAACACGCGAGCTTGATTTTCTTTGTGGCTCCATGGTTACGTAAGCGACAGGAAACAATTTAATACTGCCGGATGTATAAAGCTCGATGAATTCAATGTACGAGCGAAATGATCTTACGTCATTTTGGGTTTTTTTCGTCAAAATAAAGTTATGCAACAATTATCACCTCGCTTTCATCTCGCCGAAGCCACTTTGAGGACAAATAATAATAGATGTTTAGAGGAAACTTTGGTACTAATGTCGCAAGAAGCAGATACTACGAAGACACTTTGTATTTCGTAAATTCGTGATCATAAGCCTAAATTGTTTTCATGATAATTTATAGGGACATTAATATTAATTTTTTCACCGCAACTGGGTTTTTGTCATTCGTGCGTTCGGCGGAATCTTCTTGCAATCGCTCCACCGAAATAAATTGAGCGTCTCGCGTACCGCTCCTGGTACTTTCTTCTCGTCAAGCGCATCGACCTTGACTCCTTAGATCATCACGCTTGACGTAGGAGAGTAATTTTCACTCTCAGTCAACCATGCGGTAGAAAGTGAAGAGGCGCACTTTCAAAGGGACGACGTCTCCGTCTCGCGTTGGGAGGAAATATCAGGTTGATTAGAACGCGATTGCGACATTAAGCATAAAAAAAGATTGTTATTTCGAGGTTTAAACGATGCATCGTAGTCAAGGTGTCTACGTCCCGTAGATCGTTAGACTCAGGATCCGGGAGAAAGTGCCTTCGGACGCGTATATTCCGAGGGTCGATTGCATTAGTGAACTTCTCCTTCCGCTCTTCTCGCCGTTTCGGATCTCCCGGGAGTTTTTCCAGCCCCGGCGAATCCCGTAGTTTCTCACCGCGAGACGAAATTTGCAATTTCGCGATTTCGGCGGAATTTTCAATTTTCCCCACTTTGACTCCCGCGGGGAAATTATTTAGAGCGAAAAGACTAAAGGATATAAAATAAACTGAATAAAAATCCTAAAAGAGTCTTTTCTTTCTCCATCACGTATCGATGATCAACGACGCCACTTGCCGCCAATTTCCTTTCACGTGCCACGCACTTGGCGTTACCTAACGGGGGTTTTCCGCGGCCTTTCGTAACACTGGGAATTTTGCGTCGCGGATCACACGTCGCGTTAAACCGCGCGTGAATTGTCTTGACCCAATTCGGGTATCCTTAAGCGTTTTCTTTTGTGCCGGAATGCAAATGGACTCGATATAGCGTGAACGATGAAAATAATAAACGTCACGTAACGTCTCAGCAATTTACGCGTTGCAATATTCCACACTGAGAAAAATCGTTTGATTGTACTAACAAGATGTATATGATTGAAGGCATTTTGGTTAAATCAAACAAGAATTTCTAGTTATCATGATAAGACTCGATTTTTTATAACTAGAACGTTTAATAGATTTTACTATAAGGATTTGGTTAGTATTTCCTGGTTGGATCTATAAAATTTCTTGTTACATTAATTTCTTTGCTTGCCACTCTTAACTTAACTCGTATTTAATATTTGTCAAGAAATGTATATAAAGAACTAGTATTAACATTAAATCCAAAGTATATTTTTTTTCTCTTACGAGTAGTAGTGCCAGAAAGAGAACGCTAGCTCTCTGATTGCGTATCTTTCAGCTGTATTCTTTTCTTGCATCACTGTTTATCAATTTAATTTCTAACAAACTGAATTTAAAATAATTTATTCAATAATCTGGATTGAATTTATTCAATAATCTTGTTGGAATTTAAAATATTAAACAGACTTTTGAGATTAAATGGGAAAAATTTTAGACGACTTGGTGTTGGTGAGTTTAGTATTATTAATCGAAAATTTGGTAAATTTAACAGGAAAAAATTAATAAGATTTATTTGGTAATTCCTACAAGAATTCTGGTTCGTCCATTTTCCAACAGACATACTGGAATCTACCAGAATTCTAATTAATGCAACCAGATTTTTTTCTCAGTGCGCAAATTAAAAATTTAGAATTGATAAATTTAAATTTTTTAAATTTAAATTTGTGAGAAAAATAATTTATCACGATATGAAAAAAAATTTTGTAAGAGACTAGCATTTAGGGATTAAAAAATAATCGCAAAATTTATATCCTCAGTATTTTCATTGATAAATTTAAAATATTTTATATTTTAAAATTAAGTATATTATTATACACATACTATTAAGAATTCCTATAAATTAAATTTGATAAATTTTAAAATATTAAAGCGTGTGATAAATATTATTAAACTAATCATATATTAATTATTCATATATTAATTTTTAACTAGAAAATTTGGTAAATTTAACAGGAAGAAATGAATCAGATTCATGTGGTAACTCTTACAAGAATTCTGGTTCGTCCATTTTCCAACAGACATACTGGTTGAATCTACCAGAATTCTAATTAATGCAACCGATAGATATTTTCTCAGTGCGCGAATTAAAAAATTCAGAATTGATAAATTCAAATTTTTTAAATTTAAATTTATTGGAAAAATAATTCATCACGATATGAAAAAAAATTTTGTAAGAGACTAGCGTTTAGAGATTAAAGAATAATCGCAAAATTTATATCGTCAAAGTATTTTTATTGATAAATTTAAAATACTTTATATTTTAAAATTAAGTATATTATTACACATACTATTAAGAATTCCTATAAATTAAATTCAATAAATTTTAAAATATTATAGCGTGTGATAAATATTATTAAACTAATCATATATTAATTAATCATATATTAATTATTAACCAGAAAATTTGGTAAATTTAATAGGAAGAAATTAATCAGATTCATCTGGTAACTCCTACAAGAATTCTGGTTCATCCATTTTCCAACAAACACACTGCTTGAATCTACCAGAATTCTAATTAATGCAACCAGATTTTTTTTTTATTGCACACAATATTTCAGAGAAGAGTCTATTAATGTCCTTAAATCACACCTCAGCAAACTCCAAGTAACATTTATATAATTGTTCTAATTGTAATTTCTCACTCAACAATATAACTGTTACATAACTGTTATGTAACTGGTACATTACTGTTATTAACATATAACAGTTATATTCTTGAGTGGGAAATTATAATCAACAGTTACATAACTCTTATTTGGTGTTTGCTGTGATTTAAGAACATTAATAGACTCTTCTCTAGAAATATTGTGTGGAATATTGCAACGCGTAAATTTCCCAGAATGTACATGAATTTCTTATAAGGCCGCATCGATTGAGAAAAGAATTCCTAGTAATCCCTTCTCTTAGATAGACGACGACCAGTGAAGATGACTAAGCTAAAGACTGTTAAAATCTTATTCTTAGATTATTGAAGAAGAGAGGAGGTGGTGAGAAGGGGAGAGTACACAAAATAAACACGACAACTTTCATTAAGTTCTTTTTTTTTTTGAGTGGATGAGGTTACACGATAGACGATGATTATCGATGAGGAGACAAGCTGCGAACTGCTACACAAACTTTCACACGGGCTTCACTGAGGTCGACGGCTACCGATCCGATGATTTTTTCAGTCAGTAGGTAATATGGTATCCATGCTGCTCGATCGAGTAACTCGACGGGACCTCGGCGATCGGTGCGGAATAAGTGTAAGCATACGGTGATACCTAAATAAATAAAAGATAAACAATAATAAAGAAAAGACGAAAAAAAAAATGTATATAAAATGAGGAATGGTCGGTTTCGATTTTTCAAGAGATCGATTTTATCGTAATGATGAAACAGAAGCCCAACAACAAACATTTACAGAAAAAGGGGTGCGGAATTAAAATATTTCAAATGTGCATAAATTATCTGGAATTTTAAGCGCGGGTGTAATTTTTGAATGCAAATTTCCCGAGCGTTCGATTTTTTTTAAATCGAAGAGCTACCTATAAAACCACCTCTCTCACGAGTGGTTTTGTGTCGCTATGAAAAATTAAACATTTTTTACCCCCCGTAAATTGATTTTTAAATATTTAACGGGATGCAATGCGGTGGGAATTTGCACTCCAACTTTCCGCGCGATACCCACCTGCGATAAAACGGGCGCGGCGTACGCGATCCGGGAGATCGGTGCAATGACAGGTGCGGCGATCGGCGCAACGGCGAGTGGCGCGAGTTTGGCGGTCGATGCCGGGGTTTTCAGCTCGGAGACAAGGGTGAGCGGTTTCGGGGCTGGCGCGGACCAGGCCAGGCCGAGAATACCAACGACGAGGATCTGCAAATGATAGCGCAAGTATAGTGCTTCATGCGAGGGAGAATTCTCCTCTATTTAAATTGGAAAACTTTGGCACGTCGACAAATTTAAGTAAACTGTTGAATCGCGCGAAACAAATGAGTCCACGTGACGCGAACGTCGTCCCCTGAAATCTTAACCTTTTGCGTCATGGTGACCCTTTTCTTTATAGTTTTTCAATCTTTCCATTGTTTTTTTTTCATAAATATCGGGGTTTTTGTTTCTACTCTCTAAAAAGTCCTTCGAACATCAATAAGTGTAAAAGGAAATATGAAAACATTAATTGTTAATTGTAAAAATACGATATATAAAAACAAAATTAGTACTTTTTCACGGAGAAACGCATTTTCCACTAATCTATTGAGAAATTCAAAAGGCAATTTTTTTATGAACTTGATACACTTTAAAGTATTTTTTCAGAATTTTTTCCGCCATGTTATTATTACGTTTTCATTTTGTTATTAATTCTGTATAAAAAATACAATATTTTCTAAATCCAAACTAACAATTGTATTTTATTAAAACTTTCTCTCTGAGGGTTTTTGGATCATAGAACCTAAACTAAAGGAAAAAATTATAATTTTTAAAATTTATAATTTTCTGTCATATTGCATCCGCCAGCTTGAATTTTTTGAAATCGAAAATTCGAATTCGGAGACCAAAAGATCCTTACAAAACGAATTTCCAAAAATTCTGGATGTAAGAAAAAACATATGACTGAAGGTCAACAGAGAGCAAACCAGCGCATGCGCGCGCGTGATGAACGCACTTCCGGTAAACGAATTCATATTCAAGCAGAGTTAAATATGTAAAGTTTTAATACATAAAGTTTCTCACTATAATTTTTTAAATTAAAAATCGCGAAATTGATCATGGACCGGATCTACTTACGAATCGCAACATGATGAACTTTGAACGAGGATTCTGCGTGGATGTACTCGGGAGCGGGATACTCTGCGTCAATGCACTCCGGCCTCCGTCTCCTCGTACTTATAGAGGTCTCGGGGGATACCGTAAAAAGTAGACTCGTCCGGTACTACAAAAGTTTCTAACTGCCGTACCGCCGCATTCCTCCCTGGTTTCAGGGACGGACGAGACAGGGATTGCAGTGACGCATCCTGACGCTGCAATATATATTGACTCTGTCTATATTATACGTAGTCCTGAATTTGGTACATTTCGCGATTACACGTATAGTTAGATAAAAAATTGAGAATCTAGAATTAATTGCTACCGATTGGAATCATAAAAATATCTCTTTCTCTCTCTTCCAACATTTTTATAAATCCAAATTATTGTTTTGTAATAAGTGCCAATAGAGAAAATATATATTATTGATAAATTTGTTTATCGATAATGCAGAAGTACCTTTAAACATCTCATAAATATAGAAAAAGGACATTGAAGATCTATATTATACGTAGTCCTGAATTTGGTACATTTCGCGATTACACGTATAGTTGGATAAAAAATTGAGAATCTAGAATTAATTGCTACCGATTGGAATCATAAAAACATCTCTTTCTCTCTCTCCCAACATTTTTATAAATCCAAATGATTGTTTTGTAATAATTGCCAATAGAGAAAATATATATTATTGATAAATTTGTCTATTATTAATACACGAGTACCTTTAAACATCTCATAAATGTAGAAAAAGGACATTGAAAATCTATATTATACTCCTGAATTTGGTATATTTCACGATTACACGTATAGTTAAATAAAAAAATTGAGAATCTAGAATTAATTGCTACTAATTGGAAGCATAAAAACATCTCTTTCTCTCTCTCCCAACATTTTTATAAATCCAAATTATTGTTTTGTAATAATTCCTAATAAAGAAAATATATATTATTGATAAATTTATCTATTGATAATACACGAGTACCTTTAAACATCTCATAAATGTAGAAAAGGACATTGAAGATCTATATTATATGTACTCCTGAATTTGGTACATTTCGCGATTACACGTATAGTTGGATAAAAAATTGAGAATCTAGAATTAATTGCTACCGATTGGAATCATAAAAATATCTCTTTCTCTCTCTTCCAACATTTTTATAAATCCAAATGATTGTTTTGTAATAATTGCCAATAAAGAAAATATATATTATTGATAAATTTGTCTATCGATAATGCACGAGTACCTTTAAACATCTCATAAATATAGAAAAAGGACATTGAAGATCTATATTATATGTACTCCTGAATTTGGTACATTTCGCGATTACACGTATAGTTGGATAAAAAATTGAGAATCTAGAATTAATTGCTACCGATTGGAATCATAAAAATATCTCTTTCTCTCTCTCCCAACATTTTTATAAATCCAAATTATTGTTTTGTAATAATTGCTAATAAAGAAAATATATATTATTGATAAATTTATCTATTGATAATACACGAGTACCTTTAAACATCTCATCAAATGTAGAAAAAGGACATTGAAAATCTATATTATACTCCTGAATTTGGTATATTTCACGATTACACGTATAGTTAAATAAAAAAATTGAGAATCCAGAATTAATTGCTACCGATTGGAATTATAAAAATATTTCTTTCTCTCTCTCCCAACATTTTTATAAATTCCAATTATTTTGTAATAATTGCTACTAGAGAAAATATATATTATTGATAAATTTGTTTATCGATAATGCAGGAGTACCTTTAAACATCTCATAAATATAGAAAAAGGACATTAAAGATCTATATTATACGTACTCTTGAATTTGATACATTTTTGATACATTTTTGATACATTTTTTATACATTTCGCGATTACACGTATAGTTAGATAAAAAAATGAGAATCTAGAATTAATTGCTACCGATTGTAATCATAAAAACATCTCTTTCTCTCTCTCCCAACATTTTTATAAATCCAAATTATTGTTTTGTAATAATTGCCAATAGAGAAAATATATATTATTGATAAATTTGTCTATCGATAATGCAGGAGTACCCTTAAAGCCATCTCATAAATATAGAAAAAGGACATTGAAGATCTGTAGTTAACTCTCCTCTTAACGAAAATTAAAGTGCAGATTTTCTTGGCATTACGTTCCGCCGAAGATATATGGCGGATAAAACGTACAACGGCGATACAGTACATCGATAAGAATAATGCTTCGTCCCAAGAAACGTTTCTTCCATTACCTCTTCCATTTCTATTTCTTTCTACTTCGGGAAACAATCCCGGCGCGAGAGAGAGCCCTTCGACTTCGCATTTTTCAATTATCGATCCACCGCGGTCCCTCGGACGCGGCACGTACGTCCTCGCTATAATTCTCCCGCGTTGGTATTTTCTTTGGCGGGATATACATACGTATACCACGTTCACTCGGCGGTTTGTGTAGACCGGGTGTGATTTAAAGAAAGGGAGACGCGAGAAGAGGTTCCGTAGCGCGATCCGGCTACGTAGACCAGGGATACCGAGGTCATTAGCAATACTCGCGGTTCATTCACCCGGGACCTTGAGGATCCAAGCGTCGTGTATACACGTCGTGCTTCGAGGCAATCGCGCACCGTAATTTATATCGAGGCACGAAGATCAATATTGCGCCGCCGAAACGTGACACAAACACGTTGGCCGGATACCGTGCACATTTGTGTCCAATTATGCGCCATTGATTTCAAAAATATCGAGGAAATATCAGGCGCATAATATAAAACGCAGCTACAATAATACCAAATAAATAACGAAAATAAATAATAAAAGTACGGAGTAAATAATTGAATGCGATTCAAAATGGTTCGGATGATTGGGCAGGGATTTTTGTTAGGTTAGGCTAAATGACTTGGATGTGGCATCTCCTCATTTCTCTGCTTGTATCAAATGTACACAGTCTAGACGTAAAAATGCACGATAATTTATTAAAAAATTCGCATCGAGTCGTATATATATTCAATGGAGTATCTTTTACATAAATTTTAACAAACGTGCCTACCAGCCTCTTTCCCAGGCCAAAGACTGCCGGTTTCGACCCGTTTGTCTAATCACATGGTATATTTCGCGAACATATCTGTACTCGAGACAATTTTTAAAAATAATTTGCGAGAATAATCTCACCAGGAAAATGATTTTCCAGATACTGATTTTTTGATTTTTTTGAATGTCAAAGGCTGATGCTAAAGCTATGATCCTTTTCTAAAGAGCGCGACAAAAGAACTGACAAATCATGCTTTAAATTTATAGAGCTTATTTCTATTTTCCCCATTAATAACAAATAATAAAAAATATAATTTAATATCCACTTTTCAATAAAATATTTTCAAATCAAATCGTAAATATTTGTTTCAATAAATTTCTATCATAATAAATATATTAAAAGAACTCTAAGAAAAAGGTGCCATATATAAATTTAATCGCGCGCTCTTTAGAATTACCGATCTTTGACGCTTTGGATGGATTATGCGACGTGTTGAATGCTATGTCCATAACTGGATACCGTCTTCTCGGCGATCAGCTGATGAGGAAACGTCGAGTAATAGAGAGTAGGCGCCGCTAATCCGCGAGCAGCGATCGCGGGTATCGCGATGTGCGATTCGAGGGCTGCCAGGGGTTTCGCTGCGACTGCGACCAGCGGATGCGCGTTGTGGATTATGTGGTGTCCGTGGGCCTCGACCGTCTTCTCGGCGACCAGAGACGCCTTCGCCAACGGCTGCGCGATCTCGGCGACCGGTTCTTGTACGACTGCCACGTCCGTTGCGTATCTCAGCAGGATGGGCGATGCCGATGCGTGCACCACGTTGTTGCCGTGGGACTCGACGACCTTTTCGGAAACGAGCTTGCCCACGACAGGCGCGACGATGGTTCCACATTGCACCGTGGCGATGCCCGCCAGCATGGAAATAAGCATCTGCGAAAGAGAATGTTTTACCGGGGATACAGAAAAGCTGGGAATATTAAAATATCTCCGCAACGTCGACCTTTTCCAATTATTTTTATATTATTAGCGAGTCGAGAAATGATTTAAAGGATGCTCAGAATAATACTTGCTAGCTCGAAAATGGAGATTGAGATTAATTGATGAATGTTTCTATCTTTATAAGAAACACATCAATTTTTTATCGCCTCCTGTAATTTTTTAATCATCTCCTCGTCTCTCTCTTGACAATTGTGGATCGTTTCACAATTCAAGCTTAAGAAACACTAGTCTTACCAGCCTAAACATGACGACGGATTTTCACTGCTTTTGGATCAGAACCTGGGACTGATCTGCACGCACGCGGATCTACGCGTGCTTATATAGGAGAGAACTTCCGTGATCTTCGAGAGATCTTCAAGGTCTGCTCCTGCGAGTCTATAGTTTCACGCGTTGAGGAATATTCAATGCAATACAGGTATTCACGTTCTTGTCTAAAAATATGTAAAATGTGTTTTTATAAAACATATTTCTTATTCGAGTAAAATATTAAAGAATCCGAAGAAAAATCTCTGAAATATATCTCTTTGAATTCTGAAAACTGCATTTTACAAGAATCTTTTAATTTAATCTTTTAATTTCTCTCGTCCTGAAAATGAAAATGAAAATCATAATTGAAACATAATTAATTATGATTAACAATTAAAAATAACAATTAAATTGAAAATAACTCAATATTTAAAAAATAATATTAAAAGAAATAATAATATTAAAAAATAATTCTATTAATATAATTCTACAAATAATATTAAAAATTCAATATTAAAAAATAATTCTATTAATATAATTCTAAAAATAATATTAAAAACTCAATATTAAAAAATAATTCTGTTAACATAATTCTAAAAATGATAATATTGAAAATTCAATATTAAAAAATAATTCTATTAATATAATTCCAAAAATAATATTAAAAACTTAATATTAAAAAATAATTCTATTAACATAATTCTAAAAATGATAATATTAAAAATTCAATATTAAAAAATAATTCTATTAATATAATCCTAAAAATGATAATATTAAAAATTCAATATTAAAAAATAATTCTATTAATATAATTCTAAAAATAATATTAAAAACTCAATATTAAAAAATAATTCTATTAACATAATTCTAAAAATGATAATATTGAAAATTCAATATTAAAAAATAATTCTATTAATGTAATTCTAAAAATAATATTAAAAACTCAATATTAAAAAATAATTCTATTAACATAATTCTAAAAATGATAATATTGAAAATTCAATATTAAAAAATAATTCTATTAACATAAGTCTAAAAATAATATTAAAAATTTAATATTAAAAAATAATTTTATTAATATAATTCTAAATATAATATTAAAAACTCAATATTAAAAAATAATTCTATATATTAACATAATTCTAAAAATAATATTAAAAATTCAATATTAAAAAATAATTCTATTAATATAATTCTAAAAGTAGTAATATTAAAAACTCAATATTAAAAAATAATTCTATATATTAACATAATTCTAAAAATAATATTAAAAATTCAATATTAAAAAATAATTCTATTAATATAATTCTAAAAATAATATTAAAAAGAATATATATATATATATATATATATATATATATATATATATAAAACATTGAAACTATGAAACAGATTAGCAATGTATTACGAAAATCGAGATAAGGCTGAAAGTTATACCGATTACACTCTTGCCGCTTGTTGGTTCTGAAAGCGTTAAGCTTTTTGTCATTGCTATGAGTTTGCAGGGTACTACGCTTGACAGTCGAACAAAGGAGCTACCTTTACGCGATCTCGAGACTTTACTTTTACTCTTCACTCCTCGGTAACAATAAGCACTTACGCCATAGAAACAAAAAAAGAGTAGTACTTCTCAGAGGGACGCATAAAAAGCGCCCGAGCGTAAAATTAAGGCCGAAAACGGGTTTAATCTTGACAATCTCATTTATCCGTTTCTACTGTATGGCATTAACAATGGTAAATCTGACAAAGAATAATATTGTAACTAAAATGAAAATAATATCACGCGCAACGAAAATAATAACAATAATTTCAAAAGTGATAACAATAAAATTAATCGAGTTATTTTTCAAAAATTATCAAAAAATAATTTTAAAAAATAGCTATAGGTTCTTATTAATTCTATGAGGATAAAGTAAAAGATATGTAAGTTTTGGGAGAATTTTTTTTTAAATATCTATTTTGTCTCTTTATTTCGACCGATATTTACTAAGATATTTAATATTTTTCAATATACAAGATTATATGTATTTATTAAAAAATATAAGCATATTTCTTAACATAAATTTTGAATGTACGAAAGGTGTTTTCAGAGCATGTTAATATAACATATGTATAGATGTATCTAACTTTTCTTCTCAAACGTAGATGCGATATTGAATAAATCGCCTCTGTTCTCTTTCTCTCTCTCTCTCTCTCCCTCTCTTCTTACCTTTTTCTCTCTTCTCTTTTTTTGGAAGGGAAACTTTTTTAAACATCTCTTAAAGAATTTAGCAAGTTAGTTTCGTGAAAAGTGCACAGGCGGGTTTATATGTTTCCTGCAAATATATTCAATACGTGACCCGATGGCGCGCGGCAAAGTTTCGCTCGCGATTGTCGAGTGAGAAGGGGATGCAACGGAACTAAAGCCGAAACTCAAACAACCGTTGATCGCCAAGTCGGTAAACACTTTTCATCGAGTCGTTCCAAATCCTATTTTGAGAAAAGCCTCACGTAAACGAATAGGTAGGTAGATGGACGTACTACGCGAACGTGGCCCGGCGGATAGTGTGTATCCAAATAGAAAAATAAAAAGAGAACTATAAGAACGAGATCACCCCGTGATCACGACGCTCCGGGGTTTGTCCATCGCTCGTGCGAGTAAAAAGTTCGAACTCTTCGGTCAAGCGAAGGAGAAGGAAGAATCCGCGATCCTCGAGAAGGTCGAATGGTACGTGATAAGAGGAATTAATCCCTTAAGCACTGCGCGCATGAGAACACTGAGAAAAATCGTTTGATTGTACAAGACGTATATGATTGAAGGCATTTTGGTTAAATCAAACATGAATTTCTAGTTATCATGATGACTCGATTTTTTATAACTAGAACGTTTAATAGATTTTACTATAAGGATTTGATTAGTATTTTCTGATTGGATCTATAAAATTTCTTGTTACATTAATTTTTTTGCTTGCCGCGGCGAGCCACTTTTAACTTAACTCGTATTCAATATTTGCCGTGAAATGTATATGAACAACTAGTATTAACGTTAAATCCAAAATATATTTTTTTTCTCTTACGAGTAGTAGTGCTAGAAAGAGAACGCTAGCTCTCTGATTGCGTATCTTTCAGCTGTATTCTCTTCTTGCATCACTGTTTATCAGTTTTTAACAAACTGAATTTAAAATAATTTATTCAATAATCTAGATTGAATTTATCCAATTAATCTTGTTGAAATTCAGAATATTAAACTGACTTTTGAGATTAAATAGAAAAAATTTTAGACGACTTGGTGCTGGTGAGTTTAGTATTATTAACCAAAAAATTTGGTAAATTTAACAGGAAGAAATTAATCAGATTCATCTGGTAATTCCTACAAGAATTCTGATCCATTTTCCAACAGACATACTGGTTGAATCTACCAGAATTCTAATTAATGCAACCAGATTTTTTCTCAGTGCGCGAATTAAAAAATTCAGAATTGATAAATTCAAATTTTTGTAATTTAAATTTATTAGAAAAATAATTTATCACGATATGAAAAAAAAATTTGTAAGAAACTAGCATTTAAAGATTAGAAAATAATCGCAAAATTTATATCCTCAAAGTATTTTCATTGATAAATTTAAAATACTTTATATTAAAATTAAGTATATTATTACACATATTATTAAGAATTCCTATAAATTAAATTCAATAAATTTTAAAATATTAAAGTGTGTGATAAATATTATTAAACTAATCATATATTAATTAATCATATATTAATTATTAACCAGAAAATTTGGTAAATTTAACAGGAAGAAATGAAGCAGATGGTAATTCCTACAAGAATTCTGGTTCGTCCATTTTTTAACAAACATACTGGTTGAATCTACCAGAATTCTAGTTAATGCAACCAGATTTTTTCTCAGTGCGCGAATTAAAAAATTCAGAATTGATAAATTCAAATTTTTTAAATTTAAATTTATTAGAAAAATAATTTATCACGATATGAAAAAGAATTTTGTAAGAAACTAGCAGTTAGAGATTAGAAAATAATCGCAAAATGTATATTCTCAAAGTATTTTCATTGATAAATTTAAAATACTTTATATTTTAAAATTAAGTATATTAAAATTAAGTATATTATTACACATACTATTAAGAATTCCTATAAATTAAATTCAATAAATTTTAAAATATTAAAGTGTGTGATAAATATTATTAAACTAATCATATATTAATTAATCATATATTAATTATTAACCAGAAAATTTGGTAAATTTAACAGGAAGAAATTAATTAGATTCATCTGGTAATTCCTACAAGAATTCTGGTTCGTCCATTTTCCAACAGACATACTGGTTGAATCTACCAGAATTCTAATTAATGCAACCAGATTTTTTCTCAGCGAACGAAATAGATATAGAATGTCATAATCGTCAGAAGGAATTGTTCCACAAATACACATATTCTTATATTATTAGTGACTTCTTGAAAATTTGCTAATATTTATCAATTGTAAGATTAAAGCAAGTCTCTTGGAGATTGCAAGCTAAAAAACCTCAAAAATATATTACAAATTTTGATTTTATATATTTCCCAATTGAAGGAATTGTGAGGAATAAAATAAACATAGGGCACATTTACAAAGGCAAAAATGGCAAAAATTTTATTGATTGATCATAGCGATCGGTCGTTTGATCGTGCAGACTGGCTGGTACAAGATTAATCTGATGGATCTGATCAATGATGAATCAATGTTGGATGTTCGGTCAGCTGTCCATTTCGACGAAATCATCATCGTCACGCTGCAGGTGGACGACGAGGATGCTGTTTCGCTGGTCATCGTCAGAGAGACGGGCGGAAACTGGCTAGAGATGACATCCCTCAGTGAATGGCGACGACGGGAGCGTGGGCGGCGTAGGCCACTGGCGCAGCGTGAGCGAAGACCGGCGCGGCGGCAACGACCGGGGCGGCCTTGAGGATCGGCGCGGCGGCAACGACAGGGGCTGCCACGAGCGGACTCTTGACGGACACCTTGTAGGTATTGGCGTAGCTGGTGGCGACCGGGACGGTGTGGGCGACCGCTAGCGCGGGTGCCGCGGCGACGACCGGCGCCGCGTGAAGAGCGGGCGCGGCCAGGTAGCCGGGTTCAGGTGCGGCCGCGGCGCAGGCCAGCAGAGCGAAGAGAGCGACGAACTTGTACATGGTCGTTGCGGATTCAAGTGCTTCGTACTTCGGAGCGGAGTGCTGAAGAGCGAATGATGCCTGGACACGGGTCTAGGACCCCTTATATCCGCCGGGACTGACCTCTCCCACTTTGCCTCTTGGCGGCACCTGGTCCCAGCGGCGGTTCCTGTTACCCGCTCGCATCGTGCTTCCCTGATGCTTGTTTTTTGCCGCCGGCCGGAGGAGCACTGCCAAGGACTGCCAATCGTTCGCGGCCTCTACGCGGGCCCTTCACCGTACGACGTAGCCTCGTAGGAGACGTAGTCGCCGATCATCGTTTTGTCTCTTGGAGAAGGTCGCGCGAGGCGCTCGGGAGGGTGGCCGTGATTATCGATGACCTTATCTTTAGGCTTTTTTGGCTTGCACGGTCGCATACACTGATGCTTGAACGAAGGTTCAATGACATAGCCTCGACTATCGATCACCAGATTCTCCATCATGGTACATGCGGAATAGTCGTACATAATTATGAAGCGATTTATTACATGTACATATTAGCTTTCGAGTCGATTGACGGGCCCAAAATGCGAGCTCGAATTGCCTCGAGCGACTATCACGGTTAGCTTGTCACTTCCTCGATTAATTCTTCAAATGTGACATTGATAGTCGTCCAATCGATAGTATCAATTAGAGGAAACTTTGAGTAGTCAATTTTGTCATGGAATTTTGTTTTGAATTATTGCTAATAATTTATCATCTTTAGAATTTATGTGTGTGTGTGTGTATGTTGGTTAAAGGTATTGGAGCGATTAAAATATATATGTTAGCCATCAAACTGGAAATCTCGAATAAAAATTAATACGTTCGCGCAAATTCTGCTTTCAGGTTTAACCTAACTTTGATCATGTAGCAACGTTTCTCTTCCTCTTTGTATTTTACCCCATTTTAATACTTGTGAATTACAACGATTTACGAGCTGGGTCGCCTTGCTGGAGGATTTTTCTCTCGGTGGTGAACAGTTTTATTCTACGCGACGTATGTTATTTTAATAAACATGTATATTTATACGATGTAACAACTTCTTTCTCAAAGTTTTTTTACTTGAAGCTTTTTTAACTGAAAAATTTTTTCGAAATTCTACGATATATTCGTTATATCTATTCAAGAATAATCCATAAAGATTCAAAAGAAATTAAATTTTCTCGATTAAAATATTATTTTTCCCTTTCTTCTTTCTCTTTTGAAAAATATTTATATAAAATTTGTATTTTTATATTTAATTTATTTTATATTTAAGTATATATTTATATGAATGAATTATTATCTCTCTTTCTTTTCTTGAAATTTTCTACAAATTCCTCCTTTATAAATAACTTAAAAATTTGTCTTTATCTCTCTCTTGATACGTACTTCCTTGTATTTTTATATTTAAATTATTTTACACTTAAGTATATTTATATGAATGCATTATTATCTCCCTTTCTTTTCTTGAAATTTTCTACAAATTCTTCCTTTATAAATAACTTTAAAAATTTGTCTTTGTTTCTCTCTTGATATATACTTCCTTGTACTTTTATATTTAATGTATTTTATATTTAAGTATATATTTATATGAATGGATTGTTATTTCCCTTTCTTTTCTTGAAATTTTCTACAAAATTTCTCCTTTATAAGTAACTTTAAAAATTTGTCTTTGTTTCCCTTTTGATACGTACTTCCTCATATTTTTATATTTAATTTATTTTATATTTAAGTATATATATATATGAATGGATTATTATCTTTTTTTCTTTTCTTGAAATTTTCTACAAAATTTCTCCTTTATAAATAACTTTAAAAATTTGTCTTTGTTTCTCTTTTGATACGTACTTCCTCGTATTTTTATATTTAATTTATTTTATATTTAAGTATATATATATATATATATATATATATATATATATATATATGAATGGATTATTATCTTTTTTTCTTTTCTTGAAATTTTCTACAAAATTTCTCCTTTATAAATAACTTTAAAAATTTGTTTTTGTTTCTCTCTTGATACGTATTTCCTTGTATTTTTATATTTAATTTATTTTATATTTAAGTATATATTATATTTATATGAATGGATTATAATTTCTCTTTCTTTTCTTGAAATTTTCTCTAAAATTCCTCCTTTATAAATAACTTTAAAAATTTGTCTTTGTTTCTCTCTTGGTACATACTTCCTTGTATTTTTATATTTAATTTATTTTATATTTAAGTATATATATATATGAATGGATTATTATCTTTTTTTCTTTTCTTGAAATTTTCTACAAAATTTCTCCTTTATAAATAATTTTAAAAATTTGTTTTTGTTTCTCTCTTGATACGTACTTCCTTGTATTTTTATATTTAATTTATTTTATATTTAAGTATATATTATATTTATATGAATGGATTATTATTTCTCTTTCTTTTCTTGAAATTTTCTCTAAAATTCCTCCTTTATAAATAATTTTAAAAATTTGTCTTTGTTTCTCTCTTGGTACATACTTCCTTGTATTTTTATATTTAATGTATTTTATATTTAAGTATATATTTATATGAATGGATTATTAGCTCTCTTTCTTTTCTTGAAATTTTCTCTAAAATTTCTGCTTTATAAGTAACTTTAAAAATTTATCTTTTCTCTCTTGATACGTATTTTCTTGTATTTTTATATTTAATTTATTTTATATTTAAATATATATTTATATGAATGGATTATTATTTCTCTTTCTTTTCTTGAAATTTTCTCTAAAATTTCTGCTTTATAAGTAACTTTAAAAATTTATCTTTTCTCTCTTGATACGTACTTCCTTGTATTTTTATATTTAAATTATTTTACATTTAAGCATATATTTATATGAATGGATTGTTATTTCTCTTTCTTTTCTTGAAATTTTCTACAAAATTCCTTCTTTATAAATAACTTTAAAAATTTGTCTTTGTTTCTCTCTTGATACGTACTTCCTTGTATTTTTATATTTAATTTATTTTATATTTAAGTATATATTTATATGAATGGATTATTATCTCTCTTTTTTTCTTGAAATTTTCTACAAAATTTCTCCTTTATAAATAACTTTAAAAATTTGTCTTTGTTTCTCTCTTGATACGTACTTCCTTGTATTTTTATATTTAATTTATTTTATATTTAAGTATATATTTATATGAATGTATTATTATCTCTCTTTCTTTTCTTGAAATTTTCTCTGAAATTTCTCCTTTATAAATAACTTTAAAAATTTGTCTTTGTTTCTCTCTTAATACGTACTTCCCGTGATAAATGATCCAATAACGCAGATCGAACGGCTGTTACGCCTACGTACGTTACGACGATGGAACAGGTCGCGAACCAGAATCGCGGGGGAAACAGATCGGGGGGGAGGCATTGTGACACAAGTCGCGAAAGTAGATGCTCGACTTGCACAATTTCGTGCAACGCACTTCGCATACGACACGACAGCGTGTAATATTGCGAGCGTGTGCGTGTTTGTCCTTCCCTCCGCTTGTGCGTTACGCAGATTGTCGTCGTCTTTGCGCAATCACGCACGGCAATGACAATGCGTGACAGCTTGCACCGACGAAAATCGCAGCAACTCCCGCTGGGACAGCCGCCTAGACGTACGGTAACATCACCTATCGACCGCTTCTCTACGCAATCGCGTGTGTGCGTGGCATAAAATATTATATGTCATTACACAAGATGCATTCTGTCTCGCTATCTCTTTCTCTTTCTATTCTTTTGTCGGTCTACATTGATAAATTACGACATATGTCAGTCTGATGTATTAAAATTTCACAACGTTGTGTCCCGTAATACGAAATCTATAATGTACAGTTCTATATATTTATTCATTTACATATATATTTTATTAAATTAATGAATTAGTAATTTAATTCCTCGATCGAGCATTATATAATTATTTACATCTGGCGAAGCATTGTTGCAAACATCAATTCTACATAGTAGATTATTTTCCCATTAGAGAGTAGATACATATAATATGTATTGCTTCAAGCGCAATATTGTTGAAAGGGATTTCGATTTGATAATCGAAAATTATCCGATTATCCAATCTATCCATCATCAGAACCGTGACATCGAACCATGCCCTCCTCCTCCCCCACCCTCCACTATTGTCCGTCTTCCGAAGCGGTCTAAGTCTCTCGAAATTGGGCGAAATTTCGCCGAATCCGGAAGACCTTGGCCCCCGAGCGCAGTCACTCTTGAAACGATAGGGAACCTGTTCTTTTCTCGCGTAAGGGGGATTCGGTGGTATAAAAAAGTGCCCGAGAAGCGGACCCCGGTATCAGAAGTTGAGTAGTTCGCGCGAGGCCCGTATCTTTCTTGAGAAAAAAAAAATCCTCCTCGAAGCCATGTTCAAGCTCGTCGTAATCTTCGCCGTCGCCGCCGTCTGCGCCGTCTCGGCGGCACCGGCCCCCGGCCTCCTGGCGTCCGCACCGGTGATCGCCGCCGCCCCCGCCCTCGCATACTCGGCGCATCCCGCACCCATCGTGCACGCGGCCCCGGTCGCCTACGCCGCTCACGCAGCATCCCCGATCGCCTACGCCACCCACGCAGCAGCCCCGATCGCCTACGCCGCCCACGCAGCAGCCCCGATCGCCTACGCCACGCACGCAGCAGCCCCGTTCGCTTACGCCGCACCTGCTGTCAGCTACATTCACTGAGGATCGGATACTTCCTCCGAAATCATTTCCCGGGACCAATTTTCCACCCCGCGGAACCCAATGACGTTTCGCGTCCATTGCGAGCGGCGTCGTCTCTGGAGGCTTTTTAGAGAATTATAATTTTGATAATGCGTACAATCGATAATATACAGTCACACATACACACACACACACATATACAGTTCTATATATGTACAGAGAAATAATAATAAATTAATATTTCAAATTGCACACAGTTTTCTATTTATTGTACATGTCTACGTTTGCGTTACCGAATTATTATCGATGATAACGGGCATTGACGCGTTGGAAACGAGATACGCGTTTCATGTAAACGGAAAGTAATCCTCTTACAGTACTTAGGCCTCAAAGGGAATTTTAATGCCAGCCTACGCCGAAACGCTCGAATTACGTGCAAAGCCAAATGCGCTCGTACATAAGTCAGAAGGCCTGTCGTTTTACGTAATTTAATTTTCATTTTTGAAATTCGCAATTTCACCAGGCCGTGCAGCGGCCTGATTCAACGTGCAGATCCAAACAAAGATTTTTCAAATATTCTCGTGAAATATCGCGATAAATCTCGATATGTTTTATCCAGTTTTAATAGAGATTTATTATCCCCAATTTTTCAACGCTAAAAAATATTTGCTCGTTGCACCTCTCTTGAGGTAATTCCGAAAAAAGCGTTACAAAGTGCACGGTTCAATATACTACATAACGTAAACATAAACACAACATATATTCTATATACAAGGAAATTATATTCTATAACGATATATTTTACATAAATAGAAATTATTCGCACAAAGATGCATAGTATATGGGGTGGTTTGAAAAGTCCGTGCAAAAATAGAAACTACTTAACCTTAACTTACCTAACCTAAAACTACTTAATTTTTCGGGATAAACCTTTTTTATTTTTCAATGTAGTCTCCTTTTAGACTTGTACACTTCGTCCAACGCTACTCCAGTTTGTTAAATCCCTTTCGAATAATAAGATTGGTTCAAAAGGCATTCGTTTCCGCAATCATCTCCTCGTTTGAATAAAATCTCCTTCCCACCAGCCATTTCTTCATATTGAGGAACAAGTGATAATCCGAGGGAGCCAAATCTGGAGAATACGAGGGATGCGGAACGAGTTGGAACCTTAACTCCATCAATTTCGCGGCGAAATTCTCTTTCATCCATTTTTTGGAAATCCCTCGACTTCCTCGACTCAAACAAACGCCAAACACAGAGAAATAGGCCGGTATTCATAGTCCGATCTTATATTTAAGATTGTCTTAAGTCTGGTCCAAGGTTGACTTAAGACCTCATTCAACCAATCAAATAGCTGCGTAGCACTTCAAGCTCGAACTTAAGACGATCTCAAATATAAGATCGAACTATGAATACCGGCCATAGACCGATCTGGCTGAAACTTGGTATGTGTTCTTCCAAGAGATGCTGCTAACTGAAAATAACCTCGATACACCCCAGTGTTGCCACCTCTCTGACTTTGCGCGGACTTTTCAAACCACCCTCGTACATTTTTTTCGTTTAGAGATTTCCAACTTAAGCTGGGTTTTTCACTTGCCTCTCAACGCTCATTTTTCATCAAAAGATATCACGTGATGAAAAAAATGACGAATTGGTATCCTTATTTTCAGTCACTTGATGAGAAATAAGCTTTAGAAATAAGCCTTTAGAAATAAGCTGGAAAATGAGCGACAATCCTGTTGCACGTAACAAAAGCATGCGTATTCAATGAAGCTTACTTGTATGATTATTAATAGACACGTGATTTACTGGCAAGTATAGATACCACGTGTTCGCGAGGCCTCGCGATGAACTCGCGACACTTCTCGTTGTAGAAAGTTGCGTGACCTTCCCCGCGCGAATAAATCGCGCAACTCTTTCATACAAGCAACGCCCATCGCTCATCGTAGGGACGTCACTCAAAATCTCTTACGTCGCGATTCTGAAATAAACACGGCCGTGGCAGTTTGTTATTACGCAACGCCAGCGCGAGGGCTCTTATTACAAGCTGTAAGCTCCGAGCGGCGCGTTAATTGACAGTACGTCCATATCACACGCACGCAATAGAATTGATACGTGACGTTACCGTGCATTTGCATTTGCTTTACAATGGAAAGTATATATGATGCGTTCGTTACAATGCATTACAATGCGATACCGATGAAACGATTACGTTTGATGTTACGCTGTTGAATGGACTTTAACGCTTTTCCATAAAAATTCGCGTCGATATAAATCTTGAAACGCATCTATAATTAAAGTAGAGAATTATATGTTGCAATGAAAGGACTTTGCTTTTTCTTACGTCATCTTTCGTGGCAATGTAGTTAAAAAATATTTAGGTTACATTCCGATGACCTTGGCAACAGAATGTAAAAGTACATTCCAATAGTATTTTTAGCGAGATTATGGGAAAAATAGTTGAAAGATTCTACAGCCAGGAGATATTATTAATAAACAATATTAACGTCAATATAATAAATATATAATTTCATGACACCATATATATAGACGACATTTTCGTTTGACATTTTTACCATTCTTATATTGAAATCAGTTACTGGAACGATGATTGACTTTTATATTATTGATATTTTTTACGATTTTAAAAATAGATGACTTGAAGACAGATGTCCAGGCACGTATTTTTGTTCCTGAACTAAATTTTACTTGTAAATCAGAATAGGTTTAAGTAGATTATACCTTCCGAAAGTGGAGCTCTCTCATAGAGAGCGCAACTCACTATAGAATTTTTTAAAATATTTTCTCCATATTCTCCATTAAAAATACTATCGGAATTTACTTTTATACTATATTAGCAGCAAAGTGTGTTATGGGAACCATGCCAATATTTAAACTCAATATCAATATTCGAAAGCTTTTCTTTAATTGTGCTGTTTTTTGTATTCTTTGTGATAATATTTAAGGATGTTTTGTACCTATTTTCAAAATATTGAGAATTTAATGAAAATTGTACAGAATGTTCTTACATATGTTTAGAATCTTCAGTACAATTTTTAAATCGATTCACTAAAGCGTTCACAAGTTATAAGAATTTTAATTTGCACCAAATTAAGGATGTATTGGACGGACCGTCTGTCTCAAAAGTTAATCCAAAGTATCAAAAAATTAAAGTTGGGCAGAATACGAATTTTAATTGATCAAAAATTTTTTAAAAATCACGAAATCATACTTCAAAGTATTTTTTAATATAAATAGGTCTTAATTTCCAAGAAAATGTTGCCACGTTTTATCATCAATATTGCGTCAAACCGATAATCACAGTTATTTTTTAATAATAATTTCAAAACGAGCAAGTAAATCGTTTTAAAACTTTGTGGGAACATTTTTACATGTATGAAGAATATAATATTACAAAATGAAATTTTATCATTGTTTTTTTATAGTTTGTGAATAATTTATTACTTGTTTCTTGAACGTTTACATAAGATCCTATGTTAAAATCAAAATTCAAAAATTAATAACTTTTAAAGGAGCAAGTAAAAAAATTTGAAATAATTCATGACCATTTAGAATGTTATTAAGAATGTTAAATTAAAAATTCACGGCGATCTCATTGATTGTAATATATCTTCAATACATCCTTAACATGTGTTTTATGGGGAAACGTATAATCACGTCGATTCAAATGACAAAAACACATGGAAATAATATTCAGACTTTATTTAAAATTTGCAAAAGTTTAGATATACAGAGGAAATATTTGGTCAAATAATATTATACAAGTACTAACTGGTTAAAAAGATATTAAATATAATTTAATGAAGTTAGCCATCTGTCACAAGGTGAAATTCTCTGCCAAAAGTTAATCATTTCGTTTAACAAAATTCGGAATATTTCAATAAAAATGCAATAAATATTAAAAAATACATATCTGCACTGTAGCTAAGATCAAATTATAATGTTCCACACAATTTCTCATACTCAAAATACACCAAAAGAAGGTATTCGTCAATATTGATTTTCAGCTACTTTTTGCTGGGATTGTACATACAAAACATCTTTAACTATTACCCCTATTTTTCAATAAAATAATTAATATTATAATTAATAAAATAATTAATTTAATTTAATTAAATTTAAGACTTCTTTGAAAGTAGTCTTTAATTTTTGAAATATATGGAAAAATGATTTGAGGATTATTGAGTTTCAGCTACTTTTTGCTGGGATTGTACATACAAAACATCTTTAAATATTACCCCTATTTTTTAATAAAATAATTAATATTATAATTAATAAAATAATTAATTCAATTAATTAAATTTAAGACTTCTTTGAAAGTAGTCTTCAATTTTCGAAATATACGGCGATCTCATTGATTGTAATATATCTCCAATACATCCTTAAAATGTGTTTTATAGGGAAACGTATAACGTCGATTCAAATGACAAAAACACATGGAAATAATATTCAAACTTTATTTAAAATTTGCAAAAGTTTAGATACAGAGGAAATATTTGGTGAAATAATATTATACAAGTACTAACTGATTAAAAAGATATTAAATATAATTCAATGAAGTTAGCCATGTGTCTGTCACAAGGCGAAATTCTCTGCGAAAAGTTAATCATTTCGATTAACAAAATTCGGAATATTTCAATAAAAACGCAATAAATATTAAAAAATACTCTGCACTGTAGCTACATCAAATTTTAATATTCCGCACAATTTCTTACTTAAAATACACCAAAAGAGGATATTCGTCAATATTGATTTTCAGCTACTTTTTGCTGGGATTGTACATACGAAACATCCTTAACTTACAATCTCCTACATATTTAATTAAGATTGATTAGAGTATTGTGACAAGTGGGAAGTCTCGCGAAAAAATTTCTAGCCGACTTTATTCCGAGCACCAATTTCGGAAAATGGAGCGCGGTCGCGATCACGTTCCACACTTTTCCACGGTCGCTATGAGGAAATCCATTTTCGTTTTTCCGGTGCGTTATATCTGAAGGACGGACGTCGCTCGTATAAACTCGCATTTCTCGAGCTCTCTCAGCTCCTTGTCGATTCACGAAAACGAGTCGCCGGTATGGGCGGAGTCGACGACGAGTGAGACGACGGCCCTGCTCCGATAAATCTGGAGCACGATCGCGTGCAACGATAAGTGAGAGAGTAAATAAATGAATAAGCAAGACTGTCCGCGGCCAGGACCCTTGACGTTGTAATATTTCACAAATTTCGCCACCGTGCTCGGCGATGACGAGGAATGAAAGAGAAGCGCGAGTATGTAATACATGTAAATTGTACGCGACTATCGAATGCCCTTTTTACGATGAATTTTAATGGTCAATTTAAAGTCCATTTTTCTCGAAAGATTTCGAGAGGCTAAACATTTTTTAATAATTAGCGAAAATAAGGCTCTTTTCAAAACCCTAATTGTAAGCTTCGGGAGAGCTAATAATAGATAACCAAATTATGCTTTTTGATTAATTTCAGATGAATTCTATTTTAACAGATTTTTTTTTAAAGATTTTTTTTACGATGAATTTTAACGGTCAATTTAAAGTCCATTTTTCTCGAAAGATTTCGAGAGGCTAACAATTTTTTAATAATTAGCGAAAATAAGGCTCTTTTTAAACTAATTGTAAGCTTCGGGAGAGCTAATAATAGACAACCAAATTATGCTTTTTGATTAATTTCAGGTGGATTCTACTTTAACAGATTTTTTTTAAAGATGTTAAATAATAAAAATTTAAATAAAGTTTCTAATTAAGAGGAGTTTTAATCTTAATTTTTTATTTTAATCTTAATAAACATTTAACATTTTTTAAAACAGAAACATTTTGCTTCTAATTAAATTAAACTGAAAAAAATGTGTTGGTTTTGAAGCATCCTGTATTCGCCAGGACACTGCCGGCGTAAATTAAATTTGTGTGAAACGAGAACGCATAATTCGCCGAGTGTCTCCTTTATCGATCTACCTTGGACAGAGATGTTGACTTTAAAGAAGTCGAATCGTTTTGCAAACAGTTAGTGCGCGTGTCTTGTCACGTACATCAAGTTAATCGCCCGGCCTTGCCTTTATTAAGACTAAAAATGTTATCTTTGGAGATCTTTGTATCTAAATATATTCGCACATAATTAAATGTTATTTTAATCAACTTTAATATTCGATTAAATGCGTTATGATCGATTCAAATATTTATATTTATATTTTAACTCTCTATAACTATTATTTAATATTGTCAATTATTTATTTTATTATTTTATTATTAATATTTTTTCATTATTATATTATTAGTTATTTTATTATTATTATATTATTTTATTATTTAATATTGTTAATTATTATATATCAAGCTATTGATGATTATTAAATATTTAGGAATAAAAAGTTATAAAAATTCAAGAGAGACTATTTAAGAATCTTTTAGCCCTTTCCATAAAATATCCAAATATTAATACACGGGGTCAAATATCGCAAGGATAAGACGCAATGAGGCGAATACGTGTTACATAAAACGTGCGTTATTACATAAAATTGAGAAATTAAAGTTACGCCAAAGTAAAAGGACCAAAACGATCATCGATCGGGATAAACAAAATTCGCGGTTGCCTCGCCTTAGCCTTGATCTACTCTTAAGCCTCGCTTCTTCTTTGCACATGCTGCTCTACACGCTCCTCCTTCTCACCTTGCGCAATCTCGTACGTTCCGCTGGATGAACGAATGAATGGTCTAAGACGGAATGTATAAAAGCCTCTAACAAGCGCGTCTTCGGTCAGACGTGACGGGTCTTTGCGGGTGTAAGACCACGATATTGATCAGTACTGGCAACCTGGGTTGCTGAAATCGCAGCAACCGCGAAACTTATACGCTCGAGAGAGATATAATAAAAAAATAATACGCAATATCAAATAACATTGCAAAATATCAAGGTTAAATCGAATAATTACTCAGACAGAACGAAAAGGCCGAAAGATGTCTTAAAGATGTCTAAAGGACTTTAAGACGTCTTTAAGTCATCTTTTAGATGTCTTTTGGACATGTGTGCTGTCTGGATGACATACGCGTTTGAAGATTGTTTTCTTAATCTTTTGGACGATCTAAAATATTAGATGGTAAGACGCCATTAGATCGTCCATTTTTAGCGCCATTTTTAGATCCCATAGAGATTCTAATCATTGTCGAACGTGTCTTAGGAAATCAAGACAATGTAAAATATGAAAACATATATTGTAAACGTCATATACATAGCCGATGATAAAGTTTGTGGCGATTCGTCGACTGTGATGTCAGCTATCACTCGACAAAAGTGTTGCTCTCGAAGACAAGTTGCTTTGGTAGGTCTATCAATGATAGTATCCATCGTATCCACCGTATCCACCGTATCCACCGTATCCACCATATCCGTAACCATGGCCGTATCCGTAACTGGGTACATAACCATAACCAGAACCATATCCAAGACCATGACCGTATCCGTATCCACTATTTATGTAGGTTACCGATGGTGGAACCGTGTACCCGTAATGACCATAGCTCACCGCTGGCGCCGAATAAGTTGGAGCATAGGCCACCTTTGTGATGGCAGGTGCGGCGTACGCCACTTTGGTAATGGCAGGTGCAACGGCAAGCTTAGTAACAGTTGGAGCAAGCGCGACCTGAGAGGGAAACAAATCATTTTATCAATTACACAGGCCGACAAAATTTGGCCAAACCTCAGACCCAGAAACCAGAATATACTTTTCCGAAGGTTTTCAACGTGCTGAGTTCGAATCCGAGGTCAGAATTTCTCTGGTGGCTCCGGTTTTCGAGATATTCTAACCTAAAAGTGCCCAAAACACGGTTTTTCGAGATATTTGAGGTTATGTTACATCGCAAGGTAATTTTTTTTCATAAAACCATTAATGGGGTCCGAAAGAACTACTCTTTCTCTTTAAAAAAAATTTCGATTTGTCCGGATATCTTTTTTTATCTTTGAGAAATTGAATGTTCAAATTAAGTAGTTTTGACATTTTTGATATTCGGAAATTGAATAGCATCAGGTAAGTACAATATAATGTATGTACACGAAATATACATTTTTAAAGAGTTTTGATGCACGCTGATTCCAAATTTGCAAAACTAATGTCAAATTTCGAATCAGAGTGCATCAAAACCCTTTAAAAATGTATATTTCGTGTACATACATTATATTGTACTTACCTGATGCTATTCAATTTCCGAAAATCAAAAATGTCAAACTAAACTTAACATTTTGAACATTCAATTTCTCAAAGATAAAAAAAGATATTTGGACAAATCAAAATGTTTTTTAAAGAGGAAGAGTAGTTCTTTCGAACCTCATTAATAGTTTTATGAAAAAAAATTACCTTGCGATGAACATAACCTCAAATATCTAGAAAAATCGTGTTTTGGACACTTTTAGGTTAGAATATCTCGAAAACCGGAGCCACCAGAGAAATTCTGACCTCGGATTCGAATTCAGCGCGTCAAAAACCTTAGGAAAAGTATATTCTGATTTCTTGGTCTAAATTTTGTCGGCTCTCTCTCTTGTGTTATTGTACTTTATATAATTTTAGAATTTATATTTCTCATATAAATTTCTGCAAATTTCAAATATTTTCAAATACTTTATATTTTATAAATCAAAGAATTAGGCTCTATATTAAACAACACGATAAGAAATATTATAATAATAAATTACAATATAATAATAAATTATATAGTAACAAATTATATAATATAATAATAAATTTATATTTATAATAATAAATTTATATTTTATATTATCATATTTAGACGTAAAGATAAGAAAAGTCGGTCTTATAGGAATTTACATTTTAAGTTAAATCGCCCATCATTTTATTACATCGGTTTCAAATTATGTTTAACCGATGAAATAATACATTAGCAGCGAAAGCGCTGATACGCGTGAAAATTTTATTTGGACCGTATTTAATTTTACGCGAGAGCTCGTTCGTGAATTACGAGCGAATAAGACACGAATCTTCTCCTGGCTCCTGGCCACATCGCCGGCGCTTTACAGCCACGCTTATAATTCTCGACTCGTGTCGTAACGTCCGGTTACGCGGTTCAATGTTTGGGAGCTTACCTTGTACGTATTGGCGTAACTGGTCGCAACTGGAGCGTGTGCGTATGTGACCGCAGGTGCGATCGCCGCTCCATGACCTAAGCCATAGCCGCCGTAGCCGTAACCGCCGTAACCGTAGAGTCCTCCATAACCGGAGTAGAGACTACCGGCGGATGCGTAGGCGACGGTGGCGAGAAGAAGGATCTGCGGTAAAGCGTAGATACATGGATGAAAAATGCTCCGGATTCGTTTTAAGGCGAACCACAAATCGCGACTTTGGGAAACTCGGGGCGAGATTTGATGTACGACTTAATGCCATCGTGCAACAGAAAGCGTTTTTATGCCAATCGTAAGATTACATGTACAAAGCTGAAGAGTAAAATGATTTGTGTACACTGAGAACAAAAAATTGTAAACTTGACTAAATATTTTCTATTATTATTTTTTTAATTAAAATATTTAAAGATGTTTTGTATGTATAATTCCAGCAAAGAGTAGCTGAAACTCAATAGTCCTCAAATCATTCTTCCATATATTTCGAAAGTTAAAGACTTTACTTTCAAAGAAGCCTTAAATTTAATTAAATTGAATTAATTATTTTATTAATTATAATATTAATTATTTTATTAAAAAATAGGGGTAATATTTAAAGATGTTTTGTACACGGTAAAAAACATTTTGTATTTCTGTTAAAATTTTCTCGTGTAAAAATTTTTGTGTTAAATTTTTAACATACTCTTATGTTAATGTAACATATTATCAATGCGTTATTTTGACATTTCTGCGTTGAGTTAATATTCACCGTTTTTAAGAGTTAAAACAACACAATTAATATGTAAATGCACGAATTTTTGATAAAATATGTTACATGTTAAAATGAACAGATAAGTTGTGTTACTTTTCTCTCTATAACAGATTCCATATGTTAAATTGACGTTATATCTCTTCTGTTATTTATCATAAAAATGTAAGAATAACATTTTTGTAAAATTAAATTTAACATTATAAATATGTTAATTTAACATAAATTTTATTTCCAGATAAAGTTTAAGTGTTATATCTTTGTGTTAATTTTTAAACATATTACTTGTGTTATTTATTTACATACTTGCCTTCTATTAAAATAACATTAAAATTAGAGTGGATAAATTGGGACATGTGAAATATTAAATTTAACACAAAATTTTTTACTGTGTATGTAAAATCCCAGCAAAAAGTAGCTGAAAATCAATATTGACGAATATCCACTTTTGGTATATTTTGAGTATGAAAAATTGTGTGGAATATTACAATTTGATCTAGCTACAGTGCAGAAATGTATTTTTTAATATTTATTGCGTTTTTACTGAAATATTCCGAATTTTGTTAATCAAAATGATTAACTTTTGGCAGAGAATTTCGTCTTGTGACAGATACATGGCTAACTTCATTGAATTATATTTAATATCTTTTTAACCAGTTAGTATTTGTACAATATTATTTGACCAAATATTTCCTCTGTATCTAAACTTTTGCAAATTTTAAACAAATTCTGAATATTATTTCCATGTGTTTTTGTCATTTGAATCGACATGGTTATACGTTTCTCATAAGAACACATGTTAATTCGGTGCAAATTAAAATCCTTACAACTTGTGAACGCTTTAGAAATCGATTTAAAAATTGTACTGAAGATTCTAAACATATGTAAAGACATTCTATACAATTTTCACTAAATTCTCAATATTTTGAAAATAAGTACAAAATGTCCTTAAATTAAAATATTTAAAAAGTATTTAAATTAAATAAATGTCATGTTAGCTTACATGTCGTATTTAAGTTAAATATTTAAATATTTGAATTAGAAAATAATAATTAATTGAAAATGTTTAGTCAAGTTTACAATTTTTTTTTTTAGCGTAGTAAACTTCTCTCTGAGGCTGATAACAACAAAAAGTAAAAAAAAGGCTACAATTTATATAACATTTATATAACATATAACATATAGAAAGAAGTATAATTAGGAAATTACATTTTAAATTCTAGTTGGAACTATCTAAATCCTCCTATGTGTATGAAATATAAATGTATAAAATCCCATAGGTAAACAGATTATAATGGGGGAAACATTTCGTACACACACGTCATTAAATTCTTTTCAGAAACATTTCTATGCAAGATTATTATAAATGACAAGATGCAAAGTTTCTAAGCGAACAATTCACGTCGTTGCGCATAGCCTTCGGCTTTATTTACGCACATCCAGGATGATTTCAACCGCGTATCTATTCATACGATATGAATGAAACGAGCGTATTCCACCGTGATAAAATCGCGCCCGCGGCGGCAGGTAAAGTTCATAGCAAATGTTACCGTGGATCGCCGGAGCATTTCTCACGATATTGCGATAGTCGAATCTCTCTCTTTCTCTCTACGGCTTCCGATAAATCTAATCTTTAGATAAAAGCAATATTATAAAGAGCCCATTGTTATTTTCGAAATATAAATGTTGGTGGATCCCGCAAAATATATATTTTTCAACAAATTTTCCTCTCCACGATGATGTTTTCTTTTAATATAAACGGGAGTGGAGGAAAATTGAAGAGATTTGTGAAAAGAGAAACCAAGAAAATATCTAAAATATCCCCTAGACATTCGTCGTGCGTTGCCTGGGAAAAATATCGCGTCCCGATGATATCTATACATTTTCCCGGAGAAAAGTCTCCGCGCTTTTCCGCCTCGAGTACCACTTTACTCACCAGTTTGAACATGTTGCTCTAAGCACTTCTGTCGATCTCTTGTCGGTACTGTGGACTGACTACACATCTCGTGTACCCCGCCAGATCATTTATATATCCCCGGCGGATTGTTTTTACCCGTGCAAGGAGATCCAAGGGGGAGAGATGCGGAAAAAGCATTTTCCCTACCAATGATGGCAAGGCGAATTTCTAGGCAGCTAGGTAAACGACGGGGTGGGGTGGGTCGGGACCCCCGTTACGCGCTCACCTAGATCCTAGATCCTTTGCGGATGACTCGGACTCTGCGCGGTCATTCGCGCGAAGGACGAAGCTATTATCGGGCGGGGGGGAAAAAAATGAAAAGTATCGGTTGTTCGATTCGCATCGTGAGAAAAAGCGCGTCCACGCCACCTTGAATGTATACGCGCCGACGAGCGCGCGATGAGGGAGGAAAAGAGGTTTCTCTTTCCTTCTCTCTCTTTTATTCTCCTCTCTTCCCATCGGACCCCCCTCAATCGCTTTCTGTAATTATTCGCGCGTCTATGATCTTGTCTGTGCTCCGCGAAGCGTGAACAGAGCAACATGGGAACCTCGACCGATCGAATGTGGCACGCGGTGATATCGAAGGGAATTCATCTTCTTCTTTTACATTGTCATCATTTTCCCTCGATTTTATTAGCTCCACGATGCAATTTTTTATTGCCTATTTATTATGTATTAGCACATTGTTACATAAATTTACCTTATTTTATATACTTTTTGTATATTTTTATCCCTTCCTTTTATGGGTTAAGAGAACGTAACTTGCATTTTTTTTATTATACAGAGTGTCTAAAAAGTCCCGGACCGGTCGAACATTTCATAAACTATGCACTTTAGAAAGAAATGTTTCAGACAAAAGTTGTATGGCTTGAAGGGGGCCATCAGATAGTGGCAATGATTTGACATGAGAGAGTCATTTGAAAGTCACGTGAAGATCACCGTTAATTTCTTAAATGGAACCCCCTATTTTTATTACATATTTGTGTGCTTATCTCGAGAGCTTTTCAAAACACTATAATAAAGTATTTCTTCATTGAGTACTTTTCGAGTTATGAGGCTTGAAATCATTTCTTAATTTTGCATAAACCATAAAATATCTAGTAAAATATTCATTTTTCGATTATCTTAATACTTTTATGTATAAAATAATGAGAGGAATCAATTGGTGTAAAGAAAACATATAGTTGTTTTAAAAAAAATATGTAATTGTTAATTGCAAATTATAATTTTTTTCTTAAAAACAACTATGTTTTTTCTTTACGCCAATTGATTCCTCTCATTATTTTGTACATAAAAGTATTAAAGTAAAATAATCGAAAAATGATTATTTTATGGTTTATGTAAAATTAAGAAATGATTTCAAGCCTCATAACTCGAAAAGTACTCAATGAAGAAATACTTTATTATAGTGTTTTGGAAAGCTCTCGAGATAAGCTATACGAATATGTAATAAAAATAGGAGGTTCCATTTAAGAAATTGAAGGTGAACTTTACATCACCTTCAAATGACTCTCCAAGGTCAAATCATTGCCACTATCTGATGGCCCCCTTCAAGCCATACAACTTTTGTCTGAAACATTTCTTTCTAAAGTGCATAGTTTATGAAATATTCGACCGGTCCGGGACTTTTGGAACACCCTGTATATATATGTTGCGATATTATTATCGCATATTTTATATTTTTATTTCCACGTGATACGTGTATAGCTCAGCCCTGTATTCTCGTATCTTTGCTCTCCTTGATGAATGCATCGCTTCGCCTCGATCTCGATACTTCCTCGATCGAGAATGCGTGGGTGTGTCAACGCGAGCGTTGCTTCCGTGACGAGAAATGAATCATTGCGTAGCACGCTACATTTTTCATTTAAACTATATAATATATATACATACATACGATTTAATTATTCATAGAATCCACGCGCTCGGAGAGATAATAGGGGTAGCGCGCGTAAAAAAAAAAAAAATAAATAAAGATTGAGTACTTCATTAATCGCTGAATAAACATTTTCAGTGTACTCTTTCCTTATTCGCTTCATTCAATGTCGTATATCTATAGCCTTGCTAGATTATCTCCGTCCTCATTGCGGCTCGCGCTCACACGTCACCTTGTATACACCACCTCGTAAACAAAGCAAACGTGGAACAATTCCGCGTAATCAACTTTTATTATTTTTATATCGATATTCTTCTTATAATAAAATATGCTAAATCATATACTTTTTTCTCTATATAAGAAATATCCATTAAATTGCTTATTTCCGCTTCTGTAGATTGTTACTTTTAAAATTAAAATAGCAACGTTATTCTTGGAAATTTTATATATATATATATATATATATATATATATATATATAATAATTACATTAGTACATATTATTATATATATAATAATATTATATTATATAATATATTATATTATATAATAATATTATATTATATAATAATATAATATTATATTATATAATAATATAATATTATATTATATAATATATTATATATATAATAATATTATATTATATAATTATATTATTATATATTATATATATTATATATATATTATATATATATGTATAATATATATTATATTATTATATATTATATATATTATATATATTATATATATTATATATATTATATATTATTAATATAATAATATATAAATAATATATAAATATATATATATATATATATATATATATATAAAGATTTCTCTGTCTCTTTCACAAGCAGCTCGCGTCTTCATCCATAAATCCTTTGAGCCGTTTGAGCCGTGGAGTCAGCCTTAATGAAATTTTCTTTACATGGGTTATGAATAATATGCAAAAATTTCTTCCAAAGTGGAAAGTTGTTAAAAAATTACACCAACTACAAGAAGCTTTATAAAGACAAAAATAATACGCAGAAATCACATACGTTGGAATTGAATTCGCGCAATTCGTACTATATATATCCTCCACCGATTAGGTTTTCGCTCACTTTTTTTCCACGTTACACGACCATTTGTATTCAACCCTAATGGCTTACGATGCGATTAGCTCGGCTACGCGCCTCGCTATCTGCCCCTACGTGTACTACCTGCGAGGCATACCTTGCTCGATCGCGAATTGGGGCTAACGAAGATAAATATCGGCGCGATATATAGCGCAAGTGTAAGCTAAAACATTACAACGTTAGTATATATATATATATATATATATATATATATATATATATATGTGTATATGAACACACATATGTACGCGAATTCCTTTTACGTGAAACGCAAAATGTCGCTGCAAGACGAACGGTTTGCTGTCTTGCACTTCGGAGGCCGCGGGCGATCGATTTTTAAAAGACGGCCAGCCAAAGTGGAGAGCGATGCACAGTCGAGCGACGATGTACAATGCAACGGACGAAGATGTGTGTACACGAGCCTCGAAAAGAATCGAATCCGTTAACCCGTGGATCCTGTACGTTTTGTGTGATGCATGGCGCACATTTTTTATTTATCTCGCCTATCGGAAAACGTATCTCAACTCCTAGCGTTGTCGAATAACTTCTTTCTTGCTTATTCCGTCGACGATAAGTGGACGCTCGTTGTAAACCATTTTTTCGGCCATTTTTTCGGCCGAATGATAAAAGGAATGATATGACGAGAAGAATAATTTTTTTCTTCTTTTTTCCCTCTCTTATATAAATATATATATAAATATATATATATATATAATTATATATATATATATTATATATTATATATATATTAAATATATATAATATATATAATATATAATATATATATATATATATATATATATATATATATATATAAAATTCTATATGGTCATTTGCGAGCGGGGTCATTAAGATCGAGCAGAGACGCAAAATTGCAGGAGCCATAACGAGGGTAATACGGTGACGGAAACTGGAACGCCATGATCTAAATCCCGAGTTTATTAATGCGCCTGCATTATTATTATTATTATTATTACTCATTCCATTGTGGACCAGTCGGTTGCCCGGCAAAGTGTCCGACTTTCCCGCCCACCCCCGCCTCCACCGCTTCAGTTACGTAAACGCCCTCGCGATAAGTAGGCAGGTGTGGACGAGCGACTCTCCTCTGGAAGCTTATTTCTAAATCTCGTCTCGAAATCTACGTCTGCAAAAAATCAGAGATTACAACAAAGCCATGGAAAGTTTTTTTAAGGATGTTTTGTACCTATTTTCAAAATATTTAGAATTTAATGAAAATTGTACAGAATGTCCTTACATATGTTTAGAATCTTCAGTACAATTTTTAAATCGATTCAAGTTTTAGAATTATTTATAGAAAATCTGAAAACTTTTACGAGAAATTCTACAAATAATTTTCTTCAGGATTATTTTGACTTAAAAAAAGAAACACTTGCGTACCTTCTCATATTTCATATTTTTATTTTGTAAATGAATTTTGTTAGAATTTCTTATATATATAAACGTTCAATATTCTGAGATTTTTTATTTTATAATTTTTTTAAATAATATTAAAAAATTTGAATAAAATTCATATTCATTTTTTTAAAGGATGTTTCGTACCTATTTTCAAAATATAATAATATATTGAGAATTTAATGAAAATTGTATAGAATGTCCTTACATATAGAATCTTCAGTACAATTTTTAAATCGATTCACTAAAGTGTTCACAAGTTGTAAGGATTTTAATTTGCACCGAATTAACATGTATTCTTATAGAAAACGTATAACCATGTCGATTCAAATGACAAAAACACATGGAAATAATATTCAGAATTTGTTTAAAATTTGCAAAAGTTTAGATACAGAGGAAATATTTGGTCAAATAATATTATACACGTACTAACTGGTTAAAAAGATATTAAATATAATTCAATGAAGTTAGCCATGTATCTGTTACAAGACGAAATTCTCTGCCAAAAATTAATCATTTCGATTAACAAAATTCGGAATATTTCAGTAAAAATGAAATAATTCCACACAATTTCTTACTCAAAATACATCAAAAGTGGATATATTCGTCATCAAAATTGATTTTCAACTACTTTTTGCTGGGATTGTATACAAAACATCCTTAAATATTACCTCTATTTTTTAATAAAATAATTAATATTAAAATTAATAAAATAATTAATTCAGTTTAATTAAATTTAAGGCTCCTTTGAAAGTAAAGTCTTTAATTTTCGAAATGTATGGAAGAATGATTTGAGGACTAATTGTAAGCGTCTAAGCACGAGCCTCGCGCTTTGTTTTTTCACGGGACGCTCAGGGATGCGTGACATCATGCGTGGCTTTAACGCAGAGTCCAAGCGTGCGCTTACGCATGATTGTGCAATTATTGTTGCCAGTACATTCTCAAGCGTGCCTCGAGAATACGGTCGGATGTAGATACGACATCGACATTGGCAACGGTGATGTACGGGCCTCTGGTACACGCGCCTCGCGATTTATTATGGCGCGTTATCGCGGCGTCGGGATCGTAAAAGAATCGCTCTCGGGCGTGGAATGGAGTTTCCCGAAATAAATCGCTCGATTTTTAGCGTCGGCTAAACGGACCGTATCGCGCCGACCAAGTAAATCGCATTTCATAAAGTTAATCGCGAGGCGCACACATTTAACATAAATTATTTCGCATAAATTTGAAAATTAAAATGCAATAGGAGTAAAACGGGCGATGAAATTAATTTAATTGTGAAATATAATGAATGCGCCGTTGAATAACAAGCAATGATTACAAATATCGCACAGCTTTATAAATGTAGAAAACATAAATGGAAAGGATTGTTTCAATTTTTAATTAAATCAAGGCTAAAATCCGAAGCCCAACCCTTCTCCTTCTGGAATCAGGCGTCGTGATGCGGATGGTTTTGTGAACGCGGTTAAAAGGATGCGAGAGAAATGAGCTTCTTACGCGAGGAAAATGGAAGAGAACCTTTTCGCGATTTTTTTTCTTCTTTTATTTTATGTACCTTCAACGAGATGGGATACGCGCGCGAAAGACATGGAACAACAAGGGTGTCGGCCGACGTTGGCTCGGCTACATATTATTTTACACTCTAACGGGACACCCGGGACGACGATATAACTATATAAAGAGGAGCGGAAAGAGGAAGCAGCAGGTGTACGCGAGCACTCGATAAACATCTACCGAAGATGGGACAAGATCTTCACTTGTCTTCGCCCTCGCCTTCCTCCTCCTCATCGAACTCGCCCTCTTCCTCGGCGGTCGCCTCCTGATACTGCTGATACTCGGACACAAGATCGTTCATGTTGCTCTCAGCCTCCGTAAACTCCATGTCGTCCATACCCTCGCCGGTGTACCAGTGCAGAAACGCTTTACGCCGGAACATTGCGGTAAATTGCTCCGATACTCTCTTGAATAATTCCTGCGAGAAGGAAATTTTCGGTGTATTGTTGATATCATTCTTTGAGTGATTTTATTTCTCAAATAACACGTTGACAAAATACAAATTAATCATCTCAAATTCATTCTTCTAAATATTAAAAATTCCGCCATTTTAAAAAGGCGCTGTGAGTGATTTTATTTCTCAAATAACACGTTGACAAAATACAAATAAAACATCTCAAATTCATTCTTCTAAATATTAAAAATTCCTCCATTTTAAAAAGGCGCTTTGAGTGATTTTATTTCTCAAATAACACGTTGAAAAAATACAAATGAAACATCTCAAATTCATTCTTCTAAATATTAAAAATTCCGCCATTTTAAAAAGGCGCTGTGAGTGATTTTATTTCTCAAATAACACGTTGACAAAATACAAATAAAACATCTCAAATTCATTCTTCTAAATATTAAAAATTCCTCCATTTTAAAAAGGCGCTTTGAGTGATTTTATTTCTCAAATAACACGTTGAAAAAATACAAATGAAACATCTCAAATTCATTCTTCTAAATATTAAAAATTCCTCCATTTTAAAAAGGCGCTTTGAGTGATTTTATTTCTCAAATAACACGTTGAAAAAATACAAATGAAACATCTCAAATTCATTCTTCTAAATATTAAAAATTCCGCCATTTTAAAAAGGCGCTTTGAGTGATTTTATTTCTCAAATAACACATTGACAAAATACAAATGAAACATCTCAAATACATTCTTTTAAATGTTAAAAATTCTGCCATTTGAAAAGGCGCTTTGAGTGATTTTATTTCTCAAATAACACGTTGACAAAATACAAATAAAACATCTCAAATTCATTCTTCTAAATATTAAAAATTCTGCCATTTGAAAAGGCGCTTTGAGTGATTTTATTTCTCAAATAACACGTTGACAAAATACAAATGATACATCTCAAATTCATTCTTCTAAATATTAAAAATTCCGCCATTTTAAAAAGGCGCTTTGAGTGATTTTATTTCTCAAATAACACGTTGACAAAATACAAATAAAACATCTCAAATTCATTCTTCTAAATATTAAAAATTCCGCCATTTTAAAAAAGGCGCTTTGAGTGATTTTATTTCTCAAATAACACGTTGACAAAATACAAATTAATCATCTCAAATTCATTCTTCTAAATATTAAAAATTCCACCATTTTAAAAAAGCGGTTTGAGTGATTTTATTTCTCAAATAACACGTTGAAAAAATACAAATTAATCTCAAATTCATTCTTCTAAATATTAAAAATTCCGCCATTTGAAAAAGGCGCTTTGAGTGATTTTATTTCTCAAATAACACGTTGACAAAATACAAATAATACATCTCAAATTCATTCTTCTAAATATTAAAAATTCCGCCATTTTAAAAAGGCGCTGTGAGTGATTTTATTTCTCAAATAACACGTTGAAAAAATACAAATGAAACATCTCAAATTCATTCTTCTAAATATTAAAAATTCCGCTATTTGAAAAGGCGCTTTGAGTGATTTTATTTCTCAAATAACACGTTGACAAAATACAAATTAATCATCTCAAATTCATTCTTCTAAATATTAAAAATTCCGCCATTTGAAAAGGCGCTTTGAGTGATTTTATTTCTCAAATAACACGTTGACAAATTAATCATCTCAAATTCATTCTTCTAAATATTAAAAATTCCGCCATTTTAAAAAGGCGCTTTGAGTGATTTTATTTCTCAAATAACACGTTGACAAAATACAAATAAAACATCTCAAATTCATTCTTCTAAATATTAAAAATTCTGCCATTTGAAAAGGCGCTTTGAGTGATTTTATTTCTCAAATATTACGTTGACAAAATACAAATCAAGCATCTCAAATTTATCCTTCTAAATATTAAAAATTACATTTACACAAAAAGGCGCGATTAAAAGTTGTCCTAAAAAAATTGGATCGATAAAAATTTAATATTAAATTTCAGATTAAACTAAAGTTTTTATTAAAAAAATTGTTTTTCTTTTTTTTCGAAAGCAACTTATGATTAAATATTTTTCGCTTTCTGATAAACGAACCTGGATAGCCGTGGAATTGCCGATGAAAGTCGCGGACATTTTCAAGCCTCGCGGAGGTATATCGCAGACGGCGGTCTTCACATTGCTAGGTATCCATTCGACAAAGTAGCTGCTATTTTTGTTTTGGATGTTGAGCATTTGCTCGTCGACTTCCTTCATTGACATTCTACCGCGAAACACCGCGGCCACCGTTAAATATCTACCGTGTCGCGGATCGCACGCGGCCATCATGTTCTTGGCGTCAAACATTTGTTGAGTGAGCTCCGGCACCGTGAGTGCCCGATACTGTTGCGAACCTCTGAAACGTCATTCTTGAATTGGAGGACCGAGAGCAGATGGGAAATTGAGCAAGTAATTTTTCTTTGATTAATTAATAATTTTGATAATTAATAATATTAATAATTAATTATATTCTTTGATTAATTAATACTATTGATTCGATTTAGACTTTCTTCCTCTAAAATTCAAGTTTCTCTAGTTCAATCAGTTTTGGTTGGGAAAAAATAAATTGGGAACCTAGAGGTCAAAGGGGCGAAGCCAGGGATAAAGAAGTGCAGTCGCGGGAAAGGGACCATGTTGACGGCGAGTTTCCTCAGATCGGCGTTCAGTTGGCCGGGAAATCTCAAGCAGGTGGTGACGCCGCTCAAAGTCGCGCTGACCAGGTGATTGAGATCGCCGTAAGTCGGTGTGGTCAGTTTAAGGGTCCTGAAGCAGATGTCGTAGAGCGCCTCGTTGTCTATGCAATACGACTCGTCCGTGTTCTCTACCAGCTGATGTACCGAGAGGGTGCAGTTGTAGGGCTCGACCACGGTGTCGGATACCTGTGAATCGAAAGGAGGTAGCAGTATATACCTAGAATACGAACGCAGAACGCATCTCATGGTTGCGCTATATCGCATTGTGCGCGGCCGCAACGCGTTGTATGCGCGCAGTATTGTTCTATTAAGGACAAAAGGTTGCTTTCCGACAGGCTCTCTTTGTCTCGCATCCATTGTACCTTGGAAAGACTTTTGACGCTACGCGGAATACGTCCTCGGGCGATTCCCGATACGCGGAAATTCGTAAGCGTAACTCTTGCCGCAAAACCCCAATCTTATACCTTATCCCCGAAAGTCTATGTCTGAGATATCGGTCGATAATATCCATATATTATCGACTGATATCTCAGATATAGGTTTTCGAGTGTGCTCTGAAGCCGTTCCTTTAAAACTACGCTAAACGTAAAATTCCGGATTTAAGTGAAAATAAGAGGGAAGACGTATACCTTCGGCGAAGGTACCACGCTGAAGGTCATCATGATCCTGTCGGGATACTCCTCGCGAATCTTGGAGATGAGCAGGGTGCCCATGCCAGCGCCAGTGCCGCCCCCTAGCGAGTGCGTAAGCTGGAATCCCTGAAGACAGTCGCAGCTTTCGGCTTCCTTACGCACGACGTCCAAGACGGAGTCGACGAGCTCGGCGCCCTCGGTGTAATGGCCCTTGGCCCAGTTATTGCCGGCGCCGCTCTGACCGAAAACAAAGTTGTCCGGCCGGAATATCTGGCCGAACGGTCCCGAACGGACCGCGTCCATTGTTCCAGGCTCCAAATCGACCAGGATTGCGCGTGGCACGTACTTGCCGCCTGTCGCCTCGTTGTAATAGACGTTTATCCGCTCCAATTGTAGATCCGAATCGCCGTGATACGTGCCCGTGGGATCGATCCCGTGCTCGTCCGAAATCACCTCCCAAAACTGGAATCATCAATAAGAATAAGGATAACGAATTAGGAATTGTCCCTAATTTTGGACAATACATTTTCATCTCTGATCATGTCTTGTTAGATTGTGATGTGTATTCATTTAGAAACATTTGAGTGGCATTTACACGTTGAACTGTATATGTCAGTTCACTCTTATTCAGAGGATCGAAACGTACCTTGGCTCCAATCTGATTGCCGCATTGGCCGGCCTGGAGATGTGCTATCTCGCGCATGTTTGCTTCGTTTATAGCTTTGACTTTGCGAAATCTCCTCTTGGCTACGAAAAGTCCGAAATCAAGACCAGTCGTCGTCTGTTTCCCGTTACCTTGGAAATGCGGATGCTCGCTGGTATATAATCCGGTATGTGATACGATGCGACGCGAGAACGCGAGAACTGGAAGATAAAGCGCGAGAGAGATCTTCGACGCGACAAGATTCGTTAGAATTCTGACAAAATCCCTAACCCTAAGAATCGTAACTCGGGTAATTTGACTGAGGTGTGAACTCGCGTTCCCATGGATACACGACGAGAGGAGCGTGTCTCGGTTCCGCTTCTGTTTCGGGGGACAATTGAATGTGCCGCTGATGAACAAAAGACTCACACCCGCGCTGCATCTGCCCTCTTCATGTTCATCGATTTCGATATAGAATGTCGCGAGAAATTCGAACATTCTTGAAGAATCTTTTATACTTATTTTCAAAATATTGAGAATTTAATGAAAATTGGGATTTTATACATTTATATTTTTTACACATAGGAGGATTTATAGTTTCCAACTAGAATTTAAAATGTAATTTCCTAATTATACTTCTTTCTATATGTTATATGTTATATAAATGTTACATATGTGTAAATAGTAGCCTTTTTTTTATTTTTCGTTGTCAGTCAGTTATTAGCTTCAGAGAGAAGATTATTACGCTAAGAAAAAAAATTGTAAACTTGACTAAATTCATTTTCAATTAATTATTATTTTCTAATTCAAATATGTAAGTATTTAAATTAAATACGACATGTAAGCTAACATGACATTTATTTAATTTAAATACATTTAAATATTTTAATTTAAAGATGTTTTGTACCTATTTTCAAAATATTGAGAATTTAATGAAAATTGTACAGAATGTCCTTACATATGTTTAGAATCTTCAGTACAATTTTAAAATCGATTCACTAAAGCGTTCACAATTTGTAAGGATTTTAATTTGCACCGAATTAACATGTATTCTTATGAGAAACGTATAACCACGTCGATTCAAATGACAAAAACACATGGAAATAATATTCAGAATTTGTTTAAAATTTGCAAAAGTTTAGATACAGAGGAAATATTTGGTGAAATAATACAAGTACTAACTGGTTAAAAAGATATTAAATATAATTCAATGAAATTAGCCCTGTATCTGTCACAAGGCGAAATTCTCTGCCAAAAGTTAATCAAAATGTTTAACAAAATTAGGAATATTTTAATAAAAACGCAATAAATATTAAAAAATACATCTCTGCACTCTAACTAAATAATAAGATCAAATTGTAATAATTGTAATTCCACATAATTTCTTACTCAAAATACATCAAAAGTAGATATTCGTCAATATTGATTTTCAGCTACTTTTTGCTGGGATTGTACATACAAAATATCCTTAATAATATGTGTACGTAAAAAATGGGCAAACAAATTTTGAAAAATTATTTTGAAAAATTAGAAAAATAAAAAAATTTTTTTATTATTGTCGTAAAGTACTCTTGAAGCCGTTTAATTTTTAATTTGAAAATTTTTTTTCTATCTCTTAAAGTTTCTGAAATATTCATCTCGAAAGAAAAAAACTGATTTTTTTTCAAAGAAATGTTTTACCCCCTAGACACGCGTATGGGCAAAATACGTGTTCCTTATTTTTGTTTAGAAAATAACATATTGAAAGCTCATCAAAATCGGAGGGAGACACTTCCATACCTACACCAAAAGAACAGCTGTTATTATTGTAAATTTAAAAATATTATATTAAATATTATATCATATTAAATTTTAAAAATATTAATTAAATTTGTTAATTAAATTTTAAAAGCTTTTATCCGACACATTTTATAAATTTCCTAGATGAAATATTAATTTGTACGTGTATTATATTATTTCATACATACAATATTGAAAATATATTAAATTGTTTTAATATTGTTATAAAATTAAAAATCATTTTTAATTATAAAATATAATATTATAATATTATAAAATATAATATATAAAGTATAATATTCTATTATATAAATTCCACACAATTTCTTACTCAAAATATGATACATTCGTCAATATTGATTTTCAGCTACTTTTTGCTGAGATTGTACATACAAAACATCCTTAAATCTTCTTATTAAAAATCTCATTAATTCAAATACTTTAATAAATCTAGATTTTTAAATTATCTTTAATCATTTTTAATCGTCTTTATTGAAATCAACAATTACAGTTTTCTTAAATATTTCTCATTTTTTATTGCGAGATATTTGTCAGAATGTCTATTATATCTGCTTATTTCAAGAATATTGTTTTTTTTTTTACTTCTGTAAATCGAATTCCATGTAATACTACTAAATCAGACTAAAGGGATTTAAACAAAGTCCGTAAAACTCTTGGTCGCAAAGGCCCTCGCTATCTCATTAACCAGTTCCCTGTACACGATGGGATTGACGTTCTGTGCGAGTTGGTGCAACAAGAACCAATCACCGAAGTGGAATACTCGTACGACACGTTCGGCCTTAGATTTCTCGAGCACGCGAACCGCACCTCGCAGAAGGTACACTCTCGCCCAGGCTTGAGAGAAAACTACGATTCTAGAAAAAAGGAATACATCGATCCAACAATAGTTGTAATTTTTATGCAACTTTTTCTTTGTCGCGTATGAAAAGTGAGAATTATGCGCAATTTGTGATCGTGTTTCCTTCTTAAAAACGTAATGTGAAGATTCGCGATTACGACGTCGGGAAATTCGCGAATAGGTCCCCTTGGATTTAATGTTCGCATAAAATAAATTTCAAGAATCGTAATCCAAAGTGACATATCGCCGACGCCGTGTGTTCCGCGCAGATGTTGACCAAACTTACGTACCTATAAATTAATGCCAAGCAACCGATGCCCGCGAGAAACACCAGCCAGAACCAGAGAACGACGAAAATCTTTTCGTTCACCACATTTAATGGCAGCACGCACAGCGCGTCGTGAGTTTGCACGGAACCCGCGGGCCCGAAGGTGTGAATCGTGCACTTGGTCATCTTCGGGAACAGTCGCGCCATAGGATCGACCCTGTCGTGAGGACTCTCCTCCGAGACGAATGCGCTCACCGAGGGTCCGTATCGTCTAAACTGTCCTTCCAGAAATATGTCCAACAGATATATCTGTCCTATCTATTATCAATCAAAAGTATTATCGAGAGTGCTGTCAATTTCGCATCCTGTAACATTTTTTTTTTTTTTTTAAAGAATATAGTCATCGGTATCCGTTAAATTTGATTTGTGTCATTTTTTAAATCATAAAAGCCGCGCGATACGACGTTGTATTTTTTTAATGCGTTAAAAGCTTTCAACACAATGTATTTTTCTGCACTCGATCCATCGGGGCTTGTATGACAAAATTTAATCGCATTTTGCAGGGAAAATATATAAAGGCCTGAAACTCAGGAATTAATTATTCGCGTTTTATTTTCGCGCAATTTCCCTGCTTCTGTCATGTCACAATCCCGATCGGTCGATCGGGAATCCTCAGGTATCCTCGCCGAGTCTTTCATCTCTCTAACACTTTAAAAGGACTTATACTTACCGAATTTAAAAAGTTTAAGAACTCGCACACGAAGAAACGCATAGCATAAAAGTTGTGACTGTGTAGATTCGTCTTGGTAAAATACTCGACGAGTTGTTGCTTCCTCTCCTCGGTCCAGACATCTCTCAGAAAGGGAGACGCGAGATCACGCGAAAGAAGGCCTATGGTGCCTCGCTCCCATATGCCCCATAAAGCGCGTGGCATATAAAAAAGGATCGCTTGTAAGCCGAGAACGAAGCAGACCTATCGAACATGGAGAAAAATCCTTACTTCTGTGTTTTTATCTCGAGTCAAACTTCCTTGCTTTATTTGGAACAGACGTAAACTTGCGGATGAAAAAAGATACGTATCGTCACGAAAAGATCCGGAGGATTGCTTCGAGAGGATCTAAATAAAGAGACTTTGTGTTTCGATTAAATTCAGGGTATTCTAATGTTTCCAAATTTAGCTTCAAATAATATTATTGAGATTCACATAGATAATGATAAAGATAAACAAAATCTTAGATGCCTGGAAGCAGTAAAGATATTGGGAAATAACCCTAAAGTATTATTAATAAAGATAAAAAAAATAATCTAATAAAAATAATTAAATTTAATATGGAGTATTTAATAATAATCTTAAATTCTTTAATTAAAAATTTAAAAATAATGTTTCATATTATAATAAATCTTGAGGGGATTAATCAAAATTGAAAAGGAAGCCCTAAAATAACCCTAAAATATTATTAATAAGGATAAAAAAGTAATCTAATAAAAATTATTAAATTTAATATGGAGTATTTAATAATAATCTTAAATTCTTTAATTAAAAATTTAAAAATAATGTTTCATATTATAATAAATCGTGAGGGGATTAATCAAAATCGAAAAGAAAACCCTAAAATAACCCTAAAATATTATTAATAAGGATAAAAAAAAGTAATCTAATAAAAATAATTAAATTTAATATGGAGTATTTAATAATAATCTTAAATTCTTTAATTAAAAATTTAAAAATAATAAATCGTGAGGGGATTAATCAAAATTGAAAAGGAAAAATAAAGATGATATCGACAAGGACCGATTGTAAGAGCACTCTTATACTAGGCAACCGAATTTTTCTGAAGAATGATTTTCTCGTCTGCGAGAAAGGAGAGGTATTTTTATCCAATTTCAAATTTTTGCTCCTTTTGTTCGAAAGACATAAGTGTGTTTTAAGAGAAAACTTTTCTCGCGATATTCACGATGCAGATCGCGCGATACAAAGCGACGGGGATAACGCCGGATCTGCGATCTCTATTTCCATTTCCTCCTGCCGCCTTCCGTTCTCCGGACATTTCCTTCACATTCGCGCGTTCACGTTTCAGATTTCATTCACGCCCGCGCAATACGTTTGCATGCGCCGAGAGCCAGGAGCCCTGACCATCGGAATGAAGTGCAATCGTTATCATGCATCTCGCGTACATAAACGAGTCGATGTGTGTATGTATATGTGTGTGTGTGTGTGTGTGTGTGTGTGTGTGTGTGTGTGTGTGTGTGTGTGTACACATTCGAAATTTATGTGATCGACCGATTCGGTCGCACATGTGTGTGCGTTTCTCCCGCTCGTTCAATTTTTC